ACAATTTCTATACTCTTTTTTTTTTTTTTTTTTTTTTTTTTTTTTTTTTTAAATGTGCTGTGCTGGCTCACGGATGTTTTATCTACATCTGCCGGTCAACCTCCGCTAACAACTGTTATGACCTGCCTAAAACCAGTTCATTCATCGCATGAACATGCACACACGACACCTGCACCTGCACCTGCACGTAGGGTCTCTGCTTAGTTGTTTCGGTCAAGGGTTCACCGCCCGGTGCGCTCCTAAGAATAGCTTCCAAGGCAAGCTTGTGATGCAGCCCTCCGTCCACCGCACATCGTAGATCGCAGCCATGAGCAGCAGCCGCCTGAACCTCCGAAAACGCCCATGAGACGGTGATATACTACACACCGATACTCCCGCCCAGCCGCACCTCCCACCGCGGAGCAGCAGCTACTCCTCCGTCCCGGCCGAAGTGCTCTTGGCCCGAATGAGCTGCCGCAGCATGCGGTTCGCCGAACAATCCACCCCCAAGGCCTCTCCCTGTTGCACCACCCACCCGTTGATGAACTCGATCTCGGTCGCGCGGCCCTTGCGCAGATCCTCGCGCATGCTGCTCGAGTTGCTGGCCGTCTGCTGGATGACACTGATCAGCGAGGCCTCCAGCGAAGGGAACGCGAACTGCTGCTGCGCGTCGGGGCGGTCGCGCAGGGCGGGCAGCCGCTGGAAAACCCGCGAGACCTCCTGAAGGAGTTGGCGCTGCAGGGGCAGGACCTCGAGGTTGTTGAGGAGGGCGCCGTTGCGCACGTCCAGCACCGCCGTCAGCGGGTTGATCACGCAGTTGGCGGACAGCTTGAGTAGTTGGGCCTGGAAGAGGTCCGACCAGGGGGATTCGGTGCATTGCAGGATGGGTGACTCGGTCAGCCGATCCAGCAGGTAGCGGGTGGGTGTGCTGCTGCTGTTGTTGTTGTCGTTGACGGTCCCCACGGTAACGGAGCCGGTCATGCCCGCCAGAACCGCGTCAAAGGGCGATCGTAGATAGACGCCGAGTCGCAGGATGCCGGAGATGTAGGTGGGGCGGGTGTGTGGGTTGGGGAAGAGCTGGTCGTTCAGCTGCTCGATCTGGCCCAGGCCATTCTGGAGGAGACAGACGGTGGACTGGTGGTTGAGCCGGTGCCGGATCGATTGTAGAGCGGCAATGGTCGATGAAGCCTTGACGGTGACGACCAGGCATTTTATGGGGTCGGTGGATTGCTGGTGGGGGGAGTTCGGGCCTTTCCCCAGAAGCTCAACCTCAAATCCATTTTGTTCAGCTGAGGGGCCAGACTCCCCGATCTGAACGCGTACGTTTCCCTCACGGGCTAAGAACTGATCGTACAAGCCAGGTCGATGTAAGATCAAGGTCACGGGCGGACGTGTAGGCAAGGAGCGTAGCGAATGGGCGATGAAAGTGCCGATACTCCCGAGTCCAAGGATGTGAATGGGAGGAGGAGCCATCGGGGGGGGGGAATAGTTGGAGGTACAGTACAGGACCCAGTTAGTATGTATGAATATGTGTTTATAGCTTGAGTATCTTATGAAGAAGAATTCGGGTAGCATCGGGACTCCGGGGCAATTTTCCCCCGCCCACCAACGCGGCCCGCAGCGAGCATTCCGTGCGGGGTTGCATTATTTGCTTACTATGAACTATGAAGTATGAACGGCTACTTGCGCATAACAACTACTAGTTACTGGGTATGCCATCCGATCCATCCGATCCATCCGAGATCCAGAAGAGTACTGTACGCTGCAACTTGCAAGTGTAGCCAATTTATTTCCAGCGATTCCGATGACACAGTCTACCGGAGAAGAAAGAGTCATCTATTCAATTGATTGATTGGTCATCGAGGAATGCCTGCAGTCACCAGATCGTCATAAGACAAGGAGTCCTTCGTGATACCTGTCAAATAATGGGTGGGACAAATATGGAGGTGTCATCGTCAGAGTTGATATATTCATCTTTTGCATCACTCGAAGACGTTCGGCCAGAATGGAGTCCATACCACTCCACCCTAAGCACTCAATAGAGGACCCGATGACTGACGACAGTGATCCTCTCTCAGACCACTTTGACATACCCAACCCACATGATCCTCGTGCCCGGACTGTGCACTGGCTCTGGGCATTGCATCTGCTGCTTTCCCTCCTCTCTTTCTCTCCGCTAATTGCAGCCTGGAGACTCCATCGATCCTCTCCTACCGACCGTAAATGTGCAGAACAGCTATCAGCATATTGGAAGTGCATCGCCCATTTAGACAAACCAAAAATCATAGTAACAATATATAGCCCCTTTTACACACCTCGTGGAGTATACCGATGTCCGCTTCCAAGGAAGCCTCTTCGACACGAACCCATACAAAGGATTCCCCAACCCACACCTGGACGCGGCATGGGGCCACATCACTCACAGTATCGGCCCTTCACTTCCATTGTCTTCGTTTCCCATACTAATAGCCTGTAGTGGCTCAGCTGAGAATCTCGGCAGCAGACATGCCCCGGCTCAAGAAACCACTGACCCAGGTGAAGGTGGCCGAGGCCGAGGGCGATGGGTATGCGGGCGGGATCGAGGTGTTGCATCAGGTTGCGCCCACCCTCTCCTTTACATCTACAACAGGGGCCTCATGTAGCCCTGTTCAGATACCTCAGGCTGACATTTGAATCAGCTCCACTGCGTCAATCTGGTCCGACAGTATACGTATTACGACTACTACTCTCAGCTGGATAATAAGCCGGCAGAGTTCCGCGATTCGAATGAGACGCTGCGGTTGCATGTTGGTATGGCATCTCTGTCTTTATGATCATCTTATATCCCCAACCCTGACTTGTGTTCAGATCACTGCATCGACATGTTGCGACAAGTGATACAGTGCAACGGCGATGTCGGGGTGGTGACGAGGAGCTGGATCAAGGGTCGCGCCATCAGCTACCCGGACTTCAGCGTATGGCATAAGTGCCGGAAGCTGGAGCCCATCGCAGAGTACTCGAAGGCACACGAGATTGACACGGAACCCATCAAGCTTCCAGATTCTCTGGAACTCCCGGAGCCGCCATGCACGAATGCTGCGCCCGATGAAGTTTGTCCGTAGGGCCACGGAGGCCATACTAGGGCACGGGACCGAATATTGTCACCCTACAACAGATCGCTTCTCTTAGGCAATGTTTTCATTGTGTGGTTGTCAAAGCTGGGACAAGTTCGAGTAGCGATTCTTACCGCACCGAAACCTATGTTTAATGTACGATATTATGATTTCACTGAGTTCGAAGGATGGCTGAAACGTGATCCAACTTAGCTCTTCACATGCTCAGAGTGGATTACGCGACGAATTCCCACTAGCCCCCGTCACTCCGACTCCACATTCACCAATTCAGCCTCGATGATAGACGGCCCATCCCCGTCCGGATGCGCCACGAGATTGACGGTGAGCCCCACGGACTCGAGAAGCGCGACCCAACGCGTCTGCGTGCGCACAATTCCAGGCCCAAAGACCATCAGAATCATATCCACCATCGAATGGAACAGGGGAGCATGCTCATCCGGTAGGAGGAACTCCTCGATCAAGATCTTCGAGTGTCCTTTGGTCATCACCCGGGTGATATTCTCCAGGATCTTTCGGCAATTGTCATCCGAGAACTCATGCAGTACGAATCTGAGATAGTACACCCGCGCTCCTACCAGCGTGCATCAACAGGGATACGCACAATCCAGGGCGTGGGCGACTTACCAACGACAGGCTGCGGCGCGAAAGCATCGTGCTCGATCTTCTCCAGCCCTAGATCCTGGCAATGAACGTCCTGGAACACAGCCGGAAGGTCCTGGATGATGATTCGACCAGCGACGTCGGGGAACTTTCTCTTGAACGCCAGCATATCCCGCCCACTGCCGGCTGCGATATCCACAATAAGCGGGTCGCTCGGCTTGGAGGCGTATCCGTCCAGGATCCTCGTCTGGACAGGGAACCAGTCCACCCAATCCGACTGGCCCTCGCGCACACCTTCCACATAGGCGTGGAACCGTGCATGCGCAGCCTTGTGATTGGCAAGCCATTCAAAACTGTTCATCTGCGTGTGGTACGTGTATTGGATCGGCCCAGCGGATTGGTCCTCCGGGTTCTGGTAGTGCGTGTCGCGGAGGAAGGCCGGTGTTTGGAGGATGGCTGGAGCTAGGTCAAGAAAGCTGAGTGGGATAGGGTTAGTCTGATGAATGCAGACACGATGAGGAGGACGTCATGACGTACAGCGTGTCGACGATGCCCGACTTCTTGCCCGTCATCTCCTTGGAGAGCAGGGTCGCACGGTATTGTCCGGGGCCATCCTCTCCGACAAAGTCCATTGCGGCGATAACTCGCATGATGCGTTCTGTGAACACGGTCATCAGACATGACTGGAACGAGGGGTAGGGTCACGAGCCCAAAGCGATGCTGACAAGAGATTGACAAGACAGGGATGACGAACCAACAAGTAGCGGGTGTGCACCACTCCGATCTGCCAGCTCCTTGCAAGAGATGGCTGTCTCAGATTGTGCCAGAACTGAGAAGAGACCGAGGTCATGCGCGATTTTGACGGCCATCGCTTGGGTGGGCTAGAGTTTTTAGGCTTCGGGGTACAGTACAGTAAGTTGAAGGTGTAGTACTCACAGACAGAAAGAGCTTGAAAATCGCATCTTTGGGGTTCTCGAGAGCTCTCGTCAGTTGTACTGCTTGCTTGAGAGCCTGATTCCGTGCTAGATTTGAGCGTGTGGCCTGATAGTCTGTAAGGGAGGTTTTGATCTCCTCGAGAAATGAGTAAACAGCCTGCAGATCCGGACATTCCATTGTGTTCGATATCAATCAATAGATTTTGAGATTCAAGATGTTCTGCAAAAGGTGGGAATTCTGTAAGGGGTTTGGCTGCAGTTAATCGGAAGAAGAGGTGTACACACAATGGGTACGATTTATGTTCGTACTCATGAACGGGAATGTATACAATTTGTGCTTAGATGAGGCCGAAGAAGGATGGTATTTACGCAATATGGCTAAAACAAAGGCCATACAGAGACCTGAGAGACAGCCTATATTGACTTATCTCACGGCTGTTTGTGCTTCAATCTATCCCAAGGAAATACTATTGAGAGCTTTAGTGAACCATTTTCAGCCCTGGGAAATGAAATCAAACACGCGCCCACCAAACCTTCTCCCCTGTCCGCGCCATGGAGGATTCAACCTCAGCACCCATGTGGCTCACTTTGCGTCTATCAGCATCATACCTGAATTCAACCCTGGCTGCAGACATTGCACCAGCTATAGTACTGACCAGAACCCAAGAGGTACCACTAACATGGTAGATCTCCAGCGACAGCGGCTTGGGAAAATAATCCCCTGGTTCGACCAGAGATGCACAGAGCTTAGCATCTGTTCCATTTTCGTAGACAATGCCGCCTGCCGTCTCACTACAATCACTCGATAAGGTCAAATTAGGATACGCAACATGTACAAATGTGCCCTCATACGCAGAAAGGTTGAGTGGGTAAAGTAGAGGTGGATCTGGGAGAACTGGATATAATTCACGGAAAGTGTCAGTGGTGAGTGTGTCGGCTGCTAATCGTTCATCGGCTCTAATCGGCAACAAACATGAAGGAAACCGGTTAGTCAAACCGTGTTACACAATAATATGACCGGTCAGTCACAGACCTTCTTCTCCAGTCGAAGCGTTCATCCTTGGTTATATCGAGAACATCATCTATAATATCAAAAGCAATGATATCAGCAGCCGCATTGGCCCCACGCATGTTGTTGCCCATGATCACAACTCCCAGCTTGCGCTTCGGTAGTAGGACCACCAGAGACCCGAACCCATACTGGGATCCAGCGTGCTGGATCACGGTTTCACCGCGGTACGTCTGTACCACCCAGCCCATCCCGTATAGCGTCGGTGACACAAAGGGCGCGACTGGCTCCTTGGAAGCGATACTGTGAGCACCGAACAGAGCGCGGTAAGCAGCCTCAGACAACGGGGGGCCCCTGCGCAGGAGAGTCGAAATCCATTTGGCATAATCTGCAACCGAGGAGAGAATATTTCCTGCACCATGCGAATTCCTCATACTAACCCGCTGGGTTGACAAGAGCTTGCCGTCTGTATCGAGGTAATAACCCTGTGAGATGTTTCGTCCCGCGCGCTGGGCATCGACCAACGAAAGATAGGTTTCCGACATGTTCAACGGGGCCCAGATTCTTTCAGTCATTAACGACGGCAACGATTGACCGGACACGGACTCGATCATGTGAGCGGCAGTGATATACATAAGATTGCTATATTGGAACTTGGTGCGGATTTCGGCTGTCAGTGGCAGGTACCGTATCTTATGGACGATCTCTTGCTGAGTCAGATTGGTCAGCAGCAGCCAGTCGTGGCGTGGTAGACCTGAGCGATGAGAGAGGATATCTGTCACGGTGACATGGGCCGTATACCAGGGGTCGATCATGACGAAGTCGTCCGGGATGATGGAATGAACGGGAGTGGTCCACTGAATGCTGGGGTATTGATGATTATCATCCACCAGCAGCGAGGCAGCAGCAGCGGTAAACGCTTTGGTTGTGCTTCCACCGAAGAAAAGCGTGTGTTCGGTTACTGCTTGCGAGGTCTCGATATCAGAAACTCCGTAGCCCTATGGTTCTTCAGTCAAGGTTGAGCGTTCCTGGTGGCGGCAAGTACACACCCTCGCAAGAATTTCGTCATCTTGCACAACGGAAATAGCGAGCCCTGGAATGCTGAAGTGCTCCAGCAGATGCTTTATTCTTCGATCGAATGCCTTGGTGAATAATTTTGAGTTACTCTGATTTGGTGGTATCTGGAACAAGTGCGTTCCTAGGAGGATCAAGAATACAAACAAAGAGAGAAGCATGTTAGATAAGTATTCAGTTGAGCTGTGTCTAACGGTGAGGACTTATCCGATTATCAGTCAGACTGATGCTCAAGTGAAGGGTTGATGTGATCGACACAATCTCTGAAGTATGTCTAGTGCTCCAGGCAGTCAAACAAGGATAAATTCAGTGGCCTGAGTAGTTGGATTGCAAGATAAACCGACCCTCTCCATGAATGTAGCGATCAATAGGCTTACGATCTAGCATTGGTGCCAAGAACCAATCGCCGCGATGAGGATGGTATCAAGGTAATCCTTGCCAAAGTGGTACAGAGCTAGATAGGTTATCCGCCATTTGCAGCAGAATCTACAACTGGAAAATATTCAACTGCGGTAGATTACTCTCATTGAATGAATGATCCGCTTTTCAAAAGATTTCATTGCCTATCACATCGCCATCACATGTCCTATGCAGTCCGAGACTGAATGATATAATCATCCCTCAAAGAGGGTGGTACATAAGAATACCGAATGGCATTTCGCTTCCTAACATGATTATTCCCCGATTTAGGTCCAAGACCCTGAGATAGTAGTCCTTAAAATTCCATTTTTCTCCTCCACTATTCTTGTCTCGTGTTTCATAGGTTCGCAGCCATCTTAGCGTGCCCCAAGCTTGGTTCAGTCATAGTTAGAACTTATATGCACGGCTCGGTCGTAGTTGGCAGTCACGTCCACGCTGCGGTCATAGTTGGAGCTTATATCCACGGCACGATCATAGTTGGCAGTCATGTCCACGGCACGATCGTAGTTAGACGTCACGTCCACGGAGCGGGCAGCTCTATTCATTAGGTCGGCAAGGCCACTCACATGCACAAGGGTAGGGGCTTAGAAGGAGTAGTTTACATACCGATTCACAGGTGCAGCATGGCCTGCTGTGAGCAGGATCGATACAAGCATCAAACCGGTACTGCAGAGCTTCATTTTGGCGATGACCCTAGGCAGGTGTACCCTAGTTGTAGAGCGTGAAGTCAGATCAAGCCGAGAGCATTGATCAACAGGACTTTGCGTGCTCTTGAACCCAAGCGAAGCCTTCGATAGAAGAGTGTCTTTATATCTCACCCTGCAGATAATGATTAAGCGTTGGCCCGAACCCTCTCCACTCGTATGAAAGTATGCTCTTTGTGCTAGTTTGTATGACTATATCTTCGATGGGGCTATGACGTACAGTACATGCCCTAATTTCTGCGAATCGCATACTCGGTATGCATTGACCTTTCGCACTAAAGGTTAAGCACACCTACATACTTACCAGTCTTGATTAAACGATGCTTCTTAATATAGTTACGTGCATGGGGCTAAGTAGTGTGAAGCTACAGGGTAGAGTCGAGTATCAAGGTCATACAACATCTTTCACTGCATCCCACTTCATAATGCTATTATGTTCGATTGATGAAACTCGCTCATCTCAGCTACGGAGCACTACTATATAGTATTGCCGATACATCCTTACACATGGACTATCTCTAATGGCCCACAGAAACATCCCTCTGAATCCCATCTTTGTCGTACTTGAATTAACCTTTCGGACTGCTTGTCACCCCAACATTTAACATCACGAGCCCGAAAGTCGGTTTCACCAGAGAAAGAGCCTATACGATATGGCTCCAGCTTTTGTGCTGTCTCTTGCATCCACGAACGACATCTCTCATCATCGCTTTCGTTCTCGTAAATTGCATAGGTGCCGACGTAGTGATCCGATTGTAGGCTGAAAGCCATGTCCGACAATTGACGACGACTCTGCGGGGCCAACGGATACCAAAGCACAACAAATCGCTTGTCTGGCAGTGACATACAGATCTCCTCCAGCACAGCAGCCACATCTACCTCGTTCTCGATGAAGGCATTGTCCGCCACCCAGCGACGATCTCCCGGGTAAGCGCTAATTTCGTTCGCGTATTCCTGCTCGAGACTGTCTTCTTCACAGAACCACTCTTGAAACGTGCCCTCTGGGCGGCTTTGTTGTGCTGGCAGCAAGGCGCTCTTCGCTGCAGACACACTGTCCTTCATTGTGATGAAGTACACCATAAAGCAGATCTGGTCAATACCGTCAGGATACCGGCAGGCAGCCGCGATTTCCGTGTCTTTGTCCAAAGTTTGTGTGAGCTCAAGGATCCAGTTGAAGGCCTCTGTATACCTATTCTTGGGAAAAATGTACCCGGACGAACGGATGACCTTTGGTGCAGGGAGAAGCTGTACGAGAAACCGGGTGGCGATGCCGGGGAAACCTGTTACACCCTTATCAGAGTTGAGCTAGGTTAAACCCTATAGCCAGAAGCACTTACAAGGCCCAGCTCCCCGCCCAGCCCAGAACAAATCCCTGTTCTCATCCGCAGAGCAACGGACAAGAGTCCCATCCCATGTGACCACATCAAGAGCCTTGACCCTCTCACAAGCCCAACCCCAGTTCTATACCTCGTCAAACATCAGAAACTCGTTACGTGGTTGGTGGAGAAGAATGAAAGACGCACCCTGCAATTCCAGGATAGCCCTCCCTGGAGCAAGTAACCCCCAATCCCAACACCGGGGTGATGGCCCGCACCCAGCATCAGTCCACAGTCCTTCATCAACTGCAGATCAATGTCACTTTTCATCCCGGAAGAGATCCAGGCTTCCTTTCTCTCCAAATCAACCTTGACTTCACGGTAGTCGCCAAGGTCGATCAAGAGAGAACTGTCGTGAAGACTCCAACCCGGGAACGAGTGGCCGCCAGAGCGGACGGCGACCTGCAGGTTCATTTTGCGCGCTAGCTGAACTGCTTCGATGATATCGGACTCCGTTCTCGCGCACACGATAGCCGTGGGGTGGTGGTAGGGGTGGCGAGAGTTGAAGACCCGTGCCAAACGCGCCTCCTCGTATAGCGCAGCGGAAGAAGTGTCCCGCCAGATGATATCCATGGTTAGTTCGATAGTAGAGATAATGTCTATAGTCAAACAGAAGCATTCGAGACCGGTATATATACCACGAACGGTCATTCGGAGGCTCGTTACGCAGGAGTATTGTATGTGCAATCAACTAAGATTACCAGAGTTTATGTAGATAGTCCAGCTATACGGGTTTTCCGGTCGCCATGATCCTTGATTACAGTTCGTTTTAGCAGCTGCAAATTGAATCATCCCTGTAGGATTGATACTCATTCTTCGCCTCCTTCAGACTTTTTCTAGCTATCATGAAATGTTCTATTTCAAACAGTAGAAAGCCTGTCCCTCGAACAGTTTCCGCGCCGTCCTCATCACCGATGCACTCTCAATGCAGTAGGACCCATCCGCCAGCCGCAATGAGACGATCTCGACCTTCACCGTGCCCCGAGGGTGGGCAATTCGCCAGGTTCGGGAAGTGGGAGGCGCGTAGGATGAGGTATGGTTTCCATTGCCCACCTTGATTGTTGAAGCAGCAGCAGCAGCAGCAGCAGCAGCAGCAAGCACAGTCCCCGGAACACTTAGGGCGGCCGCCAGTGCGACTGCACCTGTGAGCTGGATTGTTGGATGCAAGTGGCCCAGACTATAAGCCGTGACCGTCGCATCTACGGAGGCGCCTGCAGCGGTAGCTGGTGTCACCACGGCGATCTTGGGGACTGTCCTCTGGCAGGCTGCCACGTCCCAGCTGGTCGCCAGTCCGAGGCGAAGAGAGGCAGCCCGACGGAGCGTTTCCACCGTCAGGCGAGCCGCGTCGCTGAAAAGCGCATCTTGCTGCTCCAGGTGGTATTGCACGGGCATGTCAGCTGCTGCCACCAGCACAAACGGATTGCCGCAGTCAATCAGCGTGGCGCGCACGCGGAGGAGCTGGCCCGTCCAGCCACAAGGAATCTCCAGCACGGTGGTGCGTTCCTCTTCAGTGCTGCTGCTGCTGCTGCTTTCCTTCTTGGGGAACAGAGCCCCCGTCATTTGACCCCCGGGCTGCACCATAGTCACCTTGATCGCTTCCCACGTTGCGGCAAACATGGACAGTGAGTCCGGGTGTGTATGGTGGTAGTAGTATGGATTGGGCATAGTGAGACGAAAGACTTGGCTGGTGTTTGTATCAAGAACATGAATATCAATCTGGCAAACAAGATAGATCAATACAAGCAACAGTCGTCTCTCTTGGGTGTCACGACCTACCATGGCAGGAATCTCTTCACCGTCTCCATCTACTACTACTGCTGTTGATGATGAGGAAGATGACCACCCTGACGAGCGATCGAGCAGATGCTGATCCCACGCAAACGGCCCCACGCCAGCCACCATATTTCCACACGTCCCCGAACGGTCAGTGCGACCGGCCTTGAAATCCACCTGAACGAAGCTGTACTCAAGGTCAATACCCGGTTGAGAGGACCGCCCCACGACAGCCACTTTGGACGTCGTGGACGTGCCCCCGCCGAGGCCGTCGATCTGTGGCGCATTGTCCCCAGATTTAGTTCCCTTCGACCCCATGAGAGCTAGAAGAATGGATTCCCACTTCGTCTCATCCGTGGGGAGATGCTCACGATGCAGGAATAAACCCTTGGACGTCCCGGATCGCATCCAAACCGCCGGAATCGTGGATTCCTTTGGTAGCCTTTTGGTCGGAGGTAACATGGGGAGGAGTGTAGGTAGCAGGAGAGTGATCGAGGAGATGAGAACAAGAGAAAAGGATAAAAAATCTCAGAAAAAGAATGAGTTCCTGTGTTATCAGCGAATAGAACGGGGGGTCTTGCTTTGCTTGCCCTATCCCCGACCCCGAATATATACGCGTTTCCCTTGTGCAGGCACAGAAGAGAATTGACATCCTATTCCTTACTCAGCTAGAAGAACATTACTCACCCTCTGCCGGCAGCACGCTTCAGCTCAGATTGAAATCGGCAGCGGCAACTCCGCGTCAAGACGGGCCAGCTCGCATGTTGCTGCGTCCATCGGGCCAATTGACAGATCTTGGGGATGCGAAACCCAGCTTGACGTTGCCTTCTTCGGTACGGTCATTTTGAACCCAAACTCAAATTATGTCCGTCCGAAAACTGGAGGTAGAGGTGAAGAGCGAGAAAGAGAGAAAAAAAGGAGCGAGAGGGGGGCGTGTCTTGCCTTATACACGGTCACGTCTTGGCTCCAGTTCAGTTTCTAACGCGCCTGGGAGGTTTAATTGCCAATCTAGATACGGTCTACAGGGAATTGAGGATTGATCCTGGAGAGCCTATAAGCCCGAGTTGGCATGCTCATGGCCAGGACGTGCCAAGTATGCATGTGCTGAGGCAGTCACAACACATCATACCTTTCTTCAGTAGGTGAATTCAAGCGAGACAGGTCGTTAGATTCTCAATGCAGCCTTTGTAATCTTCGGATCAGCATGAGCAAACATTCAAGGATTTCCAGGTGGTATGCACGGCAGCTTCTAGGCCCTGCTAATGCTCCCTCGCTCGTCGTCTCTCTACGCCACCCACGCCTATCACTCCCTAGCGGATGTCAACCCATCCATCCCAGCATGGACCCGAAACACAACCCCCTCAACCAGGTGATCCTTCCAATTTCAGATTGTATTCGCCTTTTTTTCGAAGCTTATAGCGATAGAAGGATTTCCAGACCACTGCTGCAGCAGAGCCAAGGGGAGCAGTGACCATATCCCACATTTTGCAAATCACTCGACCCGAGCCATTGACTGCACGGCATATTAAGTTGGAGAGAAATTAGGTTTGCAACAACCCTTAGGCTTCTTCTAGCTACAGGCTCATACTGCTTTTTCCAAGGTATACATATATATCAAGAAATAGTTAGCGAAACGTTCAACTAGAAGTTAATACGCGGATAGACAACCCTAGCCATGTATCATCCAAAGTATCATCAAACATATTTCCGAAATCCTTGACCAACCCGGCCGTTCACTAAATTGAAAAGGTCCATCTTTGGTTGAATCAAAGTAAGCGAATCTATCACTCTGCAAAATAAGTCTAGGTTCATGCGCCTGATCTTAGTTACGTTACATGGATATGGGTGTCAGCAATCCACGCGGTCAATTCTCAATGAGTACATGATCCAAATTCACATCTGAAATGACTGCGGAGTGTCCCTTGGGCTGGGTGCTGACGATGAGGGTGCTGTTCTAATATACGCTGGCAGCCTCAGCATCGCGGAGCATCGCGGAGCATCGCGGAGCATCGCGGGACACCAGCCGCTGCACCCAGCACCAAGCAAGCTGCTCTTCGTCTCGCCCGCCCAAGATGCACATTTCTGCTAGCAGTGGGACCTCTTCCCCAATCAACTTGTCAATCAATAGTCAAAATGCCCTCGCCTCCCAAATTGCGACTCTATTTTCTAAGTCACCTCCTGCCTATTTGACGATACAACCGGCTACGGAAGACCATTGTGGCTCCTTAGCAAATAAAAGCTCTGCTGGCAGATTAATCATTAGTTGATGAATTACGTGAGAAGAAGTATCTAAATCATGGTTATAGACAGGAAAGATTTAGTATTTCTAGCCTGGATAGGTACTATACTGTACCATTGAAATTGTAGGGTTGGAAGTTACTCTTTCTTCAGCGGTTAGTAGGAGCAGCTCTATTTGTCAAGTGGCTGTAATCGTCTTCTGTATTCGGTACTATGCAGCAAATATCAGGGTCCACCATGCTAGACGCTGATAGCCAACCCTAACAAAGCTGCAAATACTTTCATTCTCGCCAGACCCAAGTCTTCCACAAAGCTGTACGGCATGAAGAGGCTTTTCTCCACAGGCAGTCTCATGGAGGGGAAACCAAACCAGGGCGCAGTGATATTCAACCACAGCCAGACCCAGGCATATCCGATAACTCGTTGCCAGCAGCGGGGACGCACCCAGGACGACAAACTATTCTCCAGCAGCATGGCGAGAGGTTGTACCATGAAGAAGTAGACAGTGCCCCATTGTGGTTCATCCATTCCGCTGCCAGCCACACTGACGTAATGGAGAATTCCAGAAAGATTGAACAAGATTACTGCATCGATGAAACGATCCCCGGAGGATAGCGTGGGGATGTGCAGAACGTCATTACGCACCCATTTCACAAAGGAAACCATAGGCCACCGAATCAGCTGATGCCAAAACTTTCTGTAACAGAGGTCTGTCAGTGAGAAGAGTACTGGGGAAAACCACGCACATAGAGGAAACCTTACCCCCAGAAACGCGTCACGGTGTATGCATCCTTGATGTCACCAAAGAGTGGTGGCCAATCATCCCACTGTGTTAGGTTCAACGACACCTCAGTGATCGAGGCGAGTCTGTAGAGCATGTCTACCACGAACAGTACACCACAAACAAATACACCAGCCACTATGATCCGAATGCGCACCTGCCCGGCCGTTGTGCTGAAACCCAGATAGTCCGACTCGGGCCTGTATAAGTGGGACTGTGTTCTGGCGCACTCAAGTAGGACACCATTGTAGACTATATCCCACGCCATGTATTGCCATGCAACAACAACTGCCTGTCTGGCGAGAAAGCGAGCCCGGAAATCTGCCTTCCCCGGAGCTTCCAAGGTAGGCGGCCAAGTGGGCAGGCCTCTTATCTGCCACTTCGTCCCAATACCTCGCGTACTCATCGCAAGATGCAACGCACTGCGGAACCTTGAGCTGGCGGTTGGCTCCAGCTTGCATGTAGGAGATAGTCTGTCGGTTCTGTCTAGCTTCAGTATACCAAATAAGTTTATAAAGTGAACGATTTTGATGAATGAAAAGAAGGTGACAACCACTCGGACGAATGGATGTGCTTGGACGCAGCCCTGGAGGGCCAGTTCAATGCATGATAGTAGTGCAAGGCAAAGCAGCGCACTCATCCGCTGGATAGAATCTCGATTGGTGAAAGTGAGGATACAGGAAGATAAAACGTATTCGGCCACTGTAAGCCCAGCCGGCATAAAGTTGTATATAATGGTACTCATTTCGATGGATATAGCGAAGATATTCACCAGGGCGTATTTTGAGTCGGTGAAGATTTTGAAAGTCTGATCGTATTACAGTGAGAATATATTGTTGTGAATTGTACTTGCAATCGAGTGGGCAAAGGACCATGGTGCACGTGCGTGGAATGGGCGCCGTGCCACCTTCAAGGTAGTTCGTCCATCTGTATTCAGAAACTTTACCAGTGATCAGCATCCTGCAGAACTGTCTATCTTGAAAAGGTAAGGGAAGACACATAAAGTATGACGTATCCTTGGCGCAGGCAAGGAAGCTCACGTGGTGGTATCATGCCCTTGGATTCGAGAATGTAGGAGAATGAATCTTGCTTCTGGAGCCCTCGATGTATACACCACAATATTTGCTCTGCAGTGACTAAATATTATCTGTGTTATTGGAGGGTAGTAGCGCGGAATCCAATATATCGACGTCAATTGGGTTGCTCTTGGCTTGCTCAAAGGGATAAATCCGAGTAATCTCGGCAGTTGAATGCCTCAATCCTGTCTGCGCTCGGCTGTGTCGAAAGAATGTCAAGAATATCTAGCCGATGATTTGCTCCATAGGATTCCAAATCCTGTCACCCCCCCTCAGGCTAGAAATCTGAACTATGCGCATATCAAAGTATACAGGGACTCTTGGAGGCTCCTACAAGGCCAAAGCAGCACTGCTTCCCGCTTGAAACAGTATAGCTCTTTCCTTTTAGGTAAATGCATACCTTGGCCCTCTCTTTAAACAAATACGCCCGCCAGCGGCAATCCCAAGCCTACATCACTTTTGCCGATCGTCTCTTGCAGGTTGTCATCAACATCAACAATACCCCTTGTCTTGGTCAAGCTTATTCTCCATAAAAATCATGTAAGTGATGATTAACACACTATATTGTGTATTATCCATCTCTACCCGCTGTGTGTAGTATTTCCATGTCAATTTCAACCAACTCTAGCGCCCAAGAATTACCTGACACTATGACTACACTCGAAGATAATCTCATTGAGCTACTGAAAGGCAATTGGGTCATGGTAAGTACTTATGTTTTGTTCTTTTGTAAAGACCCTCTTACTAATCTCCTGGGTGTTTGTAGAACAAGGAATTAACAGGAGACACGGACCCCATATTAAAGCTGGTATCTCCAACAATCTTTTGCCTTTCGAGATTCTTCACAACTTTGCTTGTCCATACCGTGATAGCCTGGAACTAACTGCATTATGGTTGGATGTAGCAAAAAGTCCCCTGGTTGCTGCGCAGAGCACTTGCCACCGTGACTATCCACCTCAATATCTCGGGGTTCCTCACACCAAGTCCTTTAGAAGAGAAACCCTTACCGGATATCGAGTTTATTCAAACAGCAACTGGAGGGTTAGTCGGCACAACCGAAAAACGAACATTAAATTGGGAAATACAAGCTCACGCCGACTACATCTTCGGCTCAGTACAACACCAAAGTCATTTCATCCGTGGCACTACCGATGCGAGAGGGTATATACGGCCAGAATTCGAGATGCAAACCAGTATAGACTCGGCAGAGATTAAACAGTTTCTGCGAGGGGAGATTATGCTGGATGGAAGTGAATCGCCTGGATTCTTGTTGGACAATCCAAATAGCAGGGGGGACGGAAAGGACAGGATGGATATTTGGATACACACATTTGAGCGGAATTTACAATCCGGTTGGACCGCCGAGCAGGTGAGACATCTCTACTGTCCTTATCTTTCACTGTCCCGATATAAAACCCGCACTGACTAGGTATCTCCAGATCTGGGGATTTGAATCCATTGGGGCTACCCGCTACTTCTGTCGTAGAGTTGTTGTTGCCAGCATTGAAGGGCGGTACAAAGGTGCAAGGCTTGTGTATGGCTTCAGACGCTGAACAGTCAGTCTGCTCGAGAGAATCTCTAGATGGTGATAAACCCTAATTCAGCTGTCAGTCTGATCTTAGAACACAGTTTCTAAGATGGCTATGGATAGTATGATGTAAGGCTGCTAACGCAAAAGACGGCCACTACGAGCCCTCGACGCCTCTTGACCATATTGTATGTTCACCGAGCCTAGTAGAGATTCTGGAGATTGATGGAGATTGAGTCAAACAAGATAAACTAAGTTTAATCAACAGACAGAGAATCATATGAAGAGCTCAATCCACGATAACTGATTTCCAACCTTCAAAGCTTTGCTCGGGGCGGAGGCTTTACACTTCGCGCCAGTCTCTGATGGCTCTCTGAGAATGTGTTATTTGCAATTGCGGCGCCTGTGCTGATTTCCAACGCAAGAGCAAAGGACGCAATCAGTCCTGCCAGTCGCCACTTCTTTCCAGACTCGAGACAATCCATGAGCTTCAGGCACTCCTTTTGGGAGTCATAGCCTGTACCACCCCCAACGACCCCAACTGGCAGCGAAGGACAATACAATGAAAGCTTTAAGTCTTTTGTTGCGTGGTCGTATTCAGGAACAAGGTGTGTCCAACTCGCTTCAGCAACGCTGCCGGCATCCTGGCCAGTTGCAACAAATATTGCGGCGATGATGTTTGCGGTGTTGATATTGTCGCCAAATTGACCGTTGCGGATTCCTCCCTCCTTCAGGGTTTTGCACATCGAGTACAGGGCTATTGAGGTGCAGCCCAAGATACTCTCACAAATTTCGTCTGAGAGGGAACCCCATGCAATCACTTCCACTCCTCGACGGGCTTTCACATTGCCCCAGGCTGGTTTCTTATCCGCGGCGAGCTGACCCTCGATCATAGCATGCTTCACCTTGTGCGGTCCTCCCACCAGCTTCTCCAGCAGCTTATCACAACCTCTCTGTGTTGCGATAGTGACCATGTTCTGACCAGCAGCGTCACCGCACTGGTAGTTGAGGTACAGGTGCACCGAAGAGCCGATGATATGTGGAGTCATTTTTTGGAGCCGCAGATGGCGGCTCGTGGACTCAGCAGCCTGTGCAAACTCTGGTTGCCAATCGGGAACAGACCGCGCAAAAGCGATCGCTTCCTTGGGGGTATCAAAGCTGAATACGGGAGCGCGAGACATCCCATCACCGAGTATGTCAAACTGAAGCCCTCCACATAGATTGAATGCCTTGCATCCTCGAGAGCAGCTGGCAATTAGGGCTGCCTCGGTGGTTGCTAGAGGAGCGAAGGCCTGGTCAGACTGGAAATCAGGCCCGTGGACCTGCAATGGACCTGCAATTCCCAGTGGCACCTTTACAAAACCAACACAGTTTTCGATGCGTATATCCTAAAGGTCCTGGGAGTCCTTCTTCCTGTGGCCAAGATCACGAAGGAAGGTTCGAAAGGCTTCATTGTGAAAGTAGGCCATACCGATACTTGTATAACATCAAGAGGTGGCGGCGTGACTAGGTGATAGAGACGGAATGAGACTGTGCTATGCTAACCTTCTAAACCACATACTTCTACTATCTCTTATGTACTACCTCTTATGTACAGTTGAGATCAAGGTCACGTGAATCATAGGATTGGAAGTCGGATCATTCAAGGGGTCGAATAATCAATATTTACGTTATTCAAGGGGTCGCAGATAAGTTAGCCCACTGGTCTTCAAACAAGTAAAATGGGTATGCGAATGCCGTTCACGTGAGTCAATTCTTCTCAAGAGCCCTGCACATTCCAAAGCACTTCTCCAATCTTGCACCAGTTTGTCATGAAGATATTGGTGATTCTGATTCGTGTCCCCAATGCCTTCCTTGCAATCTTGCCCGGGATGGGCTCACCACATGTGACAGTAATGATCACAACCAAAGACACTTCTACGACATTCGCTATCTCTATTTCGGCCTTTAGCAATCAGCTACTTGAAGATCATATCTATCAGCTTACCATTCCCTTTTTACTCGAATCTTCTAATCCTACCACCGGTCACTCTCGCCCTATTCTAACAGAATCAACTTCGTGCCTTCGAATAGTTTGTGGCTCTGCCATTACCCATTGTCAAGACTCCAGCGATGTCAATGGTTACGATCATCATGCCACGTCATGGAGATTGTATTACGAGATGTTAAAAAACGTCACTTTGATTGGAAAAAAGGAGAAATCTTGGATCAAGGGGGTCAGCTGCTTCCTGGAATGTGTTATGGTAAAATAGACTTTCCCAGTGAGTTATCAGTATTCTTCATGGCGTGACGGAAAGATAGGGAGAGTTTGACAAACCTCTTGCAAGCAAGGCGTCATAGGGTGCAATGCGAGCCTAGCTGCTTGTTTTTAATCCTTGAGGATGATCTCAAACACTCGAACGCTGTCGCCCACAGGACTGCAAGCATTTTTAGAGTATCAAGTTGTCGGCAGCTTCCTCTCAACCGCTATTGAGAATACCACCCTCATCACCTCATTCCACCATGTCAGGCGAGGTTGATACTGGATGCCTCACTGGGAAGCCGGGAATCCAGTTGACACAGTCTCTCAACTGTAACCCCGGATTTTATTGTACGTTCGCCGCATCATGAAACCATCCGACGGCTAAATCAAGAACAGGTCCAAATAATATTCATAGGCCTCCAGAAGGCTGCCCTCCGACCACAGATTGCCATTTAAGGCGCCTTCAGGAGACAGACAATGTATGCGAGCAGCCACAAGGGTCATTTGAACCCACGGTGTGCAAAGCTGGCTTCTTTTGCCCGCACGGAGGCCGGCAACAGATCCGGTGTCCTCCAAGTTACTTTTGCCCTATAGGGACAGTCAACCCTATCAAATGTACAGCATTATCTGTATGCCCCGCTGGGAGCTTTCGGCAGTTTTATACAGTTGGCCCCGTAATTTGTGCAATCGTTGATGCATTTCTTCTATGGCTATGGCTTTCATCGGTTTTTCCATCGAAAATTTGGAAGAAAATGGGCTCTGTACTGGGAAGCTGGAGGGACAGTATCAACGCAAATCGAGGATGTCATGATTCACGTCAGGACGTTTCCTACACAGATTCACTGAGGCCACATGTTCTATCGTTAAACAACACTACTTCAGACGCTGGTTTCAACTTAAGTTTCGAAGATATCAGTGTTTACAAGACAAGCTTGAAACGACACATCTTGTTCCCCGCCAGTGGCACAATGCATTCGGGATCATTTGTTGGAATAATGGGCCCATCTGGGTCTGGCAAGAGTATAAGAATCAAATCGAATGTTACTGTACGTAACTATGCTAACATCTTGATAGCAACACTTATCAAAGTGCTCGCCGGTAAAGTGAGGCCTTCCAGCGGCGCGGTCTATGTCAATAACCAAGTCTCTTCACACATTGTGTATGTTTGAGTGCATCCAAGAACCACCAATTCTACGGCCTAACCTTGAAAGATATCAGATTACGGAGCTTAGTGGCATATGTTCCTCAGGACGACATTATTCTTCCCGATCTTACTGTCAGGGAGGCTATATTATACTCGGCACGCATTCGTATTGGGGGCACATTCAATGACCGACATCTCCAGCAATATGTCGACTATCTCATTGCATCTATGGGGTTACAAAGCGTTGAGAATCACCTAGTAGGAGACGCTACAGGTAGAAGTATACCTGGTGGTGAGCGCAAACGTGTTAACATAGCCCTGGAGCTGGCAGCTGCCCCATCAACTTTGGTCCTCGATGAGCCTACATCGGGGCTAGATGCAAACGCAGCACTGTCAGTAATGACTTTGTTGAAGCGCTTATCGGAACAAGGTCTGGTGGTAGTTTGTGTCATTCATCAGCCGCGGTCCGAGATATTTGCGCTGTTAGACAGACTCTTGCTTCTGAGCGATGGCAAGCAGGTTTTTCTCGGAAGTGCCAGCGCAAGCCTCAACTTTGTCACCAGGCTTGGGGTAGCGCCATGTTATAAGAGCTCGAACCCGGCAGATACAATCATAGACGCCATTTCTAATATACACCAAGCAGGGTTTAACGCTCTGACGGATAGTGACAACTACCAAGACAGTATACCGACGGGATCATGGGTGTCTAAATCCGGCACAGAGCGCTATGGAGATTCGGAGGGTAGATCATCGAATAGTGGAGGCTTACCAGCCTTGATGCAACGTGCTCAGCAGAGAAGAGCTTCCTGGCATAAACAGGCATACTTGGCTTGTCTCCGTGGCCTGGTGCAGCAATCGCGACAAGTTTCTAGCCTGGCACTAGAGATTACTACTGGAGCCATAACAGGTCTCTTGATTGGTCTGTCGAACTTTGAGTATAAAGGCCACTTATTTCAGGGGGTATTCCTTCCACCTTTGCGAAGCTTGTCTAGCGCCACTAGTTATCGGCTTTTAGCAGAGCAGGGGATGCTATGTTGTCTGGCTATCGGTATATCATACTCACTCTTAGCATCTGATGAATATCACTAAATGCTATACAGGTTGCGCGGCTGGGCCTGCGGGCGTCATTCTATTCGCAGAGGATAGTAAGTACCGTTGACACCCCTAACATCTACAACTCCGCTGAATGCTCTCTAGGGTTGGTCTTGAATAGAGAATGGCAATCCGGCCACTCTCCCAGCGCTTTCTTTTTGGGGAAAACTATCTCGTCTATACCCCGTATGGCTGTTTCGGCTTTGCATTTTGCCTCTTTCTATATGCTCCTCACAACCCCCATGATCGATTTTGGACAGCTTTTCATCAACTGTTTATTATACTTCTATTGTAAGATTTCCAGATTTAATCGACGGCATATGCGCTGGCCACGCTCACCCGAAGTCTTTTAGGCATTTACGGTCTCGGCTGCGTTGTGGCCGCTTTAGTGAGGCGGCAAGATGCACCGGTGATGGCGATGCTGATCAGCCTAGTATTCTCCGCCCTCTCAGGATGTGCCCCTCGGCTTGCAACAGTCAATGAGTGGAAACTCAAGTGGATCTGGATTATATTTCCGGGGGTTAGTAGGCAATTCACTTCCATCTCTCATGTTACTTGACGCTCAGCCATAACACGCAGGTGTGGTTCTCCGAAGCCAACTTCAACGAAAACATCTCTCCACTCTCAAGTCTATATGACACGAAAACAGCCGCTGAAACAGTTGGGTACACATTAAACAGGACATCCACTGACTTAGCGTACGCTCCCCACATATCTCGAAAGAAGCGATAATCTGACATTCAAGGTTCCGCAGCATGCTTCTAGTTATCGGGACCGTTTACCGAATCATATCATATATCGTACTCGTATTTTCGTCTCGCAAAAATCAGAGTTAATGGATCCAACCCAGCATCCATCCTCGTGCAGGACGATGATGTTCCGAATGTAAGGCCCTTTATGCATCGAGGCGAAACCAGATAGAATACTGATTGTTGTTCTCTAGTGTATTCGGAACAAGTTTGTCTCCAAATGCAGAAGAATGGCTGTGGCTCTTCAGACATTTTCTAACTGCTTATATTCGCGACAGATTGTATTGAGTTACTGGCTATTAACAACATCGAGCAATTTTGCACGCGAAGTACCCTTGTCCCCATGCTGTTTCGACTGAACACGAAGCTTGTATGTCTCAGCTAGAGTATTGTGTAGCTCGAGTTGAATAGTGTCAATAACTTGGTATATTGTTGTTCTATTGAGCAAAGTATTTGCTAGGTGTTTTGGAAATATTGGTCTTTGGTTTGGCCGGAGATTTTCTTGGAATGGTTCTCTCGGTGCCCTTCTCGATTTCTCTCTCATTTTCCCGGGGGTCTGTCTCTATCTACTGTGGGAATGGGCGACAAACTTCGCATGTAAGCCTGAGGATTAATATGAATGAACAAGAGGAATACTTCTTGCTTACTTCAATATCTGAAAGCAGGCTGCTTATTCCCTCAAGCTCATTAGAGTCTGTCTCAAAGCAGGAAACGGTAAGCTTTGCCAGAATAATTCTCTTTCAGTGACACCCAAGCTGGCACTGTGTGAGCTTCAGAAGTTAAGAAGTAAGCTGCCGAGATATCACTTGGATCAGTTGTCGTCCTCGCATCTGTTATGGCTAGTTTGGGTGGGTGACCACCAGCGAATCCTTTCTGTCGTTTGCTTTTATACCTTTTTCCATCTCTCCCCGACATGAACGGACAGAATAAACCTATCAGGTCGAAGAATCTGGTGAATAGCAATGGCTTGGGCTGGGTAATAATTCTCAACTCTCTCGGGGCAAGCTCAATCCAGGGAGCGCAGCGCCGCGTCTCGGACACACAACAGGAGTATGCAAATTATCCGAAAACACGTACGTAGTTTATCATATGTTCACTAAACCATTAAGAATTACAATATATAGACATCTATCATAAAACAAGAGTCTCACAAAATCCAGATACACACCCCGAGCATCAAGCCTCAACACACACACGTCAGCCGAAACCAGCAGCCATCGAGCCCAGCATACCAAATCCTCAAACCCACCCTAGAACATCGGCATCTTGACCTCAGTATTCCAATCCACATTCTCCGGCCGACACTCGATCCGCTCGCGGCAGGTCCCGAACAACCGATCCCACAGCCGAGTCTGCTTGCCGTAGTTCGAACTCTGCTTCCAGCCCTTGCGGTGGTGGAGATCGTGGTCCTCGATGACCAGCTCGGTTCCCGTGAGTCTCAAGAGCCAGCCTAAAGTTGACGGAGGGGTCGTCCAGACGCGCAGCCCACTGTGTCCCGCCAGCTCCGCGAACATGACATACTGATGGCAGATCCACCACTCATAGAACCCCATGGGGAGCCCCATCAGCTTGAGCGAGAAGTACGCCAGCAGCGGGATGCCTGCGATATCAAAGATCTCCTGCTCCGTGTCGGCGTAAAGCGACAGCAGCGGGTTTGGATGCTTGGTGAGGTGGTGCGTGCGGTGGTATTTCCAGAGGCTTTCGAAGTCGTGCATGACGCGGTGGTACCAGTAGAACCAGAAGTCGAGGACGATGCCGTACAGTCCGATCTCCAGGATGAGCCAGGTCCAGCTGATCTGGGAGGGGGGCTGACTGGGCCGGTAGCTGAAGAAGACAGTCATGACCGGCCGGAACGTCGAGGTCGACATGAGGGACTGCACAACCTTGCCGATCCCCACGTCGGGCACCCCGTCGCGCGCGTGCTGGTCGCCGTCGAAAAAGCCAACCTTGTGGCCCAAGCGGCGGAGGACGTGGAGTTCGTGGATGGCGATCATTTTGAAGGCAAGGCTGTAGAAGAAGAAGGCGGTGATGAGGCTCATGGGACGGCCGGTGTAGGAGACATACAGCTGGTGGACGAGGAGGGGCAGCACCGAGTGCCAAAGGATCCAGCGGTGCAGCGAGAATTCGCCGATGTAGGGCATCTTGTCCTCCTTGGAGTGGATGGGGACGTCTTGGTCCAGGTTGATGTGGTGGATGCCAAGCATCTCGACCATCCAGTGGGGAAATCTCCACTGGTCGCGGTCCAGCTGGCGCCAGGTGGACTTCATCGAGTCCTTGGGATTTGGATGTGTGCCACTCATGATAAGGGTTTTGTTGTTGATGAAGATATCCAGAGCGATGAGGGGTGCCTGGGGTCGGCTGATGGCTGTGTCTGGTGACGGCCATGGCGGATGGCTGGAGGGGCAACTATATAGGCCGGGTTCATCCTTGCCGCCAGCCACAGCGAAGAGGCAAAGTCTTCAGTCTTCCTTGACAATCTCGGCTGTTCAGCATGTGACAAACGGCGTCTGGGTTCATGTGGTGGCAGCGAAGGGTTCGGCTGGCGGCTTGGTGAGGGGACAATCACCGCGGCTCTGCAGATCCCTTCGAACCGGAGGGCCGTTGTTGGCCACGGCGGCTCAACAGACAATTAGGCTGTTAGAGACTCCGGGGGCACGTGCCGTAAGGTTTGCAGATTTTCTTCTGTTGGGGATGGGGGATGGCTGATGCCTCGGTGGTTGAGAAGAGATGATGTAGGGTTGGGTGCCTGGTTGTGTTTCTCTGAAGTTGTAGGCCATGAGTTTTGCTATCGAATCAATGCTTCAGTTCTAGATGTGTAACAATTATATACTGCGATATACCATCTTCTAGTTGTCTTCTATCTAGGCTAGGTGTATGCAGGGACAATACAAGGTACATAAATCACGCCGTACTGTACTTCTCTGAGCGGAGGTAAGGATTCAACCAACCCCAAGCAGTAGTTAAGTGTCACCATTCACCCAAACTGCGAATTACCATTGATGCCTAAATACCTTTGGGATAATCATGAGTAAATGTCACTGATCTGAGAGACTAAAGGCATGAACAAGCTCCCTGGGCAGCCTGCAGGGCTCAGCTTCTCGCAACCATTGCCATTTTGGGCGATGGCGCAGAGCCAAAGGGGTTTAGTCATCATCACCCCTCCTCTCTCTCCTCCCAACCCTACTCCGTCTCAAAAATTGCCAGACTCGATTTCCTGGCAGGCCAGCAGAGCGAATATGTCCTGGCTTTATACGGAGTCTGTCTCCATACACTGAACCTATTGCAGGGAATGGGCTGATCGAAGGATTTGCGGGGTTGAAGATCAAAATGGGTCCACCTGGTGCCTTGTGCCTTGTTTTTCCCCAGCAATTAATTTCCTCCAGGACGCTTGCATCGGAGCTACGCGGCAAGTCCACATATCACATTCGATCACATTCGATCACACTCAATCACACATAAGTGAATCGATAGGGTACTTGATGCTATTTGGATTAGGAGTCTTTCAGTAATACATCGTCATCAGCGGACTTTTGGTCACATTGGCTTTGTGGATTTTGAGTTAGTGTTTCGGGAGGTTCCAAACCAAACCACCCCAATTTTGCGCCCGCCCAATATTTGCGATCTTCACCCCCCAATCCCCACTTCGCTTGTGATCGCGACCGCTCGGTGGTTTCAGCCTGAATCACCGTGCCTGGGGATCGCAAACCTCAGATCCTGCTTGTCCGGTTCGTGGCTTGGAGCTGGTGCGATCCCGCGGATTCCATTCCCACGCGAAAAGGGGCGCACGGAGGACAGTTCCTGATCTTGCTCTTATTCTCCGAGACCAGAGCGCATTCCCCACAAGGCTATGATGCACGACTCTGCGATCCGAGTCCTTTAGATGGTCCAGGCAGCAGGAACGGTCTCAATTTGGGCCGGGTCTCGTATCTCGGTGCCAGGATGCCCTGGTCGGAGGGAAACTAATTCCTAATCCCTGGCAGCATTTCAACTTGGCGCTCGCTTGCAGCTCAGCTCCTGAGATAGATACTGGTATGGGGCTCCTGAAGAATGGACCATTCAGAGCCCGATCAACTGTATAGATCGATCACTTTTCCAACTTGACTACTTGACTGATCCACAATGTAGCTTAGATTCTGGGCAGCCACGATCCTGATCTGATCCCTCGGTCCTGCCATACGTGAGGAGCCCCCCGTGCTGGTCCAGCATGTCTCATAAACGTCTACTGCAGCTCCCCCCTCCGCAGTCTCTCTCCTCCATCGACACGCTTTTTGCTTTTGCTTCTGATACCCTGTTCTATCCTTAATTCTCTCCTTGGTCCTTAACCTTTCCGCCTTTTCTGGCACCCACACTCCTTTACAGTTCAGATGATAGGTCGCGTCTTCCTTGCGTCGCTCGCTTTACAATGGCTGGTCCCGGGGACCGCCGGTTCGCCCACTGGCCACCAGGAGCGCGGCCTTTTCGATACTGAATTTGACTACGTGGTCGTCGGCGGTGGCACGGGAGGCAATGTCATAGCCACGCGCCTGGCCCAGCAGAAATTCAAGGTCGCCTTGGTGGAGGCCGGAGGCCTTTACGAGCTGGAATCGGTGGCCGCCGTGCCTGCAGCTGATGTGCTCCCTGTTGGCTCCGATCCCAAGACCGTCGCCCTTCATGACTGGGGGTTTGTCGCAGAAAATCAGCCCGGTGCCAATGGACGGTCGATCCACTACGCTCGGGGGAAGTGCTTGGGTGGATCGTATGTGATGCGCTGTAATACGATGTTCGGGTGCACTTGCGCTGACAGATAATGTGGCAGGTCGGCTATGAACTTCATGATTTACCAACGGTAGGTCTCGGTACAATCGGGATGATATACCCTGGGGGTTCATGTAACTGACCAATGCGAAATCACCAGGCCGACGCGCGAATCCATGCACGAATGGGCCACTACCGTCAACGACAGCAGCTATGAATTCGACCAAGTTCTGCCATACTACAAGCGCAGCGTGACCTTCACGCCCCCCAACACCGAGCTTCGGTTCAAGAATGCCACGACTGAGTACGACAGCAGTGCGTTCGAATCGAGCGGAGGACCGCTGCAGGTGTCCTACGCAAACTACGCGATGCCCTTCTCGACGTGGATGGACCTTGGCATGCAGGCGATCGGCATCAACCAGACCCAGGACTTCAACACCGGCTCTCTCATGGGCGGGCAGTACTGCTCTTCGACCATCAACCCCAAGGATGAGCTGCGGAGTAGCTCTCAGTCGTCCTTCTTGACCTCCATCAAACCCTCCACGTTGACCACGTACTCGAATACGCTCGCCAAGAAGATCATCTTCGACAGCAACAAGAAAGCCACCGGCGTCCAGGTCAAGGGCGCACTTGGGATTGTCTCCACCATCAAAGCGAAGAAAGAAGTGATTGTGTCGGCCGGTGCCTTTCAATCCCCCCAGCTTCTGATGGTTTCGGGGGTGGGTCCGCAGGAAGTTCTGGAGCAGCACAACATCGCGGTCATTGCGAACCGTCCCGGTGTTGGCCAGAACATGTGGGACCACCCCTTCTTTGCGCCCTCGTACCGTGTCAAGGTGCAGACCTTCACAGCCATCGCCTTGAACCTGCTGGAACTGGTCAGCCAGTTTCTGAACATAGTCACCACGAGAAGTGGCCCGCTGACCAACCCCATCGCCGACTATCTCGCCTGGGAGAAGATCCCCGCCAGTTTACGCTCGGCTTTCAGCCAACAGACCGAGAAGGATCTCGCTACCTTCCCCAGTGACTGGCCCGAGGCAGAGGTAGGGCTTGTTACTGTCCAAGATCGAAGTCTCAAAGCTCAGGCTAACTTGAACCCAACCAGTATATCTCCGGCGCCGGGTACATCGGCAACCTTTCCAACCTCCTGACGACGCAGCCTCGCGATGGCTACCAGTACGCCTCCATGCTGGGTGTGCTCATCACTCCGACCTCGCGCGGCAACGTGACGCTCAAGTCCGCCGACACCTCGGACCTCCCGATCATCAACCCGAACTGGCTGGACACGCAGGCCGATCAGGAGGTGGCGGTGGCGATGTTCAAGCGCATCCGCGCGGCCTTCCAGAGCCAGGCGATGGCGCCCGTGGTGATCGGCCAGGAGTACAACCCGGGCGTGCAGACGCAGACGGACGCGGAGATCCTCGAGTTCATCAAGAACAACGTCATGACGCTGTGGCACGCCGCATGCACGTGCAAGATGGGGCTGGAGAGCGACGCAATGGCGGTTGTTGACCACGAGGCGCGGGTGTATGGGGTTCAGGGCGTGCGGGTCGTGGATGCCAGTGCCTTCCCGTTCTTGCCCCCGGGCCATCCCCAGTCGACTGTTTGTGAGTTTTCTCTACCTTTAGAGAACTTTTTTTTATCTTCGTTCGAGCTACAAAATGGGCTACTGACCATATGAAATAGACATGCTGGCGGAGAAGATCTCCCAGGCCATCATCGACGGGTCGAATTAACCGAGACGTGTAGCACAAAGCTAATCTCGCTCGCGCGTCTACCTTTCTTAAACTAAGATCAAAGACAGTAGTTGGTTCAATCTTCATTGTGAATAATATGTTCGTGATATAGTACAGTGCAAACATATCCTGGCTTAGGAGCCAATTCCCCATTGATCTGCCGTCGGAACCCTTGCTTGCAGCATGATACCTGCATATATGCACAGCACACTTTGCAGAAAGCCCCTACACATATCCCCTACTCATGCGGCCCCTCCCGCCTCTCCTGCTTCTGCTGCTCCTCCTCCAACATATCACTGTCGAACCGCGGATCCAGCTTGTTCAGAATCTTGTTGCCATGCGGCTTGGTCGTCGACGCGGCCGAGGTGTGGGCCCCCGGCCCGGAGAAGGAGGGCTGGGTGGCGGCGTCCTCGGACTGGGTGTTGTGTTCGTCGAGGGGCTCGACGTTCTTCGCGGATTGGAAGTCGCGGTTCGTGGGCTGGGCGGGCATTTTGTTTTCTGGTCGTGTGGTTGGATTGAGAGTAGTATTGTAAGTGGATTGGTTATATTCTGTATATGATTGTGTAGGAGGGTAGATAGATCGGTTGCTTGTAGTCTGCTTGCTGGCTAGTCTGGAGTCCAGGGGAGGGCTATATACGATGTTGTGGAAGGGCAATGAGGATGTTGCGTCATGGGAGTGTAATTGTTGCGGTTTGCATGCTTAGGAGTAAACCGCGGCGGGTGGGCCTGAATAAGTGAGCCATGAGATAGGATTGAAAGCTTAGTCGTTGGATGACAGGTCCATATGGATTCTGTTTGGCTGTGCGGCGGTAGTTGGATGGAGGGGTTGACGTCAATGTGGTGTGGTGTGAGGGTTGCGTGTGCTGGGAGGGGTGTATACTATCTCCGCAGGTGTATACTTCTACCAGAGAAGTCGGATTGGGGTGGAGTTGGTTGTGCATGGGGAAGATCATAGTCAGTTGTGTGTTATCATAATGACTTCCACGGCATTAAACAAGTTCAATACATTAGATTTGGTTATGGTTTTAGATATGTGCACAGGTCATGCACATTGTGGTACCTGCAGCGGAAAGGTGGCCGAGGGGTGTGTGGGTTGTTGTGCGGTGCCTTGTCGATAACTGAGCAAAAACCACAGATAAACAAACAGGAAAGTGACGGGAAACGGAAGACCGGAACAGATGGTCAGAAAGAAAAACAACAAAAAGATGGAGCTGCGGGGAATCGAACCCCGGACCTCTCCCATGCTAAGGGAATATTATACCACTAAACCACAGCCCCTGTTGATGGAAGATGATGTTTGATTGAAATCATAGCTTAATTGTGACATACAGACACCCATTATTGTCATTACATACATTAAAAGGTCGAAAAGGGATCATATATCATAGTATATCTTCGGTGTACATCTGCATCATCGGAAAACTGTCCTGTCTCCTTGGTTCTGTGCTTTTAATTGTTTGTGAGAGGTCAGGCTGGTTGCACATGGATACTGGTTGAAGTCTATATATTATGGTCGGCCTCTCCCGAGCATCATGGTTTGCTCTACCGGAAAAAAAAAAAAAAAAAAAAAAAAAAAACGTGGCGCGCAGATAATCCACCACGACTCCAGATTAGAGCAGATAATGCTAGATCACAAGGAAGCGCCTGACACGAGATTATTCTGAACCCGACTAATGTGTATAAGCTATGTAAAATACGGAGGGAAAAAACGCATTCGCTGAAAACAACCCAAACCAACTCCCATAATCACTGTCCTCCCTGCTGCTGCTGCTGCTGCTGCTGGCCCTGCTGGCCCTGCTGTTGCTGCGACGAAGTATCCCCTTGACTCTGCCCCTGCGACTGCGCCTGAGACGTCGCCGACGCCGCATCAGCAGACGTGGTCCCCACCGAAGCCGCCGTAGACGTTGCCCCCACCGCAGAAGAGGTAGTCGTCGCCGTCGTCGACGCGCCCGACGAAGTCTGATACACCTTGAAACTATTGAATTCCCAGTACGCATTGGTGAAGTTGGCCCCGTTCTCCGCTGCCCACTGCGTGCACGTATCTGGACACCCATAGAGATCGGTGTAATAGGTCGACGCCCCCGCGAGGTCGCCACAGACATCGATGTTCACAATGATACTCTGGTTCGTGAAGTGAGAGCTGATATCACAGTTCGTGCTGGGGAAGTCCGCCAGCGCTTCCCCCCAGGTGGACGGGTCGGGGCTGCTGCTGGAGTTCGAGATGTCGTCGGGGATCTCGTCGCGCGCCCACATCCACACCCGGATGCCGGCGTCGCGGAGTTCCATTGCGTAGACCTACCACGGTATTAGAATGTGCATATTATGGGGTTAGGATAGGGATTGTGCTCACCCCGCCCCCGTTCTCATTGAAGGCCTGCCCGTACGTCGCTTTCCCGCCGGTCACGCCACACCCCGCATTGTCGTTCGCCGTGTTCAAGCAGTTGGTGTACGACGGAGAGCCGGTCTCCTTGCGCTTGACGTTCATCTTGCACCCGCTGGTCGTGTGCAGGGTCATCGCGTTGCCGTGCGTGCCCTTGTTGTTGGACTCGAGCACGTCGATCTCGCCGTGCTCCGGCCAGTTGTTCGGGTCCGTGAGCCAGAGCGCGGGCCAGGTCGCGCAGCCGTACGGGGTGTGCACGATGTCGAAGATGAAGAGTCCGTTCTCGTACGTCTCCTTCGAGGTCACGCGCACCGACCGTCGACCGCTGGTTTGGTTCGAGGTGCTGGTGTCGACCCGCAGCACGGCGCGAGAGCTGGAGGCGTAGGTCAGGTTCAGCTCCGAGGCCGTGGAAGAGTCCACATATCTATGTGATCCAAGTCAGTGGCCAGGTGCTGGCAGACAGACGAATGTGCCTACTCACTGAACAAATCCATCCGTCGGGTCGGTGGCGGTATAGTAATCGAACTCGTCGAAAAAGGAAGACCCGGAGTATTTGCGAGACAGGGTGTAGCTCAGCGCAGAGTAGTCGGGATACGAGGACGACTTGAGGCCCTCGACGAGTCCGACGATGAGGGCAACGATGGCGACAACCACCCCGGCCGCAACAAGCGACTTGGTGAGCAACGACCAGCCGCGCGGATCGTACCAGGGTTTCGTTGCGGCTGCTGTGGGCTTCATAGACTTCTCCATGACCTCTGGATGGGTGGCTGCTGCGGCGTTGTTACCGGTGGTCGTGTATGGGACGTTCGTGAGCTCGTAGTCGGGATAGTCACTGGCCTGACTGGAGAGGTTGCGGTACACCATCGATGTGCGGGGCATTGACAGCTTGACCGGGCGGAAATTGGGAGAGTGTTGTCCAATCGTCCAAGATTGTTCCCCGAAAATTGTGGAAAAATCCCAGGGTCACGATTAAGGTCGCGCAGCCTCTCAAATACAGAGTCAAGGGAATTCCACCCTCGCCTCGGCAGTCCGATGCAGCAGACCCGGACCCTCTTTGTACATGCCGAACGCTGCGACCAAGCAAAAGGGTACGTACTGAGAGGGCTCGGCCGCAGTCAGTCAGACCGTTCGATCTGCCATGCTTACGTGTCTGGCCTCCAGGATGGAGGGACCAAGCCAACGAGAAGGAGGTAGCAGGACGAAGGCATACGTAAGCACCTGGCTGTAACTAGTTACGGAGTACCAGCCAAATGATTCCTACGGTGGATGTTGAGCGTCAGGCCCTTCTATTCTTTGGTCGTGAGTCCGATCATCATTATGTCGGTCCAAGGGACCAGAAGGGTTTGAATCTGGAGTTATAGAACCCCGACAGGGTCCAGCAGAGCAAAGGGTCTGGTGGCCGACTGCCAGATGATATGAAGCCGATGCCTGCATGAATCAGGCTTTCCACGTCAACGGCCCACTCCTTGGCGCTGAAAGGAGTCTAGGCCCGCAGGACACCTTGAGGATTATGCACCTGCTCGGATTTTATTCATCGTCCGCGGGTGCGGCCGGATGGCTTATCTGCTTGGATTGAGAGTGGTTGTATTCCTGGTTTCATTGGGTGTCAGGTGATCCATGGTCGCAAATGGCAGAATTTGAAAGGAGATCCACGTGACCGGACATGCCTTAGTCAGCAACGACCCCCTTCCCATTCTAGATTGCATAAGATGCACAAGATCCACAACTTCTTCACTTCACCACCTCAGCTCTCGAGTCTGTTTACCTGTCACGAACACTTTGGCCTGACCGTCATCATGAAGTAATCCCCTCCATCTGTGAGCTGAGACTAGCTACTCAGCTGACACTATCACCCTGGCCGACCGCTGTATCCCTATCATGGCTGAGGTCGGAATCCTGCCAGGATAGCATGGTCAAGCAGAGACTCAGCCGTTGATAGACCTTCGCCTTACCGCAGAGCCTCCGACCAGATCCGCTAGATCCGCTAGATCCGGTCAAGGAACTGCTGGCCGGGCAAGCCTGTCACCATGATGATCGGACCCCAATGACCTCAATCATGACCAAGGAACTTCAATGGAGGCGCAGCGTCTTAGCTGTCCTCGAGTGTCTGTGAGTGTAGCGGGCACGGATCATTGGAAGTGGAGTCACTGTGAACGACCGGTGCTGCTAGACTACTACCTCACCCTGTTGGCCGGCTAAATCTAATAGCGCAATCTGGTACCCAGGTCAAGCCTAGCATCCCAAGCAAGGCGCCGTCTTAGCAGAGTGAGGATGGCAGAATCGCGAGGATTTGAGAAATCCCTCATGCGCCCTCAACTTTACATCTCCCCGAGGTATAAATAGGACACTACACTCGCCGGAGAAATTGTCAACCTCATTCCTGTCATTGCCATATTCCACACCGGCACTTCTCGTTCAGTACTCTACCTTCCAATCTGTTTTCTTGCTGTCGAGCCCGCCGCCAAAATGCAGTGGATGTTCTACATTTCCATCCTCGGGGATCTGTTCGCTCTCTATGTCCGACTCACGACGGGAGAATGGTCGCCTCGGGCCAGGTACTTTCTACTCTGCACGCACTTGGGCCTGTGGGCTCGTGTCTTGCAGGCCGAAATCCTCGGTCACTGATTTCTGTGTCCATGGGTGAGGACAGGATTGCGCGGGGAGGAAATGGGCACGACTGTCAGGGTTGATGCCGTGGACGAGGGACTTGCAAAGTGCATAAGGAAGAACATCATTCCGAGTGCACCAGATCGACCTCTCCAGCAGGGACTTCAAAGCTGCTGCTCGATGCTTGCTGCACCCTGTGCGACACCTGCAAAGGACCACCTCGGCATGACCTCCCGACTCAACCGACCAATCAGTGGCCGAGGACGTGTGCAATCCGAAAGACAGTTGGGCTAAGCTACATCAAACTACGAATGGGGCAAGATAAAAGAAACTAAGTGGAGAAGCAAGGCTGAGGCTTACGCGGACAATCCGACCAAGGGACAACTTAGCTACACACTTAGCCGAATCGGACAAGGTCGACCATCGTTATAATCTCATTCTTGGCCTAAAGGGCTCACCGTTCGGAACCTCCCCGAGGCTGGCTCCTGATCGTGAATGTTACATAGCATTAACACCAGTAGAAGTCACTTGCTGAATGGAACATCCCGGGCTTTGAAATGTGACAGTTCGGGGAAGAAGTGATTAGTTGGTATGTGCATTGCCGTAAAACAAGTCTTAACACATTATAATTGATGCAGATGCAGGCCCTAATCCGTATCTCAATGCATAACCCACGCGAGAAGAACCGAAAGAGAAAGCATAGCAACATTCACAGACTGCCCCAGCACTGCACCGCTACTGGGCACCACCGAGGACGCGCTGCTCGGTGTCGCAGATGCGGAGGTCTGCGTGCCGGATTGAGTTTTGGAGACAGCCAGACCCACGGTCGCATTCTCGACGTTGTGGTCGATGTACAAGCCCCGGAAGAAGGCTGCGAGACGTGAGCTCTCTGATTCGGATCTGAGGGGGGAAAAGGGCAAAGGAGAAAGCAAAAACATACGTTGACCGACCACCCATAGGGTAGGGTACGAAGCGACCGTCGCGCCCGCGAGCACCGCTGTGCAATTGTTGTTCCCGTTGTTGGCGGCAATCCACTGGTCGGCGGCGATGTTAAAGATGGCGCTCTGGTGACTGACCAGGTCGGAGTCCGCGGCGACTGCCGCCGTGGCGTTGGCCTGCGAGGGGATGCTGAAGCCCACGGTGGGAGGACTATCGCAGGGGAAGTAGCCCGTGACGGTCACTCCGTCGCTGGTGTTCTGAACCACGGCTTGAATGTTGGTCGCCTCGAAGATAGCAAGCACTTCCTCAACCGGACTATTCATACATTAACATCGTCTCTTGACCGAAGATCTTTGGGGGGAAACTCATCGACTCACCCGGTGATCGTGGCGGTTCCGGTATCGAGCTCGATAGGCACATCCTTAGTGAGGATGGTGTCGTTGACGGCCACGTCGGCAAAGAAGGCCCATTCCTGTACGATGGAGGTGGTGGTCAAGTTGCCTTCGAAGAGGGAGGTGTCCAGCTCGCCCAGCACCTGAGTTCCGGTGGAGTTGCTGCCCAGGACCACGCCAAAGCGACACGACGAGACCTGGCCCTGCTGGCAGAGCGCATGGAAAAAGGGCGGCGCGCCGTTGGGGAATTGAGCCACTTCAACCCCAGCGAAGCCCACGATGCCATCAGCGGGGATGAGCGCCGTGCCGTTGGCGGAGCCGATCGTCTGGTCGATGGTCAAGCTGCCGTATGTGATGGTGTCGTTGTATAGGGTTCCCGCTACCTGTATCGAGCCAGCCGGCGTTTAGCTATACACTTTTGACATGATGTGCGGAAACCGTCACATACCGAGCCCGTCCCGGATCCGTCGCTTTGGGTCGTTCCGTAGCCGTTCTCAAATGTGAGATTGAGGTTGACTGATGCAGAGCTCGCGTTATAGTACCCAGGATTGATGATCACATCGGAGGACCCTGTGTCGATGAGGAGATGGAGGTTCTTGGAGCTGCCGACATCGAAGCTCCCGAACCAGAAGCCCTTCCACTGAGGTGAGTTGGGGTACAAAAGATTGAATGCGATATGACCTACATCCGACTCAGAGACAGTCTCGATACCATATTTATCGCGACGAAACAACCTGGCTGCCGGGTCTGAGCGCCGTACTAATGGGATGTGCGAGGAAATGTGTCGAGGAGCAGACGGCCGGGGAGTTGCCAGGCACAGCGGCAACGACCCGAGGACCGTGAGGATTAACCAATGCTGCGGAGGAGTCATTATGAACTATGAATTAGAGTCCCCAGAGTGGAAGATATTGAGAACGTGCAAAGAAAGACGCAAAGTGCACGAAGCTGGAGCTGGAGCTTCTCCGACAATTGAGCGCATCTCTTCGACTTTATACACCATCTCGCATGGCTCGTGCTGTACGCAAGGCTGAGCTAGCATGTAACTGCTCCCGATGTAGCAATGGCAGACGAAGAGCAATATGGGAAGTTGGGGTCCAAAGCTATCGAGATTGAGGCTTGGGCGTTGATCTGCACCGGGTATGTTGAGTCTGTCGACAGGGAGGAGAGCCCTACTCAGCCTCGTCTAATCAAATCCTGTGGATGAAACGCGGGTGGAGATGGCGATGGCAACATTCACTGGCCCGCTCGCATAGACTAACCCGACCCCGACTAGTCGCAGGATTGCACTAAGTTGAGGCTCCTTAACTGACTTGGTTATAGGTGTTTAACCTAGTTTTAAAGTCGCTTGCGGCCACGTCGGCGGGTCTGACCGTCTGATGTTCCCCCCTGCTGCATCCACTCATCGGCCTGCCCTCGCATACGCTAACCAACATAGGGTTCTCTTCAGGGTGTTACCAGGGTGTCGCAAAGCTACGCAGCCCAGCAGGCTGACAGCAACCAATTGAACCAAGGAATGAACCATTCTCCGCAACTCGGACCGAACGCGCCATGACGGGGAGACCCCAAGCTGCAAGGTCCCGCAATGGCTGCATCACCTGCAAGTAAGTCTGCGTTTCTACTGGTGGTGGTGCGGCAGCAGAGCAACTCACCCCGACAGGATTCGTCGCGTAAAGTGTGACGAGCAAAGGCCCGAGTGCAATCGGTGCCTGTCCACTGGGAGAACCTGCGACGGCTATCAGGATGGGTCCCAGTCACAATCGCTGGTCCAGAAACCCTGCTCCCTGCGCATCATACAGCATATTCCGCCGGGTCGGAAGATCCAGCCTGCAGTGCAGGTGAATGTCGATGAGCACCGCAGTCTGGAATTTTTCCACCACTATACCCTCCCGGGTCTAGGGCCAGAGGTGAGCTCGTATCTGCTGCAGGCTACGACCAGTGAGCCGGTGATCCGATCCGTGGCTATGGCGGTGGGCTCCGTGCACCGCTCCTTCGCCTTCGTAAGCGACGAAGACACCACCTTCACGCTGCTCCACTACAACAAAGCCATTCGGCAGCTTGTGACGTCTCCGCAAAGCAAAAGCACCGTCCTCCTCGCCTGTATCCTGTTCTTCTGCTGCGAATGTCTCCAAGGCCGCTACAAGACCGCCATCCAACATGCCTTGTCTGGTCTGCGAATTCTTCAGCAGCAACAGTTGCTCCCCCCTAGCTCTCTCGAGAGGGCCCCAGCAGCGGTGTCCTCGCTTTTCCACGCCGTACAGAGCCAGGTCCTCGAAATCGAGGGCATGGAAGGGCTGGACCCTGAATCGCAGCCCAAGCTGTCGCCGCCTGCATCGAATGCCAACCCTCTTCAAGCAGGCCTACCACTCGATGTGAGAGACCACCAACGCATCTTCCGCCAATTGTACTATCGGTTTGTGCAAATCGACGCCTTAATCGAGGCATTCGAGTCAATCCCCAACGATAACTCCCCCGCACATATCGCGCACGAACAGCAATTACTGGCCGAGTGGTTCCGGGTGCGCGCTGACCTCAAAACGTGGATGCGCGACTTCGACTGCCAGACCATTCATGCGTGGCAAGCAGATCCACGTACTGCATCGCTCCACGCAGATTCCATCGCCATCCTCAAAGCCTGGAAGCTGCTGTTCAGCATGTACTTTCGGATGAACTGGCCGCCGTCCGAGCTGGCGTGGGATCAATTCACCCCCGACTTCCAATCCATCGTCTCCCTGGTATCCATCGTGACAGGCAACAACTGCATCAATCACGTATCCGCCGCACTTAATGTCGCATCAGCCCCTACAACCACCAGACAAGACAGCAGAACCCCCCCACGCCGGTCCGCACCGCCGCCACTTCTCCCAACTCCACCACCCCCAGTCCCATCCCAGCCCATCTTCACTCTCTCCCTGGGCTTCCTCACCCCGCTCTACATCTGCGCCACTCGCTGTCGGGACTCGACGATCCGACACCACGCCCTCCGGCTGCTCGAGACCTGTCGTCGACGCGAAGGGGTCTGGGACTCTGACCTCGCCGCCCGGGTGGCGCGCCGCATCATCGCCATCGAGGAACAGGCGGCCGGCGTGGAGCCGGGTATTGCTGTATATCGCTCTGCAAACATCAGCTTGGAAGCGCGCGTGCGGTCTTCGTCGCCGCAGTTTGCGGAGGGGCGCAAGGCTACGCTGCGGTATGTGGGGGGAGGTAGTGGGCCTGAGGTTGGCTTGATGGAGGAGACGATTGTTTGGTGAAACTAGATGTTTGGATGCTTAGTTGGTAGTGGGAGGGTGCTCTGAGTTGTATTCGACATGAGCACAAGGGCAATGCTATATGAGAGACGAGATGGGGGGTGGGTGAAGTGAGAGAATAGGAATAGTCGTCAGATAACCAACTCGCTTCGGCCTGTCTTCAGACATATGTGTTTGACAGGTTAGTCTGTGGTATCGTGGACTTCAGCTTATCTTACCGAAGGGAGTAATGGAACATTTCATGTAGCCGTAGTTGTTAGTTGTTATTAAAGCTCACCGTATCTCCGATACCACTCACGTTAGACAATATAGGAAAAGATGGCAAGTGAAAACTCACGATAAAGATCTTAGAAAGTGAACACTAGCCCAGAGGCCCCACATATAGAGACTAACAGAACGATAGAGGTGGTCCCAGAAAAAAGCCTCATGGCGAAACCTTCGGTCCTAAAACCCCTAAAAATACTGATATCCGAAGGCATTAGAGCAGGTGTTCGAAACCTAATTGTAAGAATACCTCGAGTCCTTGATACCATCATCGCACCACTTTCCAACCTGGTGGAAGCAGCTAGCCAGCTTTACTCTGTGCCATATACGTTGGCCTTACACAGAGTGCACATACATGCAATACTCCTCTCAAGTTAGGATCAGTTTACTTCAAGACTAGAAACTAGCTTGGTCATGAAGCTCTCAGGTATTTCTACTTATTATTGTTTACCAAGATATACGCTTTATTTGTATTGCTCATGACCTTCGGAGGCACTATTCGGCGGTGGCTGCAGGTATGCCGGCGGCCAGGGAGGTCAGCAAGACAACCAGACCCTAAGGCGAGGGGAGATAGCAACAGCCTTCACTCAAGCGAGTGGTTCAGCTTCTTCACGACCACAGATCCAGAACCCCTCAAAAACAGCTGTGGAAGGCTGAATCTGCGATAGGTCATGGTCGTGAATACCGATCAATTCCACATGGCTTGATTTTCCTTGTGTATTGGTCGGGGTGTGTTTACGGTGGGTCAGTAATAACCGACCATCCTTTCTTCCATAAGCTCGGGGGAGCATGCTTCTTAGTAGTATTGAACCTTGTCGGGTGCCCTTGGAAGAAGCACCCAAGTCACGTAAGGGCCGGCATTGCCGAGTTTTCAGATGTCCGCCCACTGTTCTCGCATCTCCGGCGTGATACTGGTCGCTGTGTGGGCAAACTCCGCCGTGAGCCAGGGATCCCAATCCCAGTCCACCCAGTCGTCAAAGGGGGACGCCTTGAACTTGGCCTCGTTCCACCGCAGCGGAGGCGAGATGTAGTCGCCAAGGAAACAGTTCAGCGTCAACGCCGCGGGGTCATCTCGTCTGCGATCGAAAAGGGCATGAGCCAGGTCCACGAACACCACGCGAGGCTTCCGGTCGTCATCCACCGCCAAATTCACGGTGTAGGAGCCATGGTAGGTCGGGCTATCGCGGCCCTGGAATTCGCGCAGCGCCGGGTATGCATTGGCCTCGTGAGTGTAGTACTTGTCCATGCAGCGGAACGGGTCGAGATATCCGTCGTCGTCACCGAAGTAAAGGGGGTCGTAGATCTTGGCAACGAAACCTGTGCCCTTGCGGGGCAGCGATGGCGATGTTGAGTCTAGTACCTCGACCGTCAAGGCCTGGGAGTTGTGGCCATCGCCGGCCTTCAGTGTGCCGGTGACTTGTAGGCTGACCGTGTCATCACCCTCGTTGCCCGGCAACCGGGTTCGCTTCAGACATCGCTCGACAGGGCTAAGTTGCGCCCTTTCCCTCCGCTCATTCTTACTGCTGATGCAGCACTTCAGCACGACTGGGGTCGGAGCTGGAGGTGCGTAGGATTGGGCTTGGAAGCGCCAGCCCGGGTTGTATGGTGATGGGGGTTTAGGGAGCTCGGTGGACGGAGGCCCGAACGGCGGCGGGGGGCTTTGGCGGTACCATTCTCACCATTCGTCGTCGCTCGTTTGGAGAAGAGCTGGGGTGGTGTTGACAGTGGTGCAAATGGACAGATATCTCTTCCCTTGTAGGTTCAATTCACAATCTTAGACAGCGAAGAGGAAAATATATTGCGTTACAGAAATGTGTCAACGGCATAGGGTATCAGATGCCTTGCATGGTCGGCAGGATGATTTTCCATGCGTTGTCCCAACTTGATGCATGTAGACGGGCATACCAGTGTAGATCTACCAGGGCTCGTTATTCGTTGATATATCCACTTGTTGTCTCGAGTGTGAATCAAGACGATAGGTCCTTATGAGGTGCCCCAGCCATCACGGAAGAGGAAGGAGTATTCACTAAAACATGGAGATCGAGGATTCCCATCGGAAGCAGGATGTTAAAGAACATCAGTCATTCTAAATTATATATACAAATCACCCATGAGACTATGCTTAAATTTGAAAGCCACATATTCAACAAAACATATCCTTCAAGCCGAACGAAAGCCAATTCCACATCTAGCATAACATACAGCCCATGCATCCCACTGCTCGCCACGCCTGCCTTCTCTCAAGAGCCGGGTACAGGACAGAGCATCCCTAACCCGCCGGGTTCGTACAGGTGAACGGCGTCAACGGCGATCCCTTGAAATCCGCCTCCATCGCCACAATCGACGCCCACAGCCCCAGCCCCGCCGTGCCCAACGCGGCCAACGAGTACAGCACATCAAAGGTATTCCGGGCGAACTGCTGACGGTACCCGCGGACCCAGCGCTTCCACCCGGAGTCCACGCGCTTCGTCTCGCCCGTGTGGGGGTCGAAGGTCTCCTCGGGCAGGATGGCGTCCTTCTGCACGTTGAACCCGACGAGGAGCATGGGCGGGAAGGTGTAGGAGAACTGGAGGATGCAGAGCGCGCCGACGAAGGAGGTGAGGTTGCTGATCTGCGGGATGGCGGCGGCGACGACCCAGGCGAGGCACCAGTAGATCGGGACTGTTCGTTCCGTTAACCTCAATGCTCCAATCCTACGTCACGGGGCACATACCAAGAGCAATCCAGATCAGTTTCCCGGTCCGGTGATCCAGCGGCGGGAAGTGGAAGACGTCGCGCAGGACCGAGGCGTAGAAGACCTTGATGCCGATGTTGCCGTACAACAGAGCCGCGATCACGCCTGAGATGAGCGAGAGGGCGTTACAGCCGGTTTGGTAGCTGTAAGCGGAGTCGGGGATTCCTGGCGGAGGATCCTGGTTAGCGTGACATGGCAACAAACATATCTACATCTCTTGATCGTGCAGAGACGGGGGGTCGGGTTGTGGCACTCACCCTGGTAGGCCGGGTTGAAGGTATACTGGCCCTGCGCGTTGTAGACGACCATTCCTTCGACGAGGTAGCACACGTAGATGAAAACCTCGGCGCAGATGAAGCCTTTCCAGAAATCGAAGCTACCCATTTGTTAGCACTCTGCAACGGCGCAGAAGGAGACATGGAGGGGGCCTACGGGCGCCGCATCTCGGCCATCAGCTCGTTGAAGAGGGTGGCTCCACCGTAGGCGAAGACACAGTTCATCACCGCCGTCATCCGGGTGTACAGAGTCCCGTCCGCCGGCCAGTTGGCGCTGGTCCGAATGGGTTCGGGATTGAGGTTGGTAGAGCTGGCGACACTGTCGGTGGGGGGGTATACGTAGACGACGCCCATACTAGCCATTCTGTCAGCACTGTTCTTGCTCTTTCGGGGATAGCGCCGTGCTCGTACGTGATGAGAATCACTGTAAAGTTCATCCAGATGGCCAGGTTCGATAGCCAAGACAAGCGCTGCAAGGTCCGAATCTGTCCTAGAACGAAGCCGAGGAGCATGAAGATGACCTCACACACGATGACTGTGGGGATGAGATGTCAGCACTGCCGACAATTCTTGCACGGGTTGAGGAATCTCACAGCATAGTTTTCCCGTGCCATTCACTCCGGCAGCCATTTGACCCAACCCCTGACCGTTGCTGACAATCAGCAAGGTCACGTTCAGGAAGAACTGGAAGCTCTGAAGAATGTTGACGCCGATGCGAGCAATGGGGCCGAAGATACGGAAGGCTACATCGCCGTAGTCTGGGAAAGTCCGTCAGCCAGTCGCTTTATGCCTCTCCCTGGTGCCAACGGGATAACCTACTGCGCATGGGATAGCGGGTTGAATCGAGACCGTTGAAGATCTTCCAAAGCTGCATTCCGGAACTATAGATTGTTTAGTCCAAGAGGCAGGAGTGTTTGATATGGAGGGGAAACTCACTAGTATGCCATGACACCAAACACCGTATACAACGCCTGCGAGCCCTATGTTAGCTGATAGCGGAACTCAGGCTTAGTGGCCCGACTCACAAAACCAGGGCCGTAACCCATTTCCTGCGCAACTCGTTAGTATCCTTCATCCTGCCAACTTCTCCGTTTCCCCAAGAGAATCACTTACACTAATCGCCCAAGGCACGTTCGTCGGACCCAGGATATCGGTGGTGATCAGATAGAAAATCGAGCCTACCCGCCCACAGATTGTCAGTCTCACTCCACTCCACAACCCACCCCAACAACCCTAGAAAACAGCATCCACTCACCCCAGGTTGCCGTTCTCGCGGCCCGCTGGGCCAGCTCCCACTCCGTCTCGGTAATGCCATACTGATCGCCGTTCCCCTCTCGCTCGCCCCCATACCCATCCCCGGAATCCGCCTTCTCCGACATCGCAGCCTTCTCATCCCCAGCCGCAACCGCACCCTCGACTGGACCCTTCTGCTTCTCCTTCGTCGTGGAATCCACAATCCGCGGGGCCGGCGCCGTCTCCTTGGACACGCGCCCCAGCATCACATTCCACAAGTGCTGGAAGCCCTGGTTGTCGGTGCGGATATGCTTCTCGAACTCGCGGGAGCGCTTGGCCCAGAACAGGTAGTTCTCGAAGGAGATGCTGGAGTCGAGGTAGATGTTGTTCGAGCCGTGCATGACGGGGGCGGGGATGGTGTGGAGCGACCGTTCCTTGCTGCCGGGGTGGCCATGCTGGCTGTGGTCGTCGACGATGATGCCGTGTTCGGCCTCGGTGCCAATGAGGTCGGCTTCGTTGCCCAGGCGCGGGTCGGCGACACCCCCCAGGTTGGCGGCGGAGACGATGCCTGCCATTTTGCGGAGGATGCGAAAATACTATTCGAGAGAGAGAAAAAGTGGGAGGAGGGAAGGGGAGAGGAAAGATTGACGTTGGTGTGGGACAGGAGGGGGTTATAAATGGTTGTTCACATATTGACTAGTTCTATTGTGAACTGTGAATGGGTCGAATTGATTGATTGATTGATTGAGTGTCGGGGAGGGGGAGAACCACCCCGTTCATCCGTCGGGGCAGGCTATCAAGCATCCATTGGATGCGAACCAAACCACCCCCCCACTGGATCACGGTGTTAGGGATGGGATTGGACTGTTGGGCAGTGCCAGGTGGGGGTGGTGGGAGGTGGGATGGTGGGATCATGGATGGTATGGTAAACTACTATCCTGCAGTGGTGATTGTTCTCTGCCAATCTAGAAGGATTTCTTATCTTCCTCCATCCTGCATTCCTGCTGCTGCATCCACCGGTGAGACAGAGAGACAGGCACCCACTCACTTGCAGTAACTTAATGGGAGTGATGACATCGCTTGTGCTGCACAATGACCTCAACCTCAGCCTCCGACCAGGATGTCTCGGAGTGAAGAAACTTACCTGGGACCGTACGGTGCCTCCTGTACGGTACAATACCGAATCGAAACCCTCAAATTAGCTCGGCAAAGCTTGTCGGGCCCGGCTAAAAAAGCTTGGTGTGCCTCCACTGCGTGGAAGAGGCCCACTCTCTTCGCTTCGGCTGGCTTAGTCCTTATCCTCCTTTGTTCTGTGAAGAGAGAGAGAGAGACACGCGCACACAAACAAGAGTCAATTTAGAATTAATTAATTAACCCAGGAATCCTGCAAAGGAATGCAGTTCGACAGACAGCAAACCTCGCTTATCGCGCCCCGTGCACTGTCCCGCAACCACTCCCGTCATCATCCTGATACTGAGGGGTTAATCAACCTGCGAAGAACCAGTCGCGTGGTCGTTCACCATATCTCGCATTTTAGCCTTTGGTGTGACCCTGCTAATACCTAGCTTGCTTATCAGCAAGCACCCGGAAAAATATTACCTGCTTGCAAGTGGATGCAGCGCGCAGGACCAGAGGAAAAGGAAAGACAAGCGCCCCACTTTGGAAGTTCCGGACGTCCCCGGATGGGTGCCCACTGCCATGCCCGCAAGCCACTGAGACGCAGAGAATTGCATGCGGCCGGGATGGCAAAATGGCCATGCCATGTGCGGGCTGTTTTCAGTTGAATCCTTGTATGAGGACTCCGTTCGGTGCGTGAGGCATTGCTGTTGTTCGCCACTTGTCATTGTATTACCGCTGTTATTTGCAGGAATGGCCTGAGGTTCATTAGCACATCAATGGCAGTTCTGCAATTACTAATCGCCACTCCACTAACAATAAGACATCGAGGACTCCGGGAAGACCGTCGGACAGCCGAGAAACGTAGCGGCGGTCTGTCTGCATGATTAATTTCCACTCCGATATGTCCGAGTGTTACATACGGGTACCGGGGTTCCCACTGCAATCTGATTGAAGAATCTTCCGACTCGTGGAGGGACTGAGACTGGACCTGGGACTGGGACTGGGACTGGCATGGTATGGGGAAGATAAGAATAAAAGAAAATGATAATAAAAATTAAAAACTAGAACCTCGAGAAAAAAGAAAACGACCAAGACGTTGGCCCACCCCCTATCACCGAATAAGAAAACAAGAAGACGGGGGTGTTCAACCCTAACTGTTCTGTCCGCCCCGTTGGGCACTCCCCTTATCATTCATCCCGACATTCTGGAACAGGAACCCAACCCCAGCATCCCAATCAATCGCACTTATCTGGCGTGTATCCATCTGAAGTGTATCCAGATAGACTGCACGCTCAGTCCCGCTTGCTCGTGACCGAATAATCCGTCGACATGTGGATCCCGGATTCATGCTCGCTGGCGTCGTACTTGACCATCTCGTGCATGGCCTCCACGTCGTCCTGCGTCTCCGGCACCGCGGCGGTGCTGCGCAGGGTCGACAGATAGTCCCAGTTGCGGATGACCTTCTTGCGCGCTCCGACCGCCTCGTCGCTGCCGTCGCTGCCGTGGCCCCGGGGCTTGGCCGCGCTGGAAACCTTGCTGCTGCCCAGGAGGTGCGGCGCCAGCTGCAAGAGCAGCGGCCGGAGCACGGGGAGGCACGCGCAGATGATGCCCACGTTGATTTCCACCATGCTGTTTCACCGGGCGGTCAGTCGGTTGGTGCTGCCTGTCGGAAGAAGGGGGGGGGGGGGGGTCCTTGAGATACATACGCCCATTTCGCCAAGGTCACCTTGTACCAGGTCAAGTCGCCATCGTGGATGAAGGGCATCATAGTGACGATTCGCACGATCGCGATCACGCAGGCGCTGGATGCTGAGTTAGCCACGGAATCACCCGGATGACTACATTGAGACAGCAGCAGGGTCAGGGGGCACTTACAAGGAACCCATCATCAACACCATCATGAGCAGCACCTTCTGCTTCAGGGTGGTCTGCAGCGACCAGCAGAGCCGGATAGGCAGCGCCAGCGTGATGATGTCTGAGAACAGGTTGAAGGCCGCATTGGCGTACACGAAGGCCAGCTGGTCGACACACCGTGCGGTCGGCATCAGCGTCACGTCCCACATGGCCTGGACGGGGATGCACCCGAGCGTGAAGACGAGCAGACTGATCATGTTGTACACCGCGACGAAGATCATGATGCCGTAGGTCATCTGCCGGAAGCGCTTCTCGGGGCTGAGGCGCAGGAAGAACAGCAGAATCGAGGTCTTGACCAGCCAGATGCCGACCACGAAGACGTCCTCGCCTGCCAGATCATTCTAAATGGGTTTAGTCAGGGGTTTGTGGTGGGAGATACACAGTATGGTGACGGGGAACAGATGCATACCTGCTTGAACGGCTTGATCTTGTCGAGGTGCAGATCCCAGATATGAAAGCCATACCCATTGTCGATGTCTATACAGGTGGGACGCTTAGCTGACTGGACGCACTCGAGAAGTTCTTCCATGACTTACTGACGATCCCCAGAATCGCGAAGATCCACGCGCAGATCTGAGCCCAGATGCAGAACCCTGGTGGAAACATCCGTCAGCCTGCTCAGTCCAGCTGGCATGATGCCCGCAGCAAGCTTACAGTCATCGATAGCAATCGTCTTCTGCAGGACCATCCGCGTATACAAACGCAACAACAAGACCACCGTTCCTGTCAAGCAAAGCGCGAGATTGATGGAATAGATCTGGTAGTTCTGATTCTCCGGGTTGTCGAAGTTGGCTGTGACGCCCGGGGGCGGGTCTGACGCCGGCACCTTGCTCAAATCCAAGGTAGTGGTGGACATGATGGAGTTGAAGGGATAAACAGCTGGATGTCCCGGTCGGCAACTGTTGCAGCAGCAGCAGCAGCACCTCTAGTTGGCATGCAATTGAAGAGAGGCCCTGCGCGTCGAGTCAGGAATGAACGGTCCACGACCCTCACTCTGCGTCCATGCTTTTCTTTATATCCTGTCAATCCGATCAAGCCTTTCGCTCGCTCGTTCGTACTTTCGGCCCCCTCCCGGGCCCATTGAAGAGATCATATGCAAGATGCATCGACTATTGCATAGTTTGGGTGGAGAGGGCGATCGTACCTCCTTGGCTGATGCCCAGCTCGATGTGGTCGGACCATTAACGCCACCACCCATAGCATACCCTCACCCACTGTTTCTCAAAATGGGTCCGTCAAAGTGACACCTCGATCGCAAACAATCCCAAAGTTCTCTAAGCGGGCCCCGATCAACCCTACTGTCTCTGGCGGAAGATGGTCCCCGCAGGGGAGGGGAGGGTCCAAGCCCTGGGACATTGGCCTTGTTCTCCAGACGTAGGGGGGCGGGCTGACCAAGTCCTGTACAGTACGTGCTGGTGTACGTTCCCTGACGATCGCACCGTTTCTGCGATTGACAGGCTAGGATCGCTGCTTGCGGAGACGACCTGTCACCCGGTCGCAGCCCGAAGCAAAAAGGGCCGGACGCAAGATCAATAAGTGCGGAGGAATCCAGATAGCGCAGGTCGCCCCTATCTCAGATCTTCTCCGTTGGGGGGTGTGCTTCTTTCCTTGGAACTGCAGGTGCGAGTTCTCCTTTTCTTCTGGCGGCAACAAGCCGACGCAATGAGGTGAAAAACCAAAGGACCCATATCCACCGATCGATGACCGTGTATTTGTCAGAAATGAGGTTGAGTCGGTTGGATAGATGGATTGATTGTTGGGAATAGGCTTTGGCCAAGACGGAAATCGAGAAATCAGGGCTTCCCCGCTTATTCCCCAAGCCCTGATCCAGCCATCATCAGCCTTTGCCAGCCTTTTCGCGCCCTCCCCGAAGCACTCTGATGCATTGACAAAGGAAGTGGCTTCGTGGGCCTGGGGAAAACAGGAAAATTGCGTCTGGTCTTTCTGTTGTTCCCCGAAGGCGTTGAGACTCCGTGAGCATCGCGTGCAGAAAGGGGAGAGGGAGAGCAAAGAGCCACCGAGCAAATGTGACAGGTGTCGGACCCACTTGATGCCAGCATCATCACAACAATCCACCAGGCAAGATCTCCTGTCGATCTAATCATTGGCCCCACGAATGGCATCTGTCGGTCTGTGACTGCAGGTCGTGTTGCCTTTTCGAGTCTAGCCAATGAGACCCTGATTTGCCTTTCGTGATGTATCCAATTTCACTCTCTACAGCGGCAGCCCTCCAATCCCCTTTCTCAATACGCACGCTGTGCAAAAGGACCAATTTATAAGACTTTAGGGCTCCCCTTCCGCCTTGGACTCCGGATACAATATCCTGTCTCTCCGCCGAACTTGTCCGGGTGCCTGTGTAACCGGGGGAACCTGTCATGGCGCCTCTCGATCCCAGCATCGATCGCATCCAGCAGTGTCTGGACGAGGTGGTTCAGTCTGTCGGCCAGTTCCGAAACCCTTCAATCTCGCTTAGCAACCAGGATGCACGGTACGAATTGCTGGTCAAGGCGATGCGTCTGGTGCAGACCATCCGCGGACCTGCCGATCTGGTCTTTCGCCAACTTTGAGAATGTGAGCATGGGCAGACCGATCATCTCACTTTTCTGTATCACCGAGAAGCTGACTAGATGCATCCGAGGTCCTTAGATGACCAATTTGGGCGCTATCCGCACGCTCCGCGCAGCCGGAGTATTCGATGCCATCCCGGTCGGCGGCCAGAGCATGTCGGCCACCAACATTGCGGCTCGAACCGGGGTGAGTAAGGAGATCATCGGTGTGCGATCGTGAGCTCTTTTCTCCTGGATGGAGACGAACCCGTGCCCTGTTCTGACTCGATGTGACATGCTGCAGTGCGCATGATGCGGGCGGTCACGCCTTTCGGACCGTTTCGCGAGACCGGCGAGGAGGAGTATGCGCACACCCCCAACTCGGAGATCTATCTCGCTCCCCAGATGCGTGCCGTTCTGAGTTTCATGTGAGTTGTCATTCACCCCTTAACTAGGTTTGGTTGTCAGTCAACCAGCAACGGTCCGCTCATCATCCGATGTCGGGATACCAGGGTCGATGAATACTGCCCCGGCGATGCTGCGCACCCACGAATTCCTCCGCCAACACCAGTGGCAGGACCGCATCAGCCTGCGCAGCAACCCATACACCCTCGTACATCGCTGTGAGGGCCAGACGATGTTCGAGCACATCTCCCAAAGTCCCGAGCGACTGGCCCGACTCAACAACGCGATGGTCGCCGAGGACTCCCTTCTCGCCGAGATCGGGCTTGCCCCGTTCGCGGAGCGACTGAGTCCGCTGGCGCAGGCGGATCAGGCGACCATAGTCGACGTCGGCGGTGGACGAGGCCACATCCTGCGCCAGATCCAGGAGAACAGCCCCAGCCTAGCGGGGCGCTTCATCCTCCAAGACCGCGCCAGTGTCATTACCGACAATGGGCCGGCGCTGACCCGCCATGGCATCGAGCCGATGGCCCATGACTTCGTCACCCCGCAGCCTGTGAAAGGTACGTGACGAGGGATAATGACTCTGCTGCATCAAAAAACATCAAGCACGCTGATTCTAACCTCAATCTCAGGCGCATTGGTGTACTATATCCGCCGCGTCCTGCACGACTGGCCCGACGCAGAGGGCCGCGAGATCCTCACGCACCTGGCCGCAGCGATGGACCGGGGGAAATCCCGCATCCTCATCACGGAGACGATCCTGCCCGAGGTCGGCGCCACCATGGCCCACGCCTACATGGATCACCCGATGATGACGTTTGGAGGGACCGAGCGGACAGTCAAGGACTTCGCGCGCCTGTTCGAGGCGGCGGGGCTGCGGCTGGCCCAGGTCTGGCAGTGCCCCGGGGTGCCGATGGTGGTCGTGGAGGCCCGCTTGCAGTGAGTCCGAATATCGGGGGTTGATCTTGATGACTCGGTCATGGTTTTACTGGCCACTTGCCAGTCCTTGCCAAGCGCTGCCACATGGCGCTAATTCTAGACTGTTCCGTCTGCTGCAAAAGTCTTAACCGGAACAGTGGTTGAGAATTCTCGGAGTTGGTGACTATCGGAAGATGGGGATGTCATCGGAAGGAGTGGTTGTGTGAGTCTAGATGGACGACACTTGGATCCATGATGGTCGTGGAGATTTCCCGATGGGAGTACCCTTCGTACGTAGCTCTTTCTTGTGTAGCTAGTAACTTAGGGCGTATGGTGGTTCATTTTTTCCTTTCCCGCGTTTTCCCCGTCGGCAACCCCAACTTGCGGGGTGAATGGAGCCGTGCTCGGGATTGTGAAAGTCCACCTGCACCCGCAACGTCAAAGAGGTCGTTTTTCTACAGGCTTTGTCTGCTGACTCTCTCTACGACTCTTGCTTGTAAATGTCCTTTGACATGTTCATGTTCATGTTCTTGTTCTTGTTCTTGTTCACTCATTGACACCTCTTCTCTAAGGCTTGACATATTCATCTTGACCGAATTTTTCTTCCAGTGTCAACTTTCCCCCGGAGAGAATCCTCCACCCCACTCAGTCATGCGTGACTCATGATGAAGGAAGCTGAATAAACCGGGCAGAAAGCACCGAAGCCCTGCTTGGACCGCAGAAGGCATGGCAACCATCCCCAAAGAGGAGCCACACATGGCACGATCTCAACGCAGAGCCACATCCTCGGGTTCTGCAACCGCAACCCCACAGAATGCTCCCCAGTCCCCACGGGAAACCAATTGCTGCAGAAAAAGTGCAGGGGAGGGCAAGAATTACCGACAGCACGCTGGACCCACCATGACCGCGCCGAGGGATACGAGCCTGTCACGAAGCGCCAAAACCGCCACCAAACCGCGTGACTCGGATGGGCCCGAGCGTCGACCATAACCTTCAGAGTTGGATTCCTCTGGAATCCTGGATTCTTGCTTTGTAGAGAGCATCCTGGAATTGCCGGAGTTTTACCGAGAGGTGGTGGGCAGCACGGCTCGGCTGGTGCAGCGGCGGGCATTGGCCGAATGCCCTTCCATTCCTCGTGGAGTCCCCGCATTCTCCCCTCCAGCTTTCTTGCTCCGTCCCCGGACTCGGTTTGTCCCCGAACCCCAACCCTAACTTCCAGATGTCACGCTTCACGCTCCACTTGAGAGCTCTACCTCTACCAGTTTCCTCCTTCCTAGCATCGGAGGAGACGAGTTAGACTTCAGTCACCGGTTTTTACGCCAAATGCCAAGCCCGGCCCACGCAGACGGTAACACCCTCGTCACGGTCACCAGTCATGTTCGCCCACCATGACGGCAGTTGGGACCTCGAGGTGGCCGATTGTTGGGCGGAATGGGCCAGACAGGGTGCACTGCGGAGTTGGGGTGGATTGAGCAGTTCTCCAGGTTGGAATCGTGTCTATATAAACAGCCCCCCCGGCATCGTCGGCTTGATCCAGTTCCATCCCAACACATCCAGCTTCCATCCGCGTCGTTGCAAACTCGACCAGAATGAAGCTCACCGTTCCCCTAACGGCAGCAGCTCTGCCTCTGGCGGGCGCAGCCGTCATCCAACCCCGTACACTCAACGTCACCGACCTCGAGCACTATTGGTCCTACGGCCGCTCAGAACCCGTCTATCCCACGCGTGAGTCGAACACTGCATCACCCATCACTCATCAGTCACCAACTAACCGCCACAGCCGAGACCCAAGGTCTAGGTGACTGGGAGGATGCCTTCACCAAGGCCAAAGCCCTCGTGGCCCAGATGACCGACGAGGAGAAGAACAACATCACCTACGGCTACTCCTCCACCACCAACGGCTGCTCCGGCAACACGGCGGGCGTCCCTCGGCTGGGCTACCCCGGCATCTGCCTGCAGGATGCCGCCAGCGGCGTCCGCGGCACCGACATGGTCAACGGCTACGCGTCCGGCTTGCACGTCGGCGCCTCGTGGAACCGGGAGCTGGCCTACCAGCGCGCGCAGTACATGGGCGCCGAGTTCAAGCGCAAGGGCGTCAACGTGGCCCTGGGCCCCGTGGCCGGGCCCCTGGGCCGCATCGCGCGCGGCGGCCGCAACTGGGAAGGGTTCAGCAACGACCCGTACCTGGCGGGCGCGCTGACGGGGGACACGGTCCGCGGACTGCAGGAATCGGTCATCGCGTGCGTCAAGCACCTGATCGGCAACGAGCAGGAGACCAACCGCAACAGCCCGCAGATGCTGACGGGCTCGCACAACAACTCGGTCTCGTCCAACATCGACGACAAGACCATGCACGAGCTGTACCTCTGGCCGTTCCAGGACGCCGTCAAGGCGGGCGCCGGCTCCGTCATGTGCAGCTACAACCGCATCAACAACAGCTACGGCTGCCAGAACAGCAAGACCATGAACGGCCTGCTCAAGGGCGAGCTGGGCTTCCAGGGCTTCGTCGTCTCCGACTGGAGCGCCCAGCACACGGGGCTGGCCAGCGCCGACGCCGGCCTGGACATGGCCATGCCCTCCTCCGAGTACTGGGACAGCAACCAGCTGGCGACGGCCGTGGCCAACGGCTCCCTCGCCGCGACCCGGCTGGACGACATGGCCACGCGCATCGTCGCCGCCTGGTACAAGTACGCCGAGCTGGAAGACCCGGGCCACGGCATGCCCGTCAGCCTGCTGGAGCCACACACCCTCGTGGACGCGCGCGACCCGGCCGCCAAGGAGACCATCTTCCAGGGGGCAGTCGAGGGCCACGTGCTGGTCAAGAACACGAACCAGGCCCTCCCCCTCTCGTCGCCGCGCTTCCTCTCCCTCTTCGGCTACGACGCCGTCGCCGCCCCGCAGAACACGATGGACGATCTCTCATGGAGCCTGTGGGCGATGGGCTGGACGAACACGCAGACCTACCCCAACGGCAGCGCGGTCGACCCGACGATGCTGAAATACATCTTCCTGTCGAGCGCCGACCCGACCGCGACGGGGCCCGGGATCGCCCTGAACGGCACCATGTACACCGGGGGCGGGTCCGGGGCGAGCACGCCCTCGTACATCGACGCACCCTTCGACGCGCTGCAGCGCCAGGCCCGCGCGGACAACACCTTCCTGGCGTGGGACTTCACCTCGCCTGCCCCGCTCGTCAACCCGGCCAGCGAAGCATGCCTCGTCTTCATCAACGCCGCCGCAGCGGAGGGCTGGGACCGCCCGGCCCTGAGCGACAGCTACTCGGACAATCTGGTGCAGCACGTCGCCTCGCAATGCAACAACACGATGGTCATCATCCACAACGCAGGCATCCGACCCGTCGACGCGTGGATCGAGCATCCCAACATCACGGCCGTGATGTACGCCCACCTGCCGGGCCAGGACAGCGGCGCCGCGCTGGTCGAGGTGCTGTACGGCAAGCAGTCGCCCTCCGGCCGACTGCCGTACACGGTGGCGCGCAACGCCAGCGACTACGGCGCCCTGCTGGGCCCGACCCTGCCGTCCGCCGCCAAAGACAAGACAGAGATCTACTACCCGCAGGACGATTTCAGCGAGGGCGTGTACATCGACTACAAGCACTTCGAAGCCCGAAACATCACGCCGCGGTTCGAGTTCGGCTTCGGCCTCACCTACGCGAATTTCACCTACAGTAACCTCGTCGTCACCACCCCCACCACGGCCGTGACGAGCTACACCCCGCCCGATATCACCGCCGCCACCGTCGCGGAGGGCGGCCTCCCCTCCCTCTGGGACGTGTTGGTGGCCGTCTCCTGCACCCTGGAGAATACCGGGGCTGTGGCCGCCAAGGAGGTCGCGCAGCTGTACGTGGGCATCCCCGGCGGGCCGGCGAAGGTGCTGCGCGGGTTCGCGAAGGAGCTGGTCGAGCCGGGCCAGACGAAGGAGGTTACCTTCCACTTGACGCGCAGGGATCTGAGTACCTGGGACGTGGTGGCGCAGAGCTGGGTGTTGCCGCGCGGCGAGTATGGGTTGTTTGTGGGGAAGAGTGTGGCGGATGTGCAGTTGACGGGGTCGGTGAGCTTTTAGGGCTGGGGATGAGTTATGGATTAATGGGTGTATATCATGAATTCAATGGGTCATTGCATTTAATTTTCTTCTTCATTTTGGGGTGGGGGTTGGAGGTTGTTTCCCCTCCCCGCCTCGATTTCTTTCTTTTTTTCTGGGGAGGGGGTTAAGGTATAATGTGATGGGCAAGGCAAGATGTGTCAACTGTGAAGGCGGGTGAGGGGGAGATATTGTATGTTGTCGAGCGGGAAGTGCTGAGGAGTGGTGATGGTGGTGGATGGAGACGATCTACAACTTATGCATTTCTTAACCCCTTACTGACAACGTACTACGTCTTTACAACTAGCAGAGCGATGAATAGACATCACAACACCTAAACCAAGACTGTACATTACATTTTCTCCCTACTGGCTAGTATCACACTTCTATACATCTCCCCCCCACAGCTACCGCAACCACCCCTTGGGACCGCCCCACGTCCCGTTCACCAGGTTGTTGTAATACACCCAGGGGAAGAAGTTCTTCTTGAGCTGCCAGAACGCCTTGCGCGGCACGGCCTGGTCGATGCCGAACCAGCCCCCGAACGTCTCCTTGGGCACGCCCGCGTACTTGAACTCGGCCAGCAGCACCTTGCCGTACTCGGTCGTCAGCGGACACGAGGTGTAGCCGTCGTACTCGGCGTCGGGCGCCTTGCCCTCGACCGCGCGCAGCAGGTTGCGCACCAGAACCGGCGTCTCCGCCGTGATGGCCGCCGTCGTCTTGGAGGTGGGCAGACTGGAGGCGTCACCGATCGACCACACGTTCTTGAACTTCTTGTGCTGGGTGGTGGCGTTATCTACGTCCACGAATCCCGCCGCGTCGGCCAGGGGCGAGTTCTTCACGAACGCGTGGGGGCCCATCTTGGGGACGACGTGCAGCAGATCGAACTCGCGCTGCACCTGGCCCCCGGACCCGTCGCCCTTGGCGAAGGTGGCCGTGTTGCCCTCGACGGCCACCAGGTCGTGCTGGAACAAGCCCTCGACGCCGCGCTCCTGGCGCAGCGCCTCCAGCGCGGCACTGTACTTGGGCACGCCGAACATGCCCGGCAGGCCGGTGGCGAAGCTGATCTGGATGGCGGAGTTGGCCGGATTGGCCGGGTCGTAGAGGCCGGCCTGCTTCCAGTGGTCGAGAGCCAGCCACATGATCTTCTGCGGGGCGCCGGCGCACTTGAGCACGCCGGCGGGCTGGGTGAACAGCGCCTTGCCGCGCTTCAGCTGGTTGAGGGTGCGGTAGACCTTGTCGACGTGCTCATACCCATAGATCGACGAGACGAGGCTGTTGGGATCCGCCAGCGCCTCCGGCAGGCCCTTGATGCTGTTGAAGTTGACGTGGATGCCCGGCACGACGATCAGCTGCTCGTACCCGAGCCGGTCGCCGTTGGCCAGCGTCACCGTGTTCTGGTCCGGCGTGAAGCCGTCGACCGCCTGCCCGTACAGCTTGAGCTTCGCGTCCACCAGGCCCGGCAGCGGCCGCCGCAGCTCCTCCTTGGTCTTCACGCCGCCGCCCACCAGGGTCCAGCCCGCTTGGTAGTGGTGCCATTCGGCGGGGTCGACGATCGCGATGTCGTCTTGGGTGTATTGGCCGGTGTGGAGGAGCTGGTGGCTCACGTTCAGGCCGGCGGTGCCGCCGCCGATGACGACGATCTTGTGGTTGCGCGTGGAGGAGGGAGTGACGGGGTGGGCGGCGGAGGGGGAGGAGGAGGAGGAGGAGGAGGACGAGGGGGGAGCGGCGGTGGCGAAGGTGCGGAGGGAGGCGCTGGTGGGCTGAGAGGTGGCAGCGCGGGCAGCGCGGGTGACGCTGCTGCGGAACATTGTGTTGAGGATTGTCACCGATGGTGAGGGTGAGGGAGGAAGAATGGAGGAGAGGAGAGGAGAGAGGATGAGGATGAGGATAAAAAAGAAGATATTCAGAGAGATTGTATGGTACCTGAAAGTCAACCTACGGGAGTGTAAGCCAATTGCCGGTCTCGGCGATCACGTCATCTCGGGATTCCCCTGTTTGGCCTGTTTGCTGGGCACTATCCCCGATCCGGACCGATCCGGACACCCTCCAGCCTATCCGGATTGTTCGATTTGGTCGGCGTGTTCTTTAGCCAACTCAGTCAGTCGGCGTCTCACTCGTCATATTCTTGAATTCCAGGGCAACAATGGCATGAGAAGCTGAGGAACGAGATTATATTGGTTCTATTTACAATAATGCATCAGTTATAGACCCCGAGATTCAGCTTATGGCCTGATCCCTCACCAATCCATCACTGACCCCGCCGCAACCTCCTTCCGCAAAGCCTCCTTCACAATCGCTCCACACATCTTCGCATACGGATTCGTCTGCACCGCCAGCTGCTGCGCGACCTTGTTGCCGAACCGTCCTCCCAGGAAAAAATCTCCGCTCGCCATCTCCTCCAGCTGCTGTGCCCCCAGTCCGTCCAACCGCTCCGGACCGCCTTCTCCGTGCGAGTGTCGGAATCTCGCGGCTTTCAGCAGAAGATAGCCCCGATGTGTGTATGCGTCTGCCAGGATGCGTGCTTGGCCTGGTGAGACAGGATCGGCCGGGGAGCGCGGGCTGGCGAGCTGGATGGCCTGGGTGAGGTCGGCGAGGAGGGCGGAGGCGGGGGTTCGGTTGGCGGGTGCGAAGAGCTTCGTGTCTGTGTCTGTGTCTGGATCTTGAATACTTGAGGAGGACGGGGAGGAGGAGGAGGCTGGGATTGGGGTGAGGTCGATCAGGAGACGGCGGGATTGGGCGCGGTTCATGTAGGCGGAGGGGTAGGTGGGTGCGTCGGTGATGAGGCGGTCCAAGTCGGTGATGGCTTTCTGGACGGTGGAGAGCGAGGGCTCTGGTTGTTGGAGCGTGCGGATGATTTTCAGTTCGGCTGACTTGAGGGATTCATGCTTCTCTGGCGAGATGTTGAGGTGGGCGGGTAATGTGGGGAGGGTCTCGTCGATGGCTAGAGCGGAGGAGGGAGAGGATTCTGCGTCGAAGAGGGCTTGCAGGACGGCGGAGTCGTTGGATGTGAGGGATGGTTTGCAGGGGTCGATGGTGGTCATTGTGATTGTGTGTCTGCGTAGTGTGGAGTTGGAGGGTGTACTGTAGGTATGAAGGTTATGTGCAGGTAGGTGAAGGGGACTGCTGATGATAAATGTAAATGCTTTCCCTATAAGATACCACCCTGTGCAGGATATGAGGGGATATTAGATATCTATCTCTATCTGTCGCAATGCAGGAGAGGAGATAGCCGGAGTATATCTGAACAGAGTCAAACCCGCGTCAGAAATGCGCGTCTAACCGTCCGAGACATTCAATCCGGATGTTCGCTCAAACACCCGCCGCCAGCCGGGCCTGTCCGTCCGCAGCCGCCACCCTGCCCTGCCTATCCGGGAAATAGACTGGAATCCTACTCTGTACCACCAAACCCTCGGGCCTCGTTATCACCAGAGTGTCCGAGTGCAGTAACAGTGAAGGTGGGAATATCCGTCATTAGATAGGGTTATAAGCTCGCCGTCTTCCATCTGTAGAGCTCCAACAGAAAGCCTCAGCAAGCCTCAACATTCCTTCATCACATCCAAACAGTACTACGTCCCTACTACCTGCATATCTCTCTATCAGATATATTGGAAAGGTCACTGGTACACATCGATCTACACCCTGATAAGCACATCATCGCCATGGCCCCCATCGCCACCTCCCCTCCCACCACCTCCTCCCTCCCCACCAACACCTCCAGCCTCGCCAGCTACAAAGGCTACGACCATGTGCACTGGTACGTCGGCAACGCCAAACAAGCCGCCTCCTTCTACATCACCCGCATGGGCTTTGAGCGGGTTGCCTACCGTGGCCTCGAGACCAACAGCCGCGCCATCTGCTCGCATGTCGTCCGCAACGGCGATATCACCTTCATCCTGACCTCCCCCCTGCGCTCTCTCGACCAAATCGCCCGCTTCAACCCCGGAGAACAGGACCTCCTCCGCGAGCTCCACGATCACCTCGAGCAGCACGGTGACGCTGTCAAGGACGTGGCCTTCGAGGTGGACTCGGTTGATGCCGTCTACAACGCCGCCGTGGCCAACGGCGCCAAAGCCGTCTCGGGCCCGCGGACCCTCGAGGACGCCGATGGCCGGGTGCGCGTGGCCACCATTCAGACGTACGGACAGACGACACACACCCTGATTGAGCGCGGCGACTACCACGGCACCTTCCTGCCGGGGTACCGCGTGGAGAAGGGCGATGCAGACCCGATCACCGCTCTCCTGCCCGGGGTGCATCTGCGACGGATCGATCACTGTGTGGGGAACCAGGATTGGGACGAGATGGACAAAATCTGCCAGTAGTATGTCCCCTTCAAGATACCAGGATCATGCAACAGGAACCATGTGGGATGAGACACCGACACTGACACCGGAATAGCTACGAAAACGCCCTCGGCTTCCACCGCTTCTGGTCCGTCGACGACAAAGATATCTGCACGTACGTTCATCCCCCAACCCAAAGAACGCCCAGAAACCGCCCAACTTGCTAACCTCCCACGAAAAACAGTGAATTCTCCGCCCTCAAGAGCATCGTCATGGCCTCGCCCAACGAAGTCGTCAAGATGCCCATCAACGAGCCGGCCAAGGGCAAGAAGCAGTCGCAGATCGAGGAGTACGTGGACTTCTACAACGGGGCGGGCGTGCAGCACATCGCGCTGCTGACGGACGACATCCTCGCGGCCATCACCAACCTCAAGGCGCGCGGCGTCGAGTTCATCAAGGTGCCCGACACCTACTACGAGGACATCAAGATCCGGCTGAAGAAGGCCGGCCTGGTGCTGCACGAGGACTTTGACGAGATCCGCAAGCTGGACATCCTGATCGATTTCGATGAGGGGGGGTATTTGCTGCAGTTGTTTACGAAGGTATGCTTCCACGCCCCTTTTTGGGGGTTGATTACGAGCGATGGAGGTTACTGACCCGCGCAACAGCACCTCATGGACCGCCCGACGGTGTTCATCGAGATCATCCAGCGGCATAATTTCTCCGGGTTCGGGGCGGGAAATTTCAAATCGCTGTTCGAGGCGATTGAGCGGGAGCAGGCTCTGCGGGGGAATCTGGTTTGATGTGGGGAGACGGTCGAGGTGAAGCGTTCTCACGGTTAGCGGATGCATGGCTCTTGTATTATTGCTTGCTTGTACATTTGAATCGCGGCGGTATGCATCGTACCTTGCATGACGATTAATGATTTTCTGAATTGAGTGGCTACTCTACATTTGACGTGTCGAAGATCTCCATTATCCGAGTATTTCGCCTGACTACAACTGTAGCTGCTTGCTGCGGAGAACATTCTGCACACCTAGTGATAGCATCATGATGCTGGTTTGCCATCCAACGACCCCATGACCTGCACCCAGAATCTACTTTCGGCACTAGGTTTTGGTCAGCAGGTCTGAGGGTCGGTGCTTCTCTGATAACCTCGGGAAGTCAAATGGGTGCGATGGTTACACTCGGATATCTCGGCCTCAGGTACGAAGTTGCCGTTGTGACGTCAAGAACCCTATCCTCGGATGATAGATTCCAGCCGCATATCCGCTATCGTTGTTTCTGTATGACCTTGGGATTGAGGAGAGGAGATACAATCAGGTGGATTCAGGGCTAGTACTCTTCTGCTCAATCACAGTTCATCAGCACAGTCTTGGTGCTCTGTTTATAGCTACGAATAAAAATGGTGGAAAAGCGATAAATGATCATTAGAAGGCGTACACAGACAGGTGTGTACATATAAGAGGTTGGGAGTAATGACTGCTCATTACAGACCAGGAAAGCGCAAGAAGACAAAGGGAGCTGAAGAGCTACTCTATAGGCATTAGTAGCAACATCAATATACCTGGTACATACTATGGATACAGAGAGAGAAATCTTAATTCCACCAGGCTTTTTGTCAAGCTCAGCCCTGCAAAGCTGTATAACATGGTTCTGCAGACCAGAAATCTCGAGTTTTCCAGCAAGAACCCAGAGTTGAAGCAAGAAAAAGATGTCAGTTCGGAAAGACAAGTTATAAGAAGTGTCGCCGTAGTAAATCCAACCCAAAAGCTCAGCAAAGACATCGGGATTATTGTTAGAAAAGCAATAAACAGAATCGCTTAGAATAGGTTTCTCAGTACGATTACTGTAAAGTATATGAATAATTGCATAATAACTCCACATGGGCATTAAATGGTATCTTATTGGCACCTACAGCAATATGTACAATTCCAGCACTTAGAGCACTGATATCTTTTATCAGAATATAACATTCAATAACAATTTAAAAATTTTAGTGTTATTGTATGATTTTCCAAGAGATCTGGCTATTTTCAGAGATTCTTTCTAGTTTGACTTTGGAGACTTCCGGAGGCCTCTTAAGTAAAGCAGATAAATCTTGTATAACACTTATCTGTATAGGTTAAACTCACATTATCTTACTTTTTGTATATAAGAGTCTTGTTCGTTGTAAAAAGAACTTCTAATCTCGGCAACGAGGACAGGTAATTTAAGTTCTGTTTAACCAACACATAATAAGCTTTATTTAAAATAAGACGTTACTTCTTAACCTTAGTGATGTTTACAGAGACTTTTTATTACCCTTAGCAGAAGGTAGAAGGGATTCGTAGACTATACACTAGTATACAGTAAAGTAAGATTCCTGATCCTCCTGGTTCAGATGAACCCAGTTGTTCCAGGTTGAACACTGCTAAGTGCGAAAATGATCCAGGCTATAATTAACTTAGATAAAGGTTTCTTTGTTATCTTAAACAACAAGTGTTGATAAAGCTGCTGAGGGAACCATGTAAGCGAGCCGGCTGTATAAATTATTTATCTATATTACTTAAATTCTGATTTCTACTAGGTTGACCGACAGATTAGACACCATGTCTTAAGATGCAACCCGGGCTAACGCTAGGGATGTTAAAATATTAGCAAAACCCATGTCTGGAAAAACCTATTAAGTTGTTATGTTTAATCTGTGTATTGAAGAGTTGAGCAGAAATACAGTGCTTGAAGGGCTCCATAATAATTAGCTCAAACTCGCCGCAAGGAGCAGACCATTCAACCGAATCTGCAGGGCATGGGAATTTGTGTTCAAAACTACCGATGGATAAAAATTTCTCGGCCACCCCCACTGCTGCCTTAGGCTGCAGGGCCGGAGATTCTCATTCCGCGGTCGAAGTGCGCAACTTCCCTATCCGGACTAGCCCGCAATGTCCGCTGTCGGGCAATTTTTCAATTTGGTCTTTCGGTTCAACGTGAGCACCAGAACTCCGTCCCCACCGCTTTTGAACTACTGTCAACTACTGTCAAACTATTCGTAGTGCTATTACAAGTTGCAAAGTGTAATAGGTGGGAGCAGTTTCTTCTCTTCGCGGTTGTTGTAGACACGTGCAGGGAAATGTCAAATCTCCGTTAGACATGCACCAACATGCAGATCCACGGATGCGTCCTCTCATCCAACAACCTCCGTAGTCTCCGGCTCTCTTGGTCCCTTTCCGAGCCCCGGGGAATCTAGCGTCATCTCAGGTTGCGGCACGATTGCGTATCGCACGCGCTGGTGGAGGAACCACCTGGATCAATGAGTATGGGCTTGGGTGGAACGGTGCACGGGACGAGGGAATGGACATACCATAGGGCAACACTCAACGCCACGACTGCCGGCACCCCCAGTCCCACACTCAGCCCGATGATCAGGTTGTTGTGATTGCCGTGGTGCTCGTGGCCGGTTGTGCTATTGCTGCCAGTCGCAGCACTGCGGGTCGAGGTGGACGTGGTTGCAGGAGGGATATAAGACACCGGGCTGCCGGAGGTCGCGAGCAGGGTGCGCGCGCCGGATCCAAAGGGGCTGGCACGCGACAACGAGGCGAACGTATTCGTCGGGAACGTAGCGGCTGCCCCGGACGTCACGGTCAGGACCGTGGTCAACTCGGTCTCAACCGACGTAGTGGTCTGCAGCGCGACCGGGCAGTTAACGAGACCGCTGGACGCGCATTGCACAAGGGTATACTGTGTCACCGTAGACAGCGTTGTGGTCTCGAGGCCTCCGTCGCGCTGGGCGAGCGTGGCCGACGGAGTGGTCGTCGCTGGGGCAGTCGTCTTCTTGCTGCCCGCGCAGAGGCTGGCGAAGGTGGTGTAGAAGACCGGCACGGTGGTGTTGGGCGAGGGGCCCCATTGATACGTATCCACCGCGACGGTGGCTCCGGCCGCCGCGCCCACCGCGAGGGTATATTCGGCCACCGCTTGGAAAGCGCAGTCGGCATCCTGACGGGTCGTGCCATTGACCTCTAGTTGGAAATCCGCCACGTAGGCGAAGACCTCCGCGCCAATCCCCGCACTGAACTTGACGGCTTCGAGCACGGAGAGCGACTCCGCGGGCGCGATGTCGAATCCCACGCTGGCCTCCAGCTGTAGGAGGGCCTGGAGGCTGCCGTAGCCCTGGATGGTAATCGGGAGGAATTCCACTTGCCCTCCGGGACTGTTCCCGTCAGTCGCGCTCACGGATCTTTTGTGTTTGGAGAAGAGAACAGCATGGTGTATTTCCAGAGCTCGGGAGACTCACAGTGTAATGTCCGACATCCCCTGATTGAACAGATCGAGGGCAAGCACCAGCCCATCGTCCAACTTGATATGGATCCCACTGCTGATATCCACTTCCGCCTCTGCGATTAACACCAGCGAGACTTTGAACACCGCGCCCGCATCGAGTCCCGGGATCGAGAAGCCCACAATAGTCTCGGAGGTGAATAGATTCAACGTATACGTTCCACCGGCCGACAACTGCACATCCAGCTCCAGGTACAGCTCCAGATTGTCGAACTCAAACTCTGCATGAACACCAGGGAAGTCCTGAGTTGTATTCAGAGTGAAGTCGAGATCCAGCGTTGGCCAGGCGGGCATGTCGACCAGTTCGAAGTGAGTGACGCCTTCGACAAAGTCCTCTGCCGCGTCGCGTGCAAAGGTCTTGAGCTGGGTAATCGCTGCATCGGTCACGTTTGCGAGCTCATCTGTGACGCTTTCCACGAGATCGGTGACGTTCAAGCTCTCCTCTACAGTCAAAAAGCCGCTGACCGAGCCGTTGATGTAGCAGGACGTGCAGATGATGGCGAGGCCGACCTCAACATCCAGGGATCCTTGCTTCGATGTGCTGGAGGCACTGGGAGTTGAAGATCAACGTCAGCTTACGTGCGATAAAACTTCCAAACTGGGCGACTCGCGCGGTACCTCGCTTCGATCGAGAATAGAGTGGCGTTGACCAAGCTCTTTGTCAAAAAGGCTGTCTCGTTGGTGCTGTAGGTCCTGCCGCCCACCGCACGCAGAGCTTCTTTCACCGCGCTCGCGGTACCTTGGTCGGTGCCATGACGAGTGGGTCGCAAGGAAGCATAGCCGGTACTAATCGCTTGAACAATGCCAAAGAATTGCAGGCAGGCGAGGGCGCAGCTGCTCCAGCACATGATGATTTCACCGTGGGGCTCAAGTCCCACAACATCACTCACTCCCCCAGCTTGGGGGACCAGATGGAAGAAATAGCTGGAGCGAAGGCTTCGTCGCATTGCTAAGCCTCGTTGAGGCCAACAGTAGACTACTGCAACTAGCTGTGCCGCAGGGCGAGATTGGGCTATCTTCCAGCATAGCCGACACCATCTGCGCGCTAGCAGGGATTAAGCTGCCCATTCCCCTCACCAGGATTCATGGGAAATTGCTCCTCTTCTTTTCCTGAATCAGATAAGCACTAAATATGCACGCACCGTCTCCATCCGCCTAACCACAATCTCAGCAACCGAGAACTGGCGGTCCGCTCATATCGTGGCTTGCATGGCATTGCCGTAGTGTAGTGAGTCTAAGCCTCCTCTTGGTTGTACAGCCCTAGGTCACAGAAATACCTCAATGAGATGGAGCGACATCTACCGTCGTCCCTACATGTATGGGGCGTATTCTGGGCTTGAGAGATGGTAGTAAGGCGCTGCCATGGCCTTGCAAGTACATCTTACTGATCCGTAGCCTTCCTGAAACCGCACTCACCTCGCCATCAACAGTAGGGTTTGCTTGCCAGCCTGCTCATCACTCCACCAGCTTTATTATTGACCATTTCCAGAATGAACACTAGGCGGTCTTTATGGCATCGGCAGCCAATAAGCCGAAGAGGTCATTCCAGGAAACAGACCGGACAAAGACAGGTGTGGAATCTTCACACAAAGGGCAGTCGCGTACCGCACCGTGGACACAAAGAACCATACTTACCACTCAGGTCTCGTAGAAACCTACCACCTATCTCAGTCTTCAGCAATGGAAAGTGGCATCTACACAACGCTACCTGGCCTACGTTTTGGGCAATTGCCATTCACCACGCTATCTATTTTTCGAGTTGATACTGCCTACTCAACCACTAATAATATAAACCCACCATCCACCTGCCCTTACCAAGACAAGATAAAACTCGACGAGCAAGATGCTAGACATCAAAGAAGACGACTTCACCGATAAACGCGCAGAGGTGACAATACCTATTTCACCTCCAAACGATGGAGCCCCAGCAGCCAGCACCTGCACCCCCAAGCCCTCCTCGACCCCCCAGCCCCAGACCTCGCCCAGCAAGCTCCAACTCCTCGATCTCCAACAACAGCAGAACCTGGCTCGCGAAGCAGTATCCCAAGCAGCGATGGAGCGCGAGAGCAAGTCCCTCCACCCCGCACCCATCCAATCCCTAATCTAACACCACCTCCAACCACCACAGACCTGCACAGCAAAGTCACAATCCAAACGCACCACATCCACCGCCCAATCCAGCTCTCCTCGCAGTCCACAGCCACCCCGCACAGCCACCCAACAGACCGCCCACTAACCGCGCGGGTCTATGCCCCCAAACCCCAAGGCTACACCCCGCTCCACCTGCCGGTGTACCTCTACTTCCACGGCGGCGGCTTCTTCACCGGCACGCTGGACAGCGAGGACGCGACCTGCGCGCGGCTCGTGGCCGCCCTCTACGCCAAAGGCCGTCCGATCATCCTGGTGAGCGCGGACTACCGCAAGGCGACGCAGGTGAGCTTCCCGGACCCCTACGAGGATGCGTGGGAGGTGTTCGCCTGGCTGGAGCGGCGCATTGCCTGGTTGAACGGGGACCCCACGCGGGTGTTTGTGGGCGGGGAGGATGCCGGGGCCGCGCTGGCGGCGTGGGTGGCCTGGTTCGCGCGCAGCAATGTCGCGGGGCGGCTGGAGGTGGAGACGAGGTCCGAGAGGGTGATCAAGGTGCAGGCGCTGGTGGTTTGTAATCCCTGGATGCCGTTTTTGGATCGGTTGGAGCAGGGTGGCGTGGATCTGGGGGAGGGTGGGGTTGTGGAGCTGAATACTGGGGATGGGAAGGGGAAGGAGAGAGAGACCGAGGGAACGGAGGTGGGAAAGGGGAATGCAGCTGGATACGATTTCTATCACGCGCTGCTGAACGCCTACCGTGTTGAGCCGGGTCATCATGGGATTGGCATGTGGACGGCGCTGGAGGCGATGCCGCACACGTATCTGTTGACCTTTGCAGAGAGTCTGTTGCGGCGGAGGCAGCTGCTGTTCGCGACGCTGCTGATGCGCGAGGGGTGAGTTTCTTTCCTTTGCAATTGCGAAGCAGTTTTGGTTTCGAGTTGGCGGATGGTTGGGTTCATGCTGACATTTTTGACCTCAATCCTAGGGTTAATGTGGAAATGAAAGTCCTGCCTGGCTCGCCGCACGAAACCCAGGATCTGGACATCCTCCCGAGCTCCCACCCCTGGGGTTCCGAGTTGGTGGAGGCGCTGGAGTGGTGCTTGCGATCCCCCCACGGTCAGATGCGGCCTCCCGGGTCGGTGTATACTGCCGGTGTGGTACTGGTCTCTCTTCTCCTTGCGGCTCTCTATCTCTATCTGACTGATATAGTGAAAACGCATCTCACCGATATACGGCTATAGATAGGTAGGTAGGCGGGTGCGAATCTGACGGATACCCTTTTGAGAGTAATTCTAAGTCGGCGACGCAGTCTGAAATGCAAGTACCGTACATTGGTGCAACACGAGTCTATGTGTAGACAGACTTCTGGCAATCTTCGCCCGAGAATTGCATGCTGTTGCTCATAGAAACCTTGTAAGATTATAAGAACAGGTTGATACTCACTTGATGCTGGAGTATGATTGCGAAGCCCAAAATATATCTGCGCACCTCCGCGGAAGGCATGGGCGTGGCCACGCTGGATATGGCCGTCGTCGACGAGGCGGAGGAGAACTACGCCATCCGGGCGGATTTGTCGGACTCAGCCCGGCATTAGAGGCATACGCAAAGGATGATTCCGATGGAGAAGAGCACCAGAGGTAAACTGTAAGGCATTGAGGGGTAAGTATAGGTTAAGCTGGGTACTTTGACTTTAGCTTGTATAGCATGACTTATCCGGGGATTCTTACCATACTCATACACAGACTCATACATCAGATACTTATCCGAGCTACGGAGTGGCCGAGATACCCGAGGTTGGCTAAGGCTTGTGTGGACGCTTCTATTCGTATCTGGTCTGCACTTTCTTCTAGTATTCGCCCACCCGGTCGTCTCCCCGACACCCTCAGTGATTGGCACCCGCATGGGCATGCAGTGGTTTGCCACCAGCTTGGGCGGGCTGGTGGGGGCGCCCATCGCCGGCGTCATCGAGGGTCACGGAGGAAGTGGGAGTGCCGGGTTCTTGGGGCTGCAGCTGTTCAGCGCACTAGGGATGGTAGTGGCCGGGGGGGAGGGGGGGGTTCTTGGTGGTTCCAATGGTGGCTATCTGGCGATATGATAGACTTGATATTTGAGAAGGGAATAGAGGACTCAGGTATAATGAGGAGCCACCGAGCAATTGAAGTTCGCGTGATCGAACAACACGATATAACACAGTACACGCAGAGGTATGTATATGTCATCTTCTACTGGATGTGCCGTGCCAAAACGAGACCTAAATGATTTACAGGATCCGATCAAAATCTCCAACATCTTGGTCAATAGTCCCGAGGCCACCTCACGAGGTACAAGTATTCCTGCCCCACCATCTACAGTAAAGCCCCAAGCAACAGCAACAGGGTCTCACGCTTCACGCTTTATGCATTGCCGAATCCTATCGCTACCAAGGGGGATGTTACCCCTACCAATCCGTACTACTCACCGGCCACCCATTGACCATACTATACGCCTCCAACGGGGTCGTCCCATTCAAGGGCTCGTAGTGCATCCGCTCCCCACAATTCTCCTCCTCCTGTAATTCCATACACCGTCCCTGCAGCAACGCCGCGACCTGCGCGCCCGCCTCCCGCCCCTCGAACCACGCCCCGTGCAAAAACCCAAAGTACGGGGCGCTGGTCGCCTCGCCCGCGAACCACAGACGGCCCGCATTCGCCCGCAGGTTCTGGTGCATCTCGAGGGTCGTCCCCGCCGGCCAGTTGGAGTAGCTGCCGTAGGCCCAGGGCTCCTGCGACCAGCGCGGGTAGGTGACCTCCGTCGGGTGCGGGATGGTGCGGTCGGGAAACATCTCGCGGAGCACCTCCAGAATCTCGGCGGTGGTTTGGGCGGTGGATTGCCGTTCCACACGGTAGGCTTGTTCGTCGACGACGGTGACGACCAAGATATGAGAGTCCGGGAGGAAGGTGGGCGAGGAGAGGGATTGGAAGATCGGGTAGTAGCCCCGGGTGGTCGGGGAGGCGTACAGAAAGAACTGGGTGTCCGTCGGCCAGAAAGTATACGGGAATTGCAGGAAGATCTTGGTGTAGGTGCCCATGTTGAATTTCTCGATCGCCGTCTGCTTCCATCGCGGCAGCGAGGGGCGGAAGGTCACGGCGTGGTTCTGCAGGACCCCTAGCGAGAAGGTGCAGATCGCGTAGGCGGCTTCGATGCAGGCGCCGTCGGCGGTATGGATGGTCACGCCTTTTGGGGAGTGGTCGATGGTGGTGACGTGGGTGTTGAGTCGGAGACGCGGCGTGGGTTTGTTGCGGTGGTGGTGGTGGTGGAATATCGCGGCGGCTTCCTGCTCGATGATGGTGCTGTAGCCGCGCGGGTCCAGGACGAAGTGGTTCGCCTTGCCGAATTGGTTGAAGGTCAGGTTCTCGCCGGCCATTCCGAACACGAAGGAACTCGTCTCGGGCGAGGAGGCGTCCTCCCAATCTAGATGTCGCACATAGCACAAGTGTTAGTCCACAGCCGGGCTCCCTTGGGTTGGGGGATCACTGGAAGGGAAGCAAAGGGGGGGAGTATGCCCTGTCTGCCTCGGTGGGGGTTCTTCCTATGACGGATTGGCGAGCTTTCATCGGATCATACCCCAGTTCCACCATTCGACTGCCTGGGCGGCCATGTCGTTCTTGCGAGGGCGCCACCCAGCGAGGGCAAGCCCCGTGCGGGCGGTTTGGTCTTGCAGGTTCTCCATCAAGATCCGGCCGGCGTCACGCGCGGCAACCTCGTAGACTCGAGCATATTCGTCGAGGAGATATTGATAGTCGGCTTCGCCGGTCTCGTTGTAGGTTCGAAGGGAGCTGTAGTTGGAGTAGGTGTTGCGCAGATGGTGTTTTTTGGCCTGTCGGTTAGCATGGTTCGGTGTATACAGAGTCCCGACACATACTAAAGCCCAGACAGGATTTACTGTCGCAACGATCAGTCTGTTGTTGAAGTCTAGTAGAAGGGATGTACTGGCGACGTACCAGTATCAGCCGAACCCAGCCCTTGGAGCTGAGGTGGGGCGCAGTCAGTCTAAAGTTCAGCCCTAAAATGTATCGAATGCGGGCAAAATACCCAGTTGGCCCCGAACTCCACCACATACGGGTCCCCGTCCTTATCTTTCCCAAAGTCCGTATGCCACACCCGACCTCCCAGAGTCTCGCGCGATTCCACCAGGACAAAGTCAGTGACGGATGCGTTGATCAAGGCTTGCTGCTCGGGTTAGTCGGTTGAGCCTGGCGGGAGGGTTACTCAACACCCCACCCACATACCGCTGCAGCCACCCCGGCCATCCCACCTCCCCTGAGCCAGTTAGTGTTGACGAACAGTCTTCCAAATCTAAGGCCAATCGGCTTACAGGATGGCCACGGTCGTCTGCGTGCAGGTGTCGCCGGTCAGAGGGGTTTGCGCGACATAGGCACTGCTGGGTTGAGCCCCTATCGTAGCGAGCAAGAACGCGAGGGAATTCAATAACTTCGAATGTGAATACATTTTCACGCCTACGGTCTAACGACACGGCCTTTCTGCGGGTGTCGAGAACGGCGAAACAGGGGCCTAGAAGACCTTGCAAGCGGGGACTTTCGGAGGTGTGGCAGACTATATAGACTTAGATTCCGAACACAAGGACGACAAGAGACATCACACCCGGCTTATCAGCATGCATGCATGCTGGCACCATGCGAGTGACGGTCCTTTTCTGCAGTCAGAAAAAAAAAACGGAAGGGAAAAAAACAGCCAGGCCAACAAAGAGGAAGAAGGACGATGCTGCAGGGCGGACGGCGATCAAATAAAGCCGGGCGATCCTGCTTGGCATCCGGGAATTGCATCACCAGGGCTGCACAGGTGACTGTTCCGGGCCCTTGGCAGGTAACTGGCTCCAGCGAAATATTGGGTCGATCGTATGCCAAAACTGCGAAACTTAGGGGCATGTGCCTTTCCCCGGTATTTGAAACGAACTGCATGATTTGGATCCAATGATCTATGATGATTTGGACCGGAGAGGCAAGGGGCCTCGCTGATTGGCTCGATAAGCTATGCGTGAAGTACGTATCTTGCCAGCCTGATGGTTGCGTTTGCACCGACTCTGCAGTCAGTCAGATGAATAGATGCATTGCATTATCGAGACTTTGGCCTGCTTTCTGAAAACTGGATCCAAGACATACGGCGTGGATTCCTTGTCCGACTCTTATGCGCGTGAGTCGAGAGCATGATGAACGTTCAGCGAAACTGGCCGTGTCTCGTTTACTTATTATGGTTGATGACACGTCGGGAGATTCCACCGGCTTGTCGAAGGCAAGGCAGCGAATGAGACAAGCCAGTTCAGGGATTTATTGACCGGCCCAACATCAAGTTGGAGACGAGTTAGAAATCATCGCCGCATCGCCTCCGGTAAAGCTAGCCCGATCGGCGATAAGCTGCGGTGGGGCCATTTGGGCCATTTTCGGCAAGTTTGGCTTGTTTCAGTTGTCCAGTTGTCTGAATTGGTCCCGGTCGGCCTGTCCACCACGCCAGCTGCCACATTTGGAGTCAGTGATCGCTCAATCTGACCAGAAGAGGGATTAAACAAAACTACTAGGCACTTAGCACCTAGCACCTAGCACCTAACACTACAAGATCTGTCATTGTGGACATCTATGTTCATTGCCAAGTTAAAGCGGTAAAATGCAACAGATGCTATGGACCTGGATTCAAAGAAAAAACAACAAGGGGTAATAGAACTTTTCTTTATCGACATGAAACCCCTCAGAAAAGTAGAGTAGAATATAAACACCAGCCGTGATCATCAGGGATATTACTCGCAGAAAGCTCAATCATCATCCATATTCAGCTCATCAAAGTCGTCAAGCAGCTCGTCCATGTTGATCTGCGGCGTCTCATCCTCGCTCTCGTTGTCCTCGTCCTCATCCATCGCATCCGCCGCTTGAGGCTGTTTGCGGACCTTGTACAGGTCCAGGGTGTGTCGGAGCTCCTCGTCCTCTTCGACATCGCGCAAGAACATCTCGAAGTCCTCCTCCAGACGGTTGGCTTCCTGCTCCTTCTTGCGGCTTTGCTGACCAGCGCCGGCGAGGGCCTCCTCCTCGTACTCGCGGGCCATGCGCTTGAGGCGCCAGTTGCGGCTCTTGGGCTTCTTCTTGCGGGCGTAGAACTTCTTGACGAGCACAACGTCGGGAATCGTCGATCCGTACTGGTGGCTCTGCTCGATCGCGTCGAAGTTGTCGTCGTTGAAAATGGTGCCGCTGAGGTGGTAGCCGAGGACGGAGTCGCCGGGGTGCAGAATGCCACCAAGGTGTGTGCGGCAGAAGTAGGTGGTGTTGTTGGAGCCAAGGTCCGTAGCGCGAGCAACAGTGGCCTCGGCAAGGTGGAAACGGCCATTCGACTGGCCGGTAAGCTCGATATCCAGGATAATGAACTCCTTCAACTGGGTGACATCGGCGAGGTTCTTGAACGGCGACCGCCAGTACACGCCGGTTTGAACGTCGGCCGTTTGCAGAGTAGTCGGATCCAAGAAGTTTACGTTGTTTCCGACGCGGTGACAGAGGGTGAGAGGGGCGATGTTTCCAAGTTGGCGGGCAAGCTTGAGCGGCAATGCGACGAGATCATCTTTGCAAATCGGGATCAACTCAATCGAGAAGGTGTGCTTGTAGGACTTGGTGCTGGTGTGAACATCCATGGAAATGAGCTCCTGGGACTTCTGCATCTTGCACGGCACAACAGAGGCAAGGAAGTCGACCATCTTCTCGGCGTGGTTTCGCTGCGCAAAGTAGAAATCGATACCATCTTTGGCCTCCTTGATGTTGACCGTATCCTTGTGGGCGTCGTTCTTCAGGATCAACTGCTCCAGGTGGAGGAAAGTACGCTTGTGGGGCACCTTCTGTCGGACTTGGACTGCAGCCCGCCACGTGTTGGGTGTGAAACTCTTCTGACAATCTGCGGTGATGTTAGCAAGCCTGATTGACGCAAGCCTGGGTCGAACATGGACGAATGTGGTTGCAAGACATACCGGGGCACTGCTGGCCGGCCACAACGTATTCCACCTCAAATGATTGTTGGATAATCGTGCCCTGGAAAGCCTCCTGCTGAATTGTGATGTTGACCTTGATGCGCTTCGAGTGGGGTTCGGTCCAGATGAAGTTGGCGTCGATGATGCGGACTTTCGACAAGCCACGAAGACGGCGCAGACAGAGGGCGAGGAGTTCCTTGGACTCGAGGGTCGCGACCACCCACTGGTTGGGGGGCTGGAGCCACCGCTCACAGTCTTTACAGCAAAGGAGGGTCGATTCGCGCTGGATGCTAGATTTCGGAGTAAATCAGCCCTGGTTCCGCCTGCGAACCTGATGCAAAAGCAAAATCTGAGCTTACCCTTGGGTGACATCGACGTTGAGTTTCAGACAGTCCTGGCACATAGCACCAGCAGAAGTGGTTCCATCGATGGGGGCACCGCAGTTGCAGCACAGAATCCTAGGAAAATATGAGCGAAACTCCGGCCAAACCAGGCTGGCGATAAGACTCACGTCGCAGCGACCGGGGGCTGGTCCTGCAGCCCCAACATGGGAACTGGCGCATCCAAATCCATCGACATCTTGACCTCCGGACGCAGACCGCAAATCCACAAAACTGAAGAGTTGGAGTGTTAGAGATTGGAGATTGGGAGTTGACGCAGGATCGGACTCGGTATTTTTTTTTCCCCCGCCACTGGCCAGTCAGCGGCTGACTCAGCCGTATGTCCTGTTTGCACTTATCGATAACCATATCGCCAAGTTAGGTATAGCGTGGGTAGTAGGTACACTGAGAGACGGAGCGGAGCCCACGAACTTCAATAGCACAACATCACAACAACCGCATCAAATCAACACGAATGATTAGCTGACTTAGCTTATCCAGATATGTACGCAGCTCGCTTTTATGGGGTCGGGGGCGGTGCATATTTTACCCGTCATACTCATCACGCACACAGCCTCTGCATAAAGTATATAACTTGAACCCGATCTTAACCAAGTGCCCAGCATCGACCGTGCTCTCCCAGTGGGGGCGAGACTCTAGAAATCGCATTTCTCCAGCATGATCTTGGGGCCAGAACTCTAAGGAAGATTTCACAGTCGTCGATTTATGCATGATGGTATGCCCCGTCAGCATGGCACACTGCATGGCTATGCCCTTCCCGAATGGGGGCCAGCGCTCAGCCCACCACGGTGCCCATTGAAAGATACAAATGCGCTCTACAGCGACCCTCACCGGCCATTCGATTGCCTTCTGCTTGTTGTTTCAGAATGGCCTTCAAGCTCTATGCTTGATCATCACTCTCCAACTGTGGATGAGCGGGTCTCGTCGCAGTCACACCGGCCTCTGGCTCTGGGACTGTGTATCGCGCTACTCATTCTAAATGTTGCCGCGGGCATTCGAATAAATACGCAATGTTGGCTTTACAAGTGTCATTTCGCACAAAAATATGCGCTTAGAGTATCTCTGGTCGGTCGCTTGATGGACCCTGTGGTTTGCCCGCCCCTGCTGACGCTGCTGCTGGACGAACTAGATATTTGACAGTCTTGTTTCCATTGCACCCTAGTCAGCACGCATTGTGGAATAGGTCTTCATGTATATGAGATCTAATTCAGCTTCTGTCTCCTGGCCCATACGAAGACAGCATGTTTGGTAAGCTGATTCACTAGCCGAATGTACTGAACCTTTAGCGTTGCAGTGGACTAACTGAAGGTAACGTTATCCCACAGTGTATGAGGCTAATAGTGGCTGTACCTTGTCGCCCTGCTTGAAAAGGCCCTTCATCTGAGCTCGAACTACTTCTACTCAGGTCTCCCCATATCCTCGTCAGCGTACGCCTCCCTCTCGCGATCATCCGTGCCTCAGCCGTCCCATCGCTGCGTGTCTCCGTCTTTCCAGGCGCGCCGCTACGTCGAACGGTCCTGCTGCCCGCTGCGCGGGATACTTTAGCCCGATGAAGCCGGCGACCAGTAAGACGTCGATAGCGCGCAAGCAGGATGTCGGAAGGTTGGGCATGATGAGGATGATAGAGCAGCTACGACGTGGAAACATCTCGCAGGATGACCCAGGCACGCCGCAGCGGCATCAGATTGTGGTCCAGTTGGCTGCGAAAGTGCCGTGGTAAGATTGTTGAACATCTTTGCCCTGAGAAGGGGGTTTTGATCATACCACATTTCCGCATCAGAACGATATTTTTTGTCATTTTTACCTCGACTTCTGAGCTCTGGATTGCATAAAAAGGGTAGAGGTGGAGAGGACTTTTTCGGCCGAGAACCTTCAACCCGCCGTACCCACCGGGCCCTGACTTGCGGCCCGTCACGCAATCGCAGCCTCCGATCGCACGGTTCCTCGCAACAATTAGCATGTGGGGGCTTGCGAATCCCCCACACTACATTCCTGTACTCAGATCCCCTTGATGTTCTATACAGTATTCGGGGGTGTCCCAAACTTAGGCCAATTACGACATCGTTCCAGAAATTGACGAATCGCTCAACTCCCAGCCAACAGCATGGAACCAACATGTGCTGATCACCGATTGTCTTCGCTACGCCATACTCATGCTATATGACCAATCTGTGAACATGCGTATAAATGCTCTCTGCTGGGTCCTCGAGTTAGTATATGTCCAATACTGGTGACTCTTATATTACAGGCAGGAGCATTTACCACCGCATTCACGTGCACGTTCAACTTCCACCATGGCGCAAGCAAATGTCCCAGCTACGGATCCCAGCGTCTACAGCGCATATCAAGACCAATGGTCTTCACTTCCTACCACAGCAGAAGGTTGGATCAGCAGAGCGCGGGAAGTGGCCGAAGTCCTGTCTCGAGATGCCGCACAAAGAGACCAGGAGAACAAATCGCCCCGAGCCGAGGTGGCTCTGCTGAAGCATTCCGGATTGCTGAAGCTGCTTGGTCCTAAGAGATACGGAGGAGGTGAACAGCCCTGGGAGGTAGGGTACAAAGCCATCCGAGAAGTGGCTAAGGCGGACGGGTGAGTGCACCACGTTGCACAGTACTTCCTCCGGATCCGTTCTCTCCGTAGCTAACAACTCCCCAGTTCCATCGGCATGCTGCTCGGCTACCATCTTCTCTGGTCCACCACCGCCAATGTAGTCGGCACCCCTGACCAAATCGAGCGCACTCATGAGCGGATCATCACCAACAACTACTTCGTTGGTGGAGCGGTCAACCCGCGTGACAGCGACCTCAAAATCACCTCAGATGGGGACCAGATCGTCTTCAATGGCGCCAAGTTCTTCAACACAGGGGGTGTAGTCTCTGACCTCACCGTGCTTGAGGGCGTCCTCGAGGGCACGGACCAACACATCTTCGCCCTCGTGGAGACCCGACAGCCCGGGATCCAATTCGCGCACAACTGGCAGAACATCGGTCTGCGTCTGACCGAGTCCGGAGGTGTGAAGATCGAAAACGTCCGCGCCCCGTGGACCGACGCGCTAGGCTGGAATGCTTCCACCAAGCAGCCACGACAAGATGTGCTCGGCGTTCCTTTCGCCAGCTTGCTGCTACCCACGTAAGACCACCCTTGCCTTACCAGTACTGTTCACCAGCAAGACTAATCTCCCATAGAATCCAACTGGTCTTCAGCAACTTCTATCTGGGAATCGCCCTGGGTGCCCTCGACTTCGCCGCCAAATACACCACCGCCCACACGCGCGCCTGGCCCTTCGGCGGCGACAACAAGGCCGCCGCCACCGACGAGTTCTACATCCTGGAGCGGTACGGGAACTTCTTTGCCCATCTCCGCGCCACGGAAGCGCTGGCCGATCGGGCGGGCGAGCAGCTCTCCGCCCTGTATGGGCGCCATGCCACGGACCGGGCGGCGCTGCCGGCGGAGGAACGCGGGGAGGTGGCCGAGTGGATCGCGAGCGTCAAGGTCGTCACCACGGACGTGGGGTTGCGGGTCACCAATGGCATCTTTGAGGTGACGGGAGCCAGGGCTACCTCACTAAAAGTCGGGCTCGATCGGTTTTGGCGGGATATTCGCACGCACACGCTGCATGATCCGGTGGCGTATAAGAATCGGGAACTAGGGCGATATGTTTTGTTGGGGGAGCTGCCGGCGCCGACGTGGTACACTTAGGTGGGCGTGTGGTGGTAGCCCTTGCAGATGCTGGCTTACTTCTTATGCGTGTTATCTTGCAATCAACCTTGGGATCTTTTCTGCAGTCGAGATTGGGTATCGCATCTGATTGCCTGTAATTTCAACCAAGTCCGCCCGGGTGGGTTCAAAACTTGCAGATACTGCAACTTATCATAAGGATCGTGCCAGCCGGCGTTAGGACTCACCTACACGTACTGTACAGAGATCAGGAAGCAATGTGACAATTGATAAAACATGGAAAGTGTTTTGAGCTTTGTGGACTAATGTACCTTGACTATATTAGAACCAATAAGGTCAACCTGACGCCCACTTAATGGTGCAAACCGCCTGAGTTACTGCCTTAGATTCAAAGATCACAGCGAAGGACAAAAGGACATACAATATCTTACGTACGATGATCAGTGGTCACTAAGCACCCCTTTATAAGTATCAGATAGGGATCTTAGGTAGGTTTCACTTCACTATTCTTTTCTTTATTTACCGGTATGATATTCCATTATGAAAAGCATTATTCATAGATATTGATTCCAGTCTGAGCCTGCGCCCTCCTTGTACGGACATACAGATAAACGCCGTCAAAGACCGATCGATGTTTACCAATCGTAGGCCTAACCCAGCCCTAGCAGCAAATATCTCAGACCACAGTGTACTTCTTCCTCGACAACGACTATGAACAAGCAACTAGTAACCACTCCCTCACCCCGGATATGGCTTCAGTCTTGATCACAGGTGCATCTCGCGGCTTCGAGCTTGCGCTCGTGCGCGAACTCTCCTCCCGCCCAGGCTACCGCGCGAGGAGAATCATCGGCCCTGAGCGAGCTTGCTGCTGCCTCAGCAGGACGAGTCTTAGTCGTTCAACTCGACGTGACAGACGAGGTGTCTGTCCGCAAGGCTGCGGCGGATGTTGAGACACAGCTTGACGGGAAGGGACTAGACATCTTGATCAACAATGCCGGCATCTGCCAGTACGTCAGCGATGGGGTGAAATCGATGTAAGGTCTCTGTCTATTTCCGTCCTTTACTCTCAGTATGTACTCACTTACCCGCTCAAGGGATAATCTCGCGGAAAGCTTGACGATAAACGTCCTCGGTGTCCACTACGTGACGCAGGCTTTTCTACCACTTCTGCAACGCGGTTCCCTCAAGAAAGTTGCGAACATGTAAGACATCATTACCTATCCACCTAACCGTGTATCTTTTCCTAAAATGCAGCAGCACCATCTCTCTCGCCTCCATCACCCTAGCTCGCGCGTCCCACGACGTCCCCGCCCCGGCATACAAGATCTCCAAGTCTGCCCTGCACGCGCTCACCGTCCAGTATGCTCTGGACCACGAGAAAGATGGCTTCGCCTTTGTGGCCATTGCCCCTGGTGTATGTGCTCTGTCCCCTATACAGACTCGCGTTATCACCTGCTAATACATGAGAACGATGTTTCAAGTGGACGAAAACCGATCTCGGCGGCGGCGACATCGCCGACCTGACGCCTGAGCAGGGGGCCAAGGCATCGTTGAATATTCTGTTCCGACCGAATGGCGAGATCAACGGGCAGTTTCCCAAGGTGTTGGTCCCCGGGTGGGAGCATGCTACGGGTCGGAATATCTACGATGGGACTATGGTTCCATGGTTGTGAGAAGGTGTCCTATAACTAAAGATGAAAGCTTCCTGATGATCACACAAAGGATAGCTGGGGACCGGTGGGGTAGCTAAATGATAGGCTGGTGCTTGGGTTCTCTTGGGAAAGCCAGGAGCTTGATCGAAGCTTCCCATTGATATGTGAAGCGCCATGCAGGTGGCGTATTCCAGCCACTTGTCACGGCCACGGTTGCCAGGGCCCAGGGCGCTAACTTTCCGAGCGTACTGTGTACAAATCTTGGGGCTTCAGCAAAAATCAAATTGCTTGACTTATGCAGGTGCAGTCAGGGTGTGGTGTCCCGTCGATTGGTAGTTCGATCTGGCTCAAGCTGCGACACTCAGCTCTGCGATGAGGCTTTGACGGCCGATCCTTGGAGACTCTTAATCCATGTCACCATGCTGTAGTGGGACATGCTTTTGCTCCTGAGAAGAAGAAGGATGGGAAAGCCACAAGTAGCAGTTGTAACACCCTTTCGGGCAGTACACGTCGGTGTAAGATTTAAGTAGCGTCGATGCTGGTCTGATCACAAAACGGAAGCGATAAAACATAAGCACTAAGCAAGCTATGAGTGGGGAACTGATAGTCCGGCTTCTGCCGGTTGGTTCTTCTTTGCATATGACTGGCAAATAGCATATGCGATTTCTCCTTGAAAAGCCACTTTGTTGGCTGTTGATATTCCGATACTCAATCCGGTCTCCTTCCATCCCGAACGCACTACCATCCCCTTGGTTTGTGTGATACCATAAGGTATCGACTGGTAAACGTTCACTCTATCGTGACTGGGCTTTCGGGAGATTGCTAAATGGTGTCGCTGTGAAAACTTAGGTAACCTGTCTCAGTTTATACAAGAAGTGCTTTTTCTCGTGTCTCGACATCACCCGGCAACCGCAAGGTAGGGTTCTTGTCAGCTCCTGCCTCGTATGGCTCTACGCAGAATCACGAAATTTAAGACAACGAGCAAACTCGGTATCACACAGATCAACATAAACAGGCTGCTTTGCCAGACCAAAGAACCAGGCCTATTCCATCAAATACAAGGCACAAGCTCAAACTCCAAAAAGTCCTCCTGCCACTCCACCGGCCGAAACTGCTCAAGCTGCCTCCCAAACCTCTCCCTGACACTGGCAACAAGCCTACGCTCCGCCCGGCCAGCATCCCGCCAGAAATGCGGCCACAGCATCAGCTGGATCTCCTGTCCGTTCCGCCACTCCGTCTGCGCCGCCCACACCATCACCGGACCACGCAGTGCATCCCACTCGTCTGGCTGCGCATGAAACCGTAAAGCCGGCGGGCGGTACCCCCTGAGCTTCTGGATCTGCGCCCGTTGCGGCTCGTCGACCGGCGCCGGGAAATCCACGCTGATCAGCTGGATGTAACCCTTCTGGAGGAGGTGGAACCAGGGCGGTGACGTGCCGCTGTAGACGGTCTCGTGGGAGGCGAGGGGGACGATCCCGCTGGTGGTTAGGGTCTCGTGGTAGAGCTGTGCCGTCGGGGAGGATTTGAAGTCCCTGTATTCGGAGGCTGTCCACCATACTACTTCAACACAATCCAAAAGACAGAGGTTAGTATGGTAATCGGGTGGATGCACCGGGCGATGACGTACGCGTTACCACTAATACTTCAGGCTTCGCGCTCTCCTTGACTCTGCCCCAGACTGTCTGGCAGTGGCCTACGTCGTGGACCAGGGGCTGGAAATAGGATGCCCATGCGTCGGTGTCGGGCTGCGATGATGAGGCGAGTTGGAACCGGGTCCAGGTTACCAGCTGCGGATTGCTGGGGTCATGAGAGAAGGAGCGCCCCGGTTTGTGATGGCAGAGATTGCTGAATGCCATGGTGGGGGCTGAGAAAGATGATTTAGGGCTAGTTGGGAGGGGGGATGCTGGAGGGTTATATACCTGGACCGTGGCACGTGACTACATCGGGGTTAGGGGGTAGTACTGGTGTTTGTTAGATCATGAAATGTGACCCCAAAGGAGCGTTCAATAGTACCAATTATAACTAAGAAGTCTTGGATCTAATGTCTACGCGACCCAGCTGCACGGTAGGGGTCTGATGTACAGTCCTTGATTGAACCCCACCCGGTAAACCACCCTAACAGTAAAGCTCACAAATGACTAGATCTTGACTAACTCGCCAGCACCAGATTGAAATGCCCACCTCTTGCTAGTATCATCCAAGCTCCATGTCGTCTGCTGGAAGTACCAGTAACCCACGCTAAAGAACACGTATGACTCCGGGTTGCGGCGCACAAGCTGCCCGTAATTCTCATCATCACCCTTAGGTATGGTGGTGGCCTTTTTCAGGTAATTCTGCTGCTCTACCCAGCTGTCTGTGGTGCACCGTTAGCCAAGATCAGATCAAAGCCGCTCTTCATTTCGAGCGAGCATTCTAGAGAGCCACCATACACGTCAAATCCGGCGTCTCCGCAGTCCCCAACACCAGATGGAACAGCTCATGGTACAAGGTCGCGCCGCGCGGGAGGATGTCCCCAATCGCCATTCCGGCCGTGGGCGTCTTGGCCCCGAGCGTCGCGACCGCAGCGGACCTGGTAAAGGCAGACGGACACAGCGTTATCGTGCTGGGGATTGTTTGGTCCTGCGTGGCGCCCAGGTTCTTCGCGCTGGAGGTGCAGTAGGTCTTGCCATTGTAGTTGACGTCGAAGATGTACTCCTTGAGATCGGCAGACCAGTAGGGCACGTTCTTGGTTGCCACGACCTTGCCGTTCTTCTGCTTCCTCCAGAGCTCGCTTTGGTACAAGTCGACATCCTCAATGGCGATGGGGGCGGACACCTTACCGTCGTCTTCTTGCATGACCACGTCGCCGTCAGAGTCCCAGGCTACATCGTCGCGGGCCAACTTGATTAGCCATGTGTCGCTGCAATAGAGGCGCGGGGTGCTGGAGAGGGTGGTTTTGCCGGAGAGGAAGTCGGAGACTTGGGTGAGGCTTCCTGTAAGGGGTGATTAGTACGTAAATAGTCTGGGATAAAGGGCTGGGTTGGGCTTGACTGGAAGGGGAGGGAAGTCGCACCCTGCACGGCGGCAAGCGCGTCAGCGTTGCTGGGGTCGGCCTGGAAGTGGGCTGCGAGATACCGTTTGGCTACATTGTATGTTGTCGCAGAGGAGTCCTGTGCGTCAGAGATGGCCTTGAGCCCGGAGGCAACGAGGGTTCTGCTTTCGGTGAGCCAGGTTTGGAGGGTGTCAATTTTAGACATGCAGCCGCCCTGGTCGTCAGTTTGATCTTTTACCACAAAGAGAGTTGTAAGGGCCGGATCTGCTGTTAGGGCGGGCACGGCGAACAGCCCAAACAGGAGAAATGATGGGATCATACGCATTGTACGAAATGGAACCCAGTCCGAGAACAGGACGAACAAGACGAGCAAGGGAGCAATGAACTGGGAAGTGCGTGGTGCTCTCGGACGGGACTCTTATATGTCGCCGTAAGCAAACCACCCAAGACCGAAGTCCTGGCGTCAGCTATCTAACATCCTTGACTCGAACGACCTCCTAACCACTCTGGCGGAAGAAGAATGGTTCCGAAAAAAATACAACTTGTGGTGGACCAAGTTGGGAATACACGAGGCATTTTCGAACCCCTATGTCATGGCGCCATGTGGTATGACTGCCAGACGCACGTGCAGCAAGCAGTCCGAGACTCAGCTGAGGTCCTGCAATTGATTGCATTCCTATTGCAACAGGAAGGATTCAGTGACCTCGAGACGGGCAGAATATGCTGCAAAAAGGAGTGATTACTCTAGGCTGACTGCGTAGAGGCTGAATAAAGCTCACAAGACTGTAATCCTGCGATATAGAATATGGTACTCAGTAGCGAGGCTGAGTTGAAGCCGGAAGGATCTAAGGCCAAAGCCACGGACATGCAGCCCAATGTGAGCTGGTGGCTACTTTTAGGGCTTCCTTCGGGGCTTGAAGATTTTCGCCCCCCTATTGCTGTCCCTGATTGGCAGGGACCAGGGCCCTTCATCTTCACTCGAGGTCAAAAATTTTGTCAAGCCCCTGCCAAGCCCTATCGAGCCTCAAGAAGCAACGCTAAGCTTGGTCTACTTGGTCTTAGGGTCCGGTCCATCCGGTCGAGAATTGCACTACAGCGTTTTCTCGGAGGAATTTGCCATACGAGGTCGGAGATAAGCAACCCAAGTGGGACTGCAACGATAACGGACGTGAGAAAAGGGGACAAAAAGTGGAGATTCGAATTGCTTTGCGGCGGCCACGTGGGCCCGGTAGATTTCCTGCAAACAATGGTGCATCTACCTAGCGCATGGAGCCCATATAGATCCCAAATCAACGGGTAAACACGACAGACCAACTGCCGCAATTCCTGGGATACGGTCCCATTTCACCTCTCCGAGTACGAGAATTGCTAGCTAGTGGCACTGTTCCTGAGTAGACAACGCTGTTCCCTCGGCGGATTTACCGTAAATGCTTCATAGAGTTTGACCATAAGCTCGGATATCTCCAGTCGGCCGGCCGGTCGAAGGTAGGCTTGAGCGATGGTGCCACAACCTCATCTCCAAGAGATCCTAATTTTCGGTCATTTCCCTGACTTCAACCAGAGTTCAATGATCTTTCTCGATATTCTTTATAAGGGCTAATGGACTACCGATCTTAGGACTGCATTGTTCTCTCAACCATGGCGTCCTTCTGGGGGCTGATTACCCTCCTTCTGCTGTCCTGCCGCGTGCAGGCAGCTGCTGTCTTTGCCCACTTCATGGTAAGGCGCACCGCCAAAACGAGTTTTGCTTCTCTGACATGTTAACCGTGTGTGCAGGTAACAAATTCTCAGAACTACACGTCCGACACTTGGGAGACCGACATCAAATTGGCCCAGGATGCGCACATTGACGCTTTCGCGTTGAACATGGCCTACGATGACGCAACAAATTCACTAGCCCTCCTCCTTGCCTTTGATGCCGCTGACGACCTCGGTTTCAAACTTTTCTTCTCATTCGACTACGCAGGCAACGGAGCCTGGCCCATGGACGACGTGATAAATCTTATCACTGAGTACAGCACACGCTCTTCGTACTACTTTTACAATGGTCAGGCCTTTGTCTCTACATTCGAGGGTCCCGACAGCGCTGATGATTGGACCACGATCAAGGCTTCGACGGACTGTTTCTTCATCCCGGACTGGTCCTCACTCGGGGCCAAGGCTGCCGTCGCCAAGGGGGTGGTGGACGGGCTTCTGAGCTGGGCCGCCTGGCCCTGGGGCCCCCAGTATATGGATACCTATACAGATGCCTCATATGTCCAGTACCTTGACGGCCTGCCTTACATGATGCCTGTGTCGCCATGGTTCTTTACCAACCTACCGGGCTACGATAAGAATTGGATGTGGCGCGGAGATGATCTCTGGCACGACCGCTGGCAGGAGGTATTGTTCGTACAGCCCGAGTTTGTCGAGATCTTGACGTGGAACGACTACGGCGAGTCGCACTACATCGGCCCTCTTTATGGTAATGCCATGGCTGCGTTCTCAATTGGGGAGGGGCCGTATAACTATGCGACGGATATGCCGCACGATGGATGGAGAGCTACTTTGCCCTTCTGGATTGACATGTATAAAGAAGGCACGGCGGAAGTGACGGAGGAGACGATTATCGCCTGGTACCGGTTGAGCCCGGGGACGGCGTGTGCCAGCGGAGGAACCAGTGGCAACACCGCCTCGCAGCTGCAGATTGAATTCCCGCCGGACGAAATTGCGCAGGACAAGGTGTTTTACTCGGCGATTCTCGGGTCTTTCTCCGGGGTGGTGGTTTCCATTGGCGGTGATGCGGAGACCGTTGCTTGGAGCTCGGTACCGGACGACGATATCGGTGTTTACCACGGCAGCATTGACCTCGCTGGCCGTACAGGGGCCGTGACCGTCTCGCTGATGCGGGACAATGTGATTATCGCCACTATCGAAGGTGAGGACATCTCGTCGACTTGTACCGACGGCATCACGAACTGGAACGCTTGGGTGGGCAGCGCAACCGCCGGCGCGGTGTCAGCCAGACCAGACCTGTCTCTCTCCGAGCAGATTTGCATGAACGGAACCGGTGCCAACAATTTCGAAGGGCTATGCGAGTTCGCCTGTACTTATGGGTACTGCCCTCTGGGGGCTTGCACATGCACTCAGATGGGGGTCGGCTATGAGAAGCCCAATGCAACCGGGGTGATGGGCTACCCTATTTCAGGCGAGGACGCCAGCTATAGTGGTCTATGCACTTTCGACTGTAACCTGGGCTTCTGCCCCCCAACAGCCTGTGGGACGGTTGAGGTGCCGCTATCAACTCCAACCGTCTCTGATTTCTCCCCGCCGGCCTGTATCTCGGGAACCGGCGACGGCAACCTAGCAGGGCTTTGCGATTTCGGCTGTGCCCATGGCTTCTGTCCTATAAATGCTTGTACTTGCACTGGGGAGGGTGCGTTGAACGTCATGGACCCAACCAGCGATGTTGTGGGTGTCGCGGCTGCTGGACTTGACGCTACTGTCTATGGTCCATTATGTGCTTATGCTTGTGAGCGTGGATACTGCCCATCAGGAGCCTGCGCAAACTCGAGTAGCTCTAGCTCCGGATCTGGGTCAGGGTCTGGCTCTGGCGATGTGTACATTTCGCCTTCTATCTGGACCGAGCCTGACCCCGTGGTGCAATGTGAGCCTCCATGCTCCCTGATCATGCCTCCGCTGCCGCTAGACACTCCATCTACCATCTCGATCACACCTTGGGAGACACCCATCACCCAGAGCATCTTGACCACACGAACTACCACGAACGGGGATGGATCAACGACCTCCTACCTTGGCTATAACATGACGACGACCACCATAACTGTCTCCTTCCCAACAAGTGAGTCGGATTCTCTATCGCTATTCCACAACCCTGAGTACTGCACCTCTCCTGCAAGCCCTACTAACCCTAACTCAGCCGTCCTCACCGCAATCCCCGTCTGGGGCGTCACCATCAACGCCAGCGTGACCCAGAACTTCACCTTGGAGATGACCAGCAGCATCTCGCTACCCAACATGGTGTACACCCTGCCCCCCTACGAAACCGGCACAACGACCACCACCACTCTCATCCCACCCCCATACCCCTGGTCCCAGACCGCCAAGGATCCCGTCCTCAACACCGCAACAACCACCTGGGAGCCAGGCACGCCCAGCCCTTCCAGCAAGAAAGGCGATCCCGGCACCGGGACCGGCTGCTTCCCCTTCTGCGAGGGTCCTTGCCTCCTCTGTCCCCCGGACTGGATCAACACGCCCGGCGGCGACGACGACAGTTCCTCCGGCGATGACGACGACGACGATGAATGCAGCACCCGCACGGCGGAGATCTGCACGACCGCGTGCATCGCCGGCTCCAGCTGCAACTTCGACTGCACCACGACCACAGGCTGCTCCGCGACGGCCGAGTCCACCTCGACCGTCGGGACGCCCGCCCCGGGAGTCCAGATTACCATGGAAGCATGGACGACGACCACCGACACCCCGGCCGACATCACCAGCCTCGCCGAGTCCCTCGACGCGAGCCTTTCCTCGCAGTTCGGCTCCCTCACCGTCCTCTCCGGCCTGACAGCAACCACCACCGCCGCATCCGCGACAGCAACCGCCACGACCGTCGCCCGCGGCGTCCGCATCTGGTGGTACAGCGACTCATCGAACACGGACAACAACCGGTGGGAGCTGTACGAGTACGCCGGCGGCGGGGACACGATCACCGAAGGGACGGCGTGCCCCGAACTCGATCCGCCGGATTTCAGCATGACGGGGACGGGGCCCTCGCAGATGGACGACGAGGTCTCGGGCTGGACGGCGTATGGGGTCAGCTGTGTGTATGAGCCCACGGCCGAGGCGGTCGGCGTGGGAGGCACGCCCCAGGCCGTGGGGAAGTTTGTTTGTGATGGGTTGCAGGATGCCATTTGTTATACGACGGATGGGCTGGGGGGGACGTGTGCGGAGGGGTATGAGACCACCGAGGAGGTGAGGGATTGTAAGTGGTTTGAGTAGGTACTTAGGGCTTAGGAGTATTCAATTTGGACTGTTTGCAATTGTTTCTTGAGGCTTATCACGGAATGATCACTACTGTCTTTTGTGACTTGTGCGATCCTGCAAGTATCACACGTATTACGCCTGTCTTGATCGAGGCGAAGGGTACAGCCGCAGTGCATGGGGTCAGCTAAGCTATTACTTGGATACCACGCAGAAGTGTCGGATGTAGCAGGTCTCTGTTTGAACAGGTCTCTATATTCATGTAGCTCTTTTGAACCTACCCTGGGCACGATTATTTCCAGATATCAAGATGCATCCCTACACTTCCCGTCCACCTTGATCAGCCAGCACCACTTTCCCGAACACCGGCCGATTCCACACATGCGTATACGCCTCCCTCAACTCGCCAAACCCAAAAACCCGCTCGCCCACCACGGGCCGGATATTGAACGCCTCGATGGCGCGGTTCATCTCCTCGAACTGGATGCGGTTGCCGACCTCGATGCCGCGCACGATACACGCCCGCAGCAGCGGCTGCAGGAACGAAGGCCCGCCATCCCCATCCTGGCCCCCGAGAAACCCGATGACATCGATCTCGCGATCTCGCCGCCGCGGGCGACGCACTGGAATGACTGCGCGATAGTCTGCGGGCCACCGACCTCGATGACCCGCGCGCACCCCAGTCCCTCACGCGTCAGTCGCCGCGCACTCTCGCCCCAGTCCGGCTCCTCGCGGTAGTTGAGAGCATGCTGCACGCCCATCTCCCGCAGACGGTCCGCCTTTTCACTCGACGAGGTGGTGGCGATAACAGTCGCGCCGGCGGCGAGGGCGAAGCGGACGGCGAAGAGCGCGACACCGCCCGTGCCCTGCGTGAGGACTGCGTCCCCTGCCTTGAGCGGGGTAAGACCATGCAGCGCGTTCCACGCGGTTAGCGCCGAGCAAGGTAGGGTGGCGGCCTCGGCGTAGGTGAGGTTGGCGGGCATGCGGATTAGGGCTTGGGCAGGGAGGACAGCGTGGCGCCGGAAGGTGCCTAGGTCTTGCTGCATCTGTTCGAGTGTCGGTGCAGCCCCGTGCAGGAACTTGGGGTAATACACCACCACGACCCGGTCGTGGAGCTGGAGGTCCTGCACGTGTGAGCCCACTGCGATCACTTCGCCGGCCCCGTCTGTCCCGGGGACCTTGGTCTCCCCCTCCTCAGGATACGACCAGGGGAAGGTGCCGTTTGCGATCGAGATGTCTGGGTAGTTGATTGCCCACGCGTGCAGGCGTACTAGGACGTCTGTGGGCCCCAGGGCCGGTAACGGCAGGGCGTCGTTCCATACCAGCGCCCCGCTGCCATCGCCGCCGCGGCTGGTGCCGTGGAGCTCCCAGCCGCTGGTTACGGTTGGTAGTTCCATAGGTGATAATAGCATGCTTTGGACTTGATGTTGTATGGATAATCGAAGTTTCCTTTGATGGTGCGGTGTGGAGAGAGGCGGTGGAGGGGATTGAGATTTAACTTGGAATCGGGAGTTGGAGTCTCCAACGTAGCCCTTATATTGCATCAACGCATCAACGTCATTCAATTCCAGCAGCTCCTACATATTGAAGATTCTAGACAAACCCCAGTTCCTCCATGCAACAATCACGCAATATCTATGTCATTAAAACCAAAGCCAACTCTTACAAAGCAAAGTTGACCACCGGACGGAAGCGAATAGTGCGGTTGTTCATCGCCTCAAAGGCCTTGTCAATATCGGCCAGGGCAAACTCCTGAGTCTGGCACTTCACACCCAGTTGGCTGGCAAAGTCCAGCGCCTCGCGGGTCTCTGGCGCAAACCCCGAGGACCAGGTGCGGACGTTCTTGCCGAAGACGATCAGCTCCGTGAAGTCCAATGTGACGCCATTCACAGCTAATTAGGGGTATAAGAGGTCCGAGTTAGCATCACAACATAGCAAGCCTCACAGGGGGTGCACTCACGCGCTATCAATAGTATCGACCCTCCCGGGGCAAGCGCGGCAGTCATCTGCTTAACCCTACAAGGAACAAAGTCCATTAGCCTTTCGCGCAGTCCACAGTCCGTTCAATGCATATTCATGCCCTTGCAGAGAAGAACAGCGACTTGAGCAGAGTAACGGAGAAAGAGAACTCACACGTCCGGATCATTGCAAAACATGATAACCAAAGAAGCGCCCTCCCCATCCTGCTTCAGCGCCCGCACGGGGTCTTCCGAGCCCGTGTGAACGAACCGGTGCGCCCCTAGCGCCAACGCGGCGTCGCGCTTGTCCTCCGTCCCGGAGACGGCGACAGTGCGATAGCCCATCTTGCGTGCAAACTGGATGGCCAGATGACCCAGACCACCAATTCCGCAGATAGCCACCGTGTCGCCCTGCGGGATGTGGCTTTTGCGAATGCCATTGAAGGCCGTGATGCCGGCGCAGAGGAGCGGCGCCGTCTTCACTGGGTCCATGTCCGCGGGCACGCGGATTGCGGCGTCGGCGCGGAGCGTGCAGTACTCGGAGACTTTTAGGGCATATATTAGCATCTATACGAAAGACATATCTTCAGGGGGAATAGCATATACATCCACCATCGCGAGTGACCCCATTCACCTCGAGATTTGAGCAGATCTGGGGAGTACCCCGGGCACAAGCCTTGCAATGGCCGTCGTTGCCCCCGTGCCAGGCGCCGCCGGCTCGATCCCCGATCTTCCAGTCTTTCACGTTGGACCCGAGGGCGACAATCTCGCCGATCACCTCGTGGCCGGCAATAACGGGGTACTTAGTTCTAAGGGGGGGGGGAGGATCAGTACTAGGGTCTTGTGGTGGTAAATTAGAGTAGGAGACAGAAGGAGCACAGTACATGAAATCAAACTCGCCGTTTTGCGTTGCCACGTCCTAGCATTTTACAAGATTAGGACTTTTAGCTCACAGCTCAAAGAATCGGGCAACGTAAAGGAGAGCGTACACTGTGACAGACGCCACACGCGAGAGATTTGATCAGAATCTCGCCCTCGGCCGGCTGCTTGACGGGCACGTCCCGCAGGGCCCACGGGGCGTGCGGGCCGTCCAGGACTACAGCCTTGCAGGTTTGAGGAAGGACAGGAGCCATGGAGATCGCGGGGCTGTTGTAATGCAAAGAATCGAATAACGAGTGAGCAAGGAATAGTGAGGGTTTGCTTTGTGTAAATCGAAATCGCTTAACTTGAGGCTGGTTCTCTGTCATTTATGTTGAAAAGCGGACAGTGGTATTGCCTGTAGGTCTATAGATATATGCCTTGCAAACGTAAAGGAATATGGACAACCAAGTTGGCTCTGCATCACGATGCCGTCACAGCTTATGCTCATACATCCTCCGCGTGCGGGCCGCACGATGCCGCACATCAGACCTGACTAGCAGTTACCTTGGTCAGGCTACATGACATCAATTCTCATCTACTTCCAGTGAGTGAACTATATCTGACTAGCTAGTAATCTTCCTTTCAGGCTCACCCGACTGGATGCCAGCTTCGAGTCCATGCGTAGGGCGCAGCAGGCTGTGGATGTCAGGGCGCAGAAGCTATGTTTTGACAATTCTTAAGAAATGCCGACTCCGATGATATTCCGATCTTAATTGCTGATAATCTCCTATGGGATAGTACCTCTTCCTATTCACTTTCCACTTTTCAAGCATCCTTTTACCAATCGGAATCGAAATTCGGAGAAGTGTTGCAACATTTGATGTAGCAAAGAACCAACCAATCTTGACATCATAGTCTCGAAGTACCCTACCCTGTATTCTACGATCTTTAGTCAAATACCATACCCTAAGCAGAAGCACCCACGTACAGGATCATGAAGTCACAGTCTTTACCAAACTATAGCAATATACCCACACCCCCTCCCTCCCCCTCTAACTTCAAGGATCCGCTCGTGCCAAATACCTGATTAGTACTAGCTACACCTAAAATCTGCCAGCAGGATACGGAGAAGCTTTCTTGATTACAAAACCGAGAATGACAGGAGAAATAGGCTCTTGCACCTCCGTGGGTGAAGTAAGCGAATGAGACCAACGATAAATCAGGGTTGTGTCCCTGATTGCGCCTCAGTCGGGAAACCAGCTCTGAAACTATAGACTGAGGGGGAAAAGCATGAATAATTCAATATTGTCACTGTCACCATGATAGTCATAGATAACACGCAGCATAATTCACTGTCGAAGATAACCGTGCTTCTTGCTCTGTGTGTAATCGAGGACAGGGTATCGAATTCAAATTGGAGACTCCAACTCTCTTTGCAAAGCGCCAAGCCCTGAGTTCATTTCAGACCGGAGGAACATGCCTATATGTAACTCGTGCGACTCCCTTCTTGCCATTGTGTAGCATTATCCAGACGAGCAGAAGTTCAAAGCGACATAGATTAGCTCCCAACAGTCCCAATGGCATCCCCTTCGCAAGGCCCTCCCTCCCCCGCAGCCAGCTCGCACACGGTGCGCGTCGCCGCCGTGCAAGCCGAGGGTTGCTACTTCGACCTGCCCGCCGCCGTCCAGAAGACATGCGACCTGATCATCGAGGCGGCCAACAAGGGATGTGATCTGATTGCGTTCCCGGAGGTCTGGATCCCTCAGTACCCGGGTTGGATCTGGTGAGACACATCCATCCCACCTCAACCTCTTTCCCCCACTCCCCCACCTTCAACCAAGGCCTAACCAAACCCCTCAACCCAGGCAACGCCCCATCGACTTCGAGATGGTGACCGAGTACATGAAACACAGCCTGCGCCGCGACTCCCCAGAGATGCGCAGCATCCAAGACTGCGCTGCGGCGCACCACATCGCCGTTTGCCTGGGGTACTCGGAGAACGACAACGACTCGCTGTACCTGTCCCAAACGCTGATCGGCCGGGACGGCGGTATCCGCATGCACCGCCGGAAGGTCAAGCCCACGCACGTCGAGCGCACCATCTACGGCGAGGGCAGCGGCGGGTCGCTGATGAACGTCGTCGAGGAGGCCGGCGTGGGCCGCATCGGAGCGTTGTCGTGCTGGGAGCACTCGCAGCCCTTGCTGCGCTACCACACCTACTCGCAGGGCGAGCAGATTAATATCGCGGCGTGGCCGCCGATGAATCACTATGCCTCGTTTCCGGAGGGGAGTGCGTTGTGGTCGCAGTGTCGTGAAGGTTGGTTATTCCTCGGGAGTGCAGTTGAGGGACTAGATTGATTCCATTGAGGAAAGATAGTAGTAGGAATTGACTAACCCTGACGGCCGATAGGCGCTCACAACCTCTCGACCACCCACGCCATCGAAGGCAACTGCTTCGTGGTCCTGGCCTCCTCTTTCTACACCCAGGCCGGCATTGAGCGAATGAAGCTCGGTGACGGCAAGCTGTACCACATCGGCGGCGGGGGCTGCGCCTGCATCATCGGGCCTGACGGGCGCAAGCTGACGGAGGATCTGGGCGAGGAGGAGGAAGGACTTGTCATTGCAGACATAGATCTCGACGAGATCAAGAAGGTCAAGGCCATGTTGGATGTCCACGGGCATTACAGTCGGCCGGATCTGCTGTGGTTGGGGGTCGACAATCGAGAAAAAAAGCAGGTTCGGGCTGAGGTGGAGGTGCAGGGGACGTATATCTGACAGCCTGGTGGCTATGCTGTTAGCTCGGTGGTGTGATGCATGAGACGAAGAAAGCTAGGGTAGTTCACTCTGAGAGGTATATCATGGACCTTTCCCATGTGTCACTTGTGTTGTTGGTAATTGCGGAGTAATACATGTGTCGGTGAGAAGGTGAGTACACCGGCAAGTAAAGTACGCGTTGAGCTCATTGATCAAGAGTCCCTCGATTTGTTCTGCACATCGGATATACTCTCTAGCCATGCAGAAACAGACACCTCTTCTCCTGTAAAGTATTGTTCTCAGTGTCGGCCCGAAGAGACTCAACCATGACGTAGTTCAAATGAAACAGTGGACAACGCGGGTTTCCATTGAAACGTGGCTCTTAAGGGTTCTATGCCCTACTAGACCCTAGATATAAGGAGAATCATGGGCAGGAGCGCCAGCTCTGACGTACTTGAACTGTCACATGCAGCCGGCCACGGATACCCATTCCATATGCGGGGTAAAATGCTCAGTTGTCTCTTGCAGTCAATGCCGGGAATGAGGGTGGAATGACATGCATGGCTGGGATTGGGGATGGATGGCTGTTTTCTGTCTGTCCTTGTGCCATCCCAGCAATTGAATCACATCACTTTCTGACTCAAGTCCGCAAAAGGCAAGGAGACCATATCATCAAGCTCCAAAACGATGGCTCCAAAGTCTATTAGAGTTCCCAAAGACTATGTCAACAAGTAAGTACCAGGAATATGGATGTTCCACTGCATGCTTATCCAGACCAAGATCTCAGGGGAGAGCCATTGAGATAGTGGTAGGAGATGAGCAAAAGGTCTACGGTGTCCATGAAGGATTAATTCGTTCCTCTTCCCCTTTTTTTGACAAGGCCATGGCAGGTGAATGGACAGAGTCTGCAACGCACCATCAAGCTACCGGATGATGAACCGAGGATAGTCGCGCTCTATATTCACTGGCTCTACTACAGCACACTGCCAGTTTTCTGTGATGAACCGGGCCTCTTCGGGAATTCCGAGTACTTGGACCTCGTCAAGGCATATGTCCTGGGCGATAAAATCTTGGACATCCGGTTCCAAGACACCGTCATCGATGCGATTGTCGAGAAGTGCCATTCTATAGCGCGTGATGGACTCAGGTGGTACCCTGTCGGGGAAGTGTTGGAGTATGCATACCATAACCTCGCCGCATCGGCTCCAATCCTTGAGCTCTTTGTGGATATATACGTGGCTCAGGCATCAAGTTCATGGCTTCATGACTGGGCAGATCCTACCACCATCCCGCAGCCTTTGCTTCTGCGGCTTGCTTCCAAGCTGTTGAACCAACGTGATACTTCTGAGGAACCTCTTGAAGCCTCGAAGTATCACTGCCGTGGCAAGAACCCTAATAAATTATCATCGACGGACCGATAGTCTGAGCTGGTTTATGTACCAAGTGACTGATTTGAATTCTATTCTGCAATCACACCTACTGTTCTGAAGGTCACATATAAATTCTCAATGAGCTCAAACCGCAGGATACTTCGTATTCCCGATTAGATGCAAGACCGGTCCCCTGCCCTCTGGGTACATGCATGTCTTCCCACGGCTGTTACCGCCTCAGCATAGATTGTTAACTCGTCGCCCACAAAGGCACTACGCAAATCCTGTGGCTGGTATCTTGGGCTTTTGAAGGCAGGATCACTTCGCGTCCAGTCGGGAAGTAGGCTACAACAATTGGATATCTCCAATAGGCGGATTGCCGATCTGAAAGACAGCTTTCCTAAGTGCTAGTAAGACCTCAAATTAGGTCCGCCGTATTAGGTTGCATTCGCTGGTGAGAATTGACAACGGTTTGTCCGTATCACATAAGAGAGAAGCGGTCATCCTCTGTCTCGGTCAATCAGCTTTTCCGTCATACAAGTATATAGTCACGCGATGTTGGCCTGAAAAGCCTATATACATGGAGTATAATCATATACAGTACACATAGTCCAACAAAAGTAACCTATCAACCATCCAGAACAAACCCCTCCCACGTCCTCATATAGTCAATAAACCGCTCACTGAGTCCCGAGCTCTTAAGATACTCCGCCGTCACCGGCAACCTAGGCGCCCGATAATCCTCGTCCACTGCCGCCTTCTTAGGCATATCCGGGTCAAGGATAGCAGCCTTGCCGAGCATGACAAAGTCGCACCCAGCCTCGAGCACCTCCGCCGCCTGGCGCGCGGTCATCACATGGCCCGACGCGCCGACGCGCACGCCCGCCGGCCGCGGGAGGTCAGTGAAGATGCTCAGCAAGGTTTGACCCTCGAAGGGCGCCTCGGCGGCCAGCTTGCGGTAGTCCCAGACGGCGAGGTCGAGGTAGTCAATCTGGGCCTCGCGGAGGGCGCGCGCGGCGACCTCGCGCATCTCCGTCAGCGGGACCCCGTAGCGCTCCATGGAGATGCGGAGGCCGATCTGGAAGTCTGGGCGGCAGGTGCGGCGAATGCCGTCGATGATCTCGAAGAGGAACCGGCACCGGTTCTCGAAGCTGCCGCCATAGTGGTCGGTGCGCTGGTTGAAGGCGGGAGACAGGAACTGCATCGGCAGCCAGCCGAACGCCGCGTGCACCTCGACCCCGTCAAAGCCCGCGCGCTGGGCCCGCACCGCCGCGGCGATGAAGGCATCCCGGGCCTCTTCTACCTCGGCAAGGGTGAGGCCTCGCACGCCCGACGAGATCGTGGAGGGTCCGACTGGCGTGCGGCCGCGGATTAGCGTGGGGGAGACCCGGGCGCCCCCGTGGTGGATTTGCACCGAGGAGACCCCGCCGTGCTGGCGGATGCTATCGGCCACGCGGCGCAGGCCCGGCAGATGCGCGTCGCTCCAGATGCCCATCTGACCCGGGAACGCCTTCCCGTCGGGATGTACATTGGCGGCGCAGGTCATGACCATGGAGAAGTTGCCGGCCGCGCAGCGAGAGAGCCAGTGCACATCAGCGTCGGAAACAGTGCCATTGGTGTCATCGCTCTGCCAGTTTGTTAGAGGAGCGAGAAGAATCCGATTCTTGAGGGCGGGACCACGGGGGAAAGTCAGAGGTCGGAAGAGATCAGCGACTCCCATTGCAAAGGAGGTCTTAAGATTTCGGTATATGATGAATGAGGTTAGGAGCTGCAAAGATGGTAGGGATCCCTTGCGCCGAGGAAGGCAGTCTTGCGAGAATTTAGCTCATCTTGAGAGGCGTTTTAGCGGCATGGTCTATTTGCAATGGCCAAGATTGATAATAATTGGAGACCTCCATGCAAAGATCATCAGCTAGTCCGAGTAGGCATAGAGGAGAAGATAGTCGAACATAGGGCGCGAAATCCCACGCCCACCTTAGTAATTGTGAGTTGGAGACCCCGAATGCCATCATCGCCGGTTGCGTCGCGAACCCGGGAATCGCCACCCCGCCTCCACCAAACTCCAATTTGCCCAAGTTCTCAACCAGTTCTAGTATGATGAGCTACCGATGGCCATGCACTTGTAAAAGTTTGTCTAAGACGGAGAGTCCCTGGGCTCGACGGTCTCGTTGTTGCTGGACGAGAGACAAAGCTATCTCGTACGCCTCCCTTGCCGTCTGTGTCTGGTAGTGTGACGCTGCTATTCGAAGAATCTGTAAAGTATCTTCCAGGGTATCGAGAGCTTGCGGGCGATCTATTACCAGGAGGGTGCAGGCAATCTGGAAAGGGATGTTCAAGACATGCCACCACGGCGAAGACTGGGCGACCAGGCTCTCGACTACACCAATGCTGGCACGCATTAAGTCCATGATGGTGTCCAGGGCCCACGCAGGTAGTGATCTTCCCAGTGCGAATGCGCGACGAAAGATACAGAGCGTAATGTTGCATTGCAGGAGCTGAAGCATCGGATGAGGCGGGTGCATCGCGCACACGTCGCGCAGTGCGCCCTCCAGCTCACTCAGGTCGTGGTAGTGCCCGGGGGAGGTGAGCAGCATTGACACGAGATACAACTCGCGTTGTTCTGTCGTCCAACCGGTTTGCGGCAGTTGGACGGAGGCGCCTCGCAGGTCTACCTGGGACTTTCCGAAGTCCAGCGAGACCCAGGTGTTGAAAAGGCGGGCAACGTGGTAGACCTTGCGGCGGCGTTCCGAAGAACAGCCTTCTGAAGTAGACTGCTGGGCCAGGTATGAATTCGTATCCGTGTCGAAGTGCATCTTGCTAGTCTCGATCATGTGCATCAGCGTGCAACTAGCCATCCAAGTAGCATGCGGTGTACTGTTCACACGAAGATAGATGACACGGAGCAGCCATCCAACCACATGGTCGACATGAGGGTGTGGAAGCTGGCTGGAGTATTCGAGAGTCACCCGTGCGCTGTAAACGAGTTGCCGCTCGAGCTCCGAGCCTTTGGTCTGACGACCATTATCGAACAGACAACCCAGCGCAGCAATGCCCAGGAGAAGCGAATCGACTGCACCACATGACACTGGGTCGTTCCAGCGTTCTACCATAGCCTCCTCCACTTCAGCACGATCGAGAAAGTCGTAGACAGGGGTGACCTGAGCGAAGTAGATAGAAGCAAGACTAGTCATCTCGCCCAGGGTCAAAAGGTCCGTCAGCCCCACCACATTGGGTAGAAAGTCCAGCTCCGGGTCAAACCCCAGATTATAGGCGTAGGGATGTAATGGCAAGGCTGGATCGAAAGTTTCGCCCTCCCCCCTTGCTGCTAAACGCTTAACAAAAACCGCGGGAGAATTTGCCTCCAGGAGTTGGAGCTGCGTTTGTCTATCCACAGAAGGAGGCCCATGACTATCTTTGCCGCTGGGGTCTTCTGCTAAGCGGTTCCGGGCATGGGGCCTTGCACGAGGTTTCTGTTGATAAAAGCATTCATGGTTGGTGCGGGTGCAGTAGGAGCATGGAAGCTCGCCGTTGCATTTGCGCTTGCGGTCTCGACAAGACGTACAGGCTCTGCTGGCCCGCGAGTATTCCATGCTGGGTCATGGCTGGACGTACTGCGGAGCTTTCGCTGACGGATCTCTAGGGGAGCATGAAGGTGACTAGTGTTTGGAGACCCCAAATTCCTTCTAGACATTCCATCATGCAGCGCTTGCGGGCCGCATCAATGCCGCATCATCCGCATCGCCGCAATCTTGCATCAATGACGAGGAAGCTTGCATGTCTCAATTCGGTAGAAAAATGTGTTCCTCCTCGCGTGGATGAACACTCGCGTTATCAATTGTTGCGCCACCTTTCTCAGCTTGTCATACCAGAATTCAAGATGACTATCCACAGCGAGGGCGAACAGTCTTCGTCTATGTCGTCCACAGCGGAGAAGCAAGAGCTGCGCCATCAGCACCTGACATTCGCAACAGATTTATCTTTCTTGTTGGGACCTCATCCTGTCCCACCCCCTGACTTGAAACATTTTAAGTCCCCTTATGAATGGACACGACAGTACAAAGGGGTCATGACCGGAGTGTCATGCATTGCAACTCTATTTGCCTCCTTCGCAGCGAGTTGCTATAGTCCCGGAGCAGCTCAAATGGAGGCCGAATGGCATGTCAGTCAAGTCGCTACTTTGGTCGGGATCACGACCTTCACCAGCGGTTTCGCAATCGGCCCTATGTTCCTCGCCCCTTTCTCGGAGATCTATGGGCGGAAGCCAGTCTTCATCGCCACTGCCATCCTTTTCACAGTATGTCAGGTATGCTGCGCAGTCACGCGACTGTATTCTGGGTGCGTACAGCATATATTTGGACCTATCCCCCTCGCCTACCCCCTTCTTAACTTCGTGCCCTCTGGTGTACCATGCAAAGACTGACTCTCTACGGCAATTGTGAAGAATGTTGGTAGCGCGCTTCTTCTGCGGCATTGGAGGCTCCACGTTTTCGACCATGGTAGGCGGAATTATCGCGGACATTTACCACGCCCGAAATCGTAACGCTCCGATGGCTCTCTTTTCCTGGGCTGCGCTCTTTGGCACCGGGCTTGGTCCCTTGGTCTGTGGGTTCATCGGCCAGTACACCCGCTGGCGTTGGATCTTCTACATCCAGATCATCATCGCTGGCCTGATAACCGCGGCAGTCCTGGTCTTCTTCCGCGAAACACGCGGGCCCGTCATCCTCCGCGAGAAAGCCCGACGATTGAATCAATGGCACGAAGCCATGGAGGCAGATGCCGCTGCCGCTGCCGCTGCCACAGGGGGACAAACGGCCGAAGACAGAGAGAAGCAAGAGCAGAAGCGCATGGACATGATTCGATGGCAGGTGGCTGCGGATGCGGAACGTGCTGGAATCCTGCAACTGCTCCGGACCTCGCTGCTGCGGCCCTTCACCATGCTTTTCACCGAGCCTGTTGTCTTCTTCTTCTCCCTTTGGGCAGCCTTCAGTTGGTCGGTTCTCTACATTAATCTTTCTGCCATCCCGCTCGTCTTCGAGACCGCTTACTCGTTCTCGCTCTCATCTGCCAATGCCATCTTCGCGGCCTCGTGTATCGGCAGCACGGTGGCGCTATCCTTATGCCTTGTACAGGAGTCATTGGCGACCCGCTATTGGAACTCGAGCAAGCGAGATCGTCAATCTAGGTGGAACTCGGTGCCCGAACACCGGTTGTATTTCAGCTGTGTGGAGAGCTTGCTTCTACCGCTAGGCCTTTTCCTGTTTGGCTGGTCAGCGCAGTACCAGGTGCATTGGATAGTACCTACTGTGGCGGTGGGAATCTCTACTGTCGGGATCTTCTCCATCTATCTCTCCGTGTTTAACTATCTGGCCGACACCTATCATCGCTACGCCAGTTCCGCTTTGGCTGCCCAGAGCTTTTGTCGGAATATGTTGGGCGGGATTTTTCCTCTCGTCTCTCGGCAAATGTTCACTCATCTAGGGTTTGGCGCCGCGGCCAGTCTGCTTGGAGGCGTAGGCATGGCTCTGACACTCGTACCGTGGATCCTGGTCTGGTGTGGGCCCTCCATCAGAAGACGGAGCAAGTTGGCCCGGGAGATTATGGATTGATTTTGGGAGACAGGGGATGAAATAGGAATTCGCAGCAACGGCGCAATGCGGAAGACATCTGACATATCATCCACTGGCTTTTTTCTTCGCGCAATACCAAAGTTCATGTTGTCACCCGACTCGTCGCGGGGGATTTTAGGGACTCGGGCATCAATTCCGCGTACCGATCCAGACTCTGGCCCACGAACCTCACCATCGGCCAAGGGCTATTGCAAACCTTGAACATCTGGGCCCAAACTCTGACGACTGCAGCGCTGAGGAAGCTAGCTGTTCGATGCAATGCCTCTAGCCGATAATCATCGATTTCGTAACTGAGATGGATTGTCTCGTCCTGTGACATAAACGCTTCCCGTACGACACGGATGATCCATCGAACAACGCGTGTTTCCAGCTCTACGTGGGCCACGTTAGACAAGATATCGGAGTGAGGAATGGAATAATAGCATACCGGAGAGTGCCTGCTCCTCATATGAAGTTGCCACTACTTGAAGCCACTTGCTCAGGAAGATAGCACATTCCAAGTCACAGACAGCATGATCCACGCTCCAGCCGAAGGATTTGAACTGAGAAAGATAAGAAGTGCCCGCCTGTACAGGAATGTTTAGAGAATGGACAGAATGTAGCAGGGCATGTATCAGATGCGGACCGCGCTTTGGCAGGGGCGCCTCATACAATGTCGCGGCGACTACTGCTGGATCGCCACTCTGCAGATTGCGCCACTTTCCAAGATTGTAATACAAGCGAATATATGCCACACCCAGCAGGGCAGTGGCGGAGAACGCAAGCGAGCTATATGAATCATATAGGTCCAGCTTGGATTCAGGAGAGTGACACCATGTGTGTCGCCAACGGTCAAGCGACGGCTCTAGTTCCTGGATGGTTTGCACAGAGAGACATTGCGTCTGGGGGTCCAGAGAGATCTGGTGCATCATGTAAATACGCTGGATCAGTGCGTGGATCAAGATATAGTTTCCCATGGGCGATGCAGCAAATGTTGCAGATATATCTTGTCCAAGATGGGCTGCATGTGCATCCTTCAAGTAGATTGTAGGAGCATGACTACTGACATGAATCCATGCAGCTTCCGTTCACGCAACCCATTCTTGGCAAGACGAGGGAAGCTGAAGGTTAATATCCCTCGTGAGCACTAGAGGTAGATTATCGTATGTGAATACATGAAAGTTGAGTATATACCAACCGAAGAATTGAGTGCGCCGTTCTGTTTCCAGCTGGATCCACTGATTCCAGCTGGTCCTGTTATGATGCGGCCCTTCGGACAGACCCAGTCGGCGGAGCGAGTCAGCGATCATGCTCTGGTATTGGTGCGAGTCCTGCGACAGATCCGGGCTGCTGTGCCAAAAGCAATAGACGGCCAACAAGAGCAGAGCACGGGTTCGGTCTAGACGATGTTCTGCATGGCCGGATGGAGGGCTTGCGTTGTTTTGATCAGGCGTGATGGAATTGGTGTCCCAGACACTGTTGACTGTGCGAAGACGTTCCAGGACGATAGATCGGCTAGCTTGGTACAGAGACCTGGCAGTCTTGGTCTCGTAGCGATACTGGGCGCCTATGGCCAGCATCGCCAGGATGAACTCGGGAGTATGAACAAAGGAGGTCAATTTAAAGGTTGGTATGTGAATGAACGGGTGATGGTCACTGAAGCCTTCGACATATCCAAGTAGATAGCGAGCGACAGCCATTCTCGAGGGCAGCCTGAAATGGGGCATAGCTTGTCGAAACGGCGCCAGCGCGTTGATAATTTGCAGATACTGGCTTTCGTTCAAAAGCCAGGGACAATTAAGAGGCTTCAGTTCGTGAAAATCACCTGGCAAGACATCAGTGCAATGTAGTGAAGTATTCGAATCAAAAACGAACCATCGCCTGAGGGGTCATCTGGTACCCGCGAAGAAATATCTGTGCTGTCTGGACTGACCTGCTGCATCGCATCGTGCTCCGGCATGTTGTGGTCATGCGACACAATGCTTGGATCGACCAGCAATCCTTCCCAGTCATGACTCCAGTCCCCATGGTTCAAGAACCTGGTGAAGCCAGAGATTGGGTCATCGCAGTCCGCAAAGAGACCGTCCGTGGAAGACAAGAGGAAGTTGTCGAAGGTATAAGGTACGGTGGTGTTCTCCAGGAATGTAGTGTCTGACTGTTGAGAGAGGGCGGTCGATGTCAACGGCTCGTGTGCGATGGCATGGGATATAGAGCCAGCATGGTCGCTTAAATGGTCCATGGTTGAAGGACCATCAAATGCAGCGTCTTTAGTAGTGAGGGCTCGATCCACCGCGGGTGACACGCTTCCTGGCCCACGATCAATAAAAGGTCCGCTTCTATGCGGGTGGGAGACGACACACACCTCGAGCAGCCCCTTGTCTCCCATCAAGACCATGGCTCAACCGTTCATGTCGGGTTAGCAAGTCTTTTCGGGAGAATGCACGGCCACACGGGCAGATATACGGTTTATCTTTAGTGTCTGTACGGGTCGGTTCGTCAGTAATAAACTTGTTGTGTTCTGTTTTTTCGAGTGAGTGCCCACGAGTACGAATATGTCGCTGCAGATGCTCGTGCCTATTGAAGGTGCGCGAACATATCTTGCAGGTCAACTCCTCGCGACGAGCAGCGGACGCAGGACTCAATGAGCGAGATGACATTATGTGACTCTTCTTGCAAGACCCAGTCAAGACATTGTGAGCAAGAGTCCAGTGGATTGAAGGTTCGTACAGAGTAATTATTGAAGAAGTTATTGAAGCGGTAGTAAGCCATGATAGTGAGTGGCAGTAGGGGAAGGAGGGAGTGCACGTGACTAACCTTCGGTTCTAATCGGCGGCGATAAGCTGCGATAAGATACGATAAGGCACGTGCGACAATGCAATAATGTCGCCCTAGCTTTTCAGGTCCAGCAAGTCTATCGTGGTGTTGACGAGTTAAAATTATGCAATGAAAATGACTGCTAAGCTGGATCAGCCATCGACCCCCTTTCTGCTTAGAAATCGAGGACAGATCGAGGAAATTGCGAGGAAGATTCGTGGTTGGAGATTTGTTGGAGAGATGTTGGAGTCTCCAACTCGGGCTCCCGTCCGCAATTGCGGCCTGAGGCTTGCAAATGTGATAGCCTCGAGTCAAACAAGGTAAATGGTGCAAACAGTCGAAACATCGGGCGATCTTGAATTACCCGCGCGTGTATGAAGCTTTCACTAGTCGAGATTCTCACAGCATGGAAGTATACCTAGTCACGGAACACTTGTTGTCCTCCATCATTTTGGTTGGAGCAGGCAGTTTCGAAGGTCAAACAGCTTGAATGAGACACTTTGATGCCTGAGGCAGATGCTAAGTGCAGTAGTGTACATGATCGAAGCAGCATCGTCTGTTTGCATTGCAGCGAGACACTGCTCCTCCGCAAACCTCACCCAACACGATGGTCAATGAGCCATCATGCTACTAACTCCCATTCACGTTCGCGGCCGTCGCAAAATACGCGATCATGATGATGATGACGCTCCCAAGCCCGTTCCCAGCGGACCCCGAGGCGGCCGGCCATTGCTATCACCGCAGGCGAAGCTCAGTTCATCGCAGACTCGGAGCCACAAGCGCGCTCGTCTCCTGACTGCCAATCCACCCGACAAGCCGCGCAGGAAGAAGCAATCCATGCTGGAATCCCTTCCTAATGAACTCATTGAGAAGATCTTTCTGCATTCCTTGAACGTGAACCTGGCTCGTTCGTCCCCAATCCTTGCTGCGGCCGTGTCGACTGAGCGCATCTACCGTGCTTTGATCTTGTTAGCCTTCTGGGATGACGGCACGGAACTGTCTGCACCATCCTACAGCCGTGGGTCGAGGGATGCAATTTCTCGAATACTGCGGCCGTTGGACTACACGTCTATCAGCCTGGCGCAGCGGAAAGACCTGCAGACGGCCATCCTTCACTGTAGATGGTGTACCGTGCCGCGAATACTCGACCAGTTACCGGAGTTGATGAACCTCGTCATTCAACGACACTGGCTTGGTGCAGGAATCAGCATGGCCGAAGAGCAAGAGAAGATGCTGGATCGTGTGCTCAGTCAAGAAGATGATGCAAATGTGTTCGAGGGCTTCGAGACCATCGACACCACCCCCGACACATCGACCCCTACCCCCACAACCAACTACACCCTTACCATCAACTCTCTGGTTTCCATCACCATCACCAACCACTCCATCGACCAGGCGACCACCCATTCTTTCCTCAGTCCCTTGATCATTCCAGACAAATATCTTCAAGGTAGCAGAGCTAGCGACTCCGCGACGCCTACTCCCTCCTCTTCGCCCTCAGACGACGGCTTCACTCCAGCCCTGATCACCTACCTCGAAATCCACCGACTGGCTCTAGGATTCAACTGTGTTACCCTTCCCCTCAGGACCCCTGCACACCCTGTCATTCTTTCTCGTCCCTGCTTGCAACAAGGAATCCATACCGCCCTGGTCTCGAACAATCTTCCCGCCCTCCTCGCCCTTCTCAAACTGGACGAGTTTTACTTCCGCGTCACCGAACAGCAACATCTCACCGCGCAGGACCAGGATCAGGATCAGGAGCCGATCATTCCCTACGCCCTACCCGCTGGACACTTCCGCACCGCGGTGCGCTTGGCCCCACGCAACCCAGAGTTCTTCCAAGCACTGGTGCGGACGAATGCCGAGTCTGTCCCCGCCGACGACTCCGAGATCACGGAGTGGGCCATGCGCCTTCAGGATCCGTTCGGCCGGTGGCTGTTGGAGCTGATGCTGCGGCTGCCCGAGCAGGCGGCGGCGGCAAAGCGCAATCCGATCCAGAACTCGGTGTTCTGGATGGGGCGGGCGAATGCGGACCGACGGGAGTTGGCGAGCATGTATCTGCGAGACGTTCTGGGAGGGGTGGAGAGGCTGGAGAGTTGGATGGGCGAGACGCATGTCCCACTGTCACTGTCGTCCTCTTGATTACTACCTAGTACCTAGTAGTCCCGGATTCATTCTGCCGGCCGCGGAGGCGGTGGATGGAACGCTACGGCGGCACAAAAGCCGGGCGGCGGAATTATCTTTCGCAACATCTGGAGTACTTATGGTACAGTACAGTCAACTTTATCTACACCATCATTGCCATTTCCCTCTACTACCCAATCCACCGCCGGTGGCTCTCAATTTGGCCGGCGCAATGCCCCGACTATCGACCCGCACGATCCTCGAAGCGTACCAGCAAGACGCCCTCCTCCCGCTGCTCCTCCGCGAATGCCGGACTATTGACTCCGCCCGCAGCGAACTCCGCTGGCTCCGCCAACACGCGATCGACCTCACCCAACTCCGCAAAGAACAGCGCTATCAACACCTACAGCACTTACAACAAGCACGCAAATCTGGTCAAGAACATGCACCAACAACCAAACAACCCCACCGCAAACCCACGCATCACCAGCCCCCCGAAAATGCGCCCCCAAAGGGCTGGCGCCGCACGCTGCGCACCCTCTGCCACGCCCGCGCCCGCGGCACCCCGCTGCAATACTTACTAGGTGACCAACCCTTCGGCGACCTGACCATCCTCTGCCAGAAGGGGGTGCTCATCCCGCGCAACGACACCGAGACCTTCACCTACGCCGCGGCGGAGCAGATCCGCCAACACTTTCCCCCGCCAAAACCCAGACCCGAACCCGCCTTCCCATCCCCACCCACCAGAACCCTAAAAGTCCTCGACCTCTGCACCGGAACAGGCTGCATCACCCTCCTCCTCCACGCCCTCCTGTCCCCAAGCTACCCCTCCCTCAAAATCGTGGGGATCGACATCCACCCACCCGCCCTCCGCCTCGCGCGCACAAACCTACACCACAACGTCACGCTCGGCGACTTATCGACCCGCGCAACCGAGGAAGTGGAATTCCGGCGCGCGGACGTCCTCGCCTCACCCGCAGCCGCCGCTGCAACCCCCAATTCCCACTCAGTGGGGCAGCTCCCCGCGCTGGAGGAGTTGCTGCCTCGCATCCCGGAATTCCGTACCCATCACCCCCAGGACACGGCGAGTCATGTGCTGGCGCGAGAAGATGAGGGGGCGAGCGAAGGGGACGGGAAAGGGGAAGTGCAAGTCGACGTGATCATCTCCAATCCCCCGTATATCTCCCGAAAAGCGTTCTTGGATGGCACGACGGCGCGGAGTGTGCGGTTTCATGAGCCGGTTCTGGCGTTGGTGCCGCCTTCTTCCGCTTCTTCGGGGATGAAGTCGGTGGAGGGTGTAGGCCAGACGCAGGCGGAGGATGTGTTCTACGCGCGGATTCTCGGGTTGGTGGGCGGGGTTGGGGCGAGGATGGTGGTGTTCGAGTGTGGGGATCATGAGCAGGGGGGCCGGGTGGTGGAGTTGTGTCGACGGGCTGTGGAACTCCAGAAGCTGGGGGGGAGCTGGGAGGTGGGGATTTGGGAGGATGAGACTGTTGTTGAGGCTGGAGGTGATGGGGAGAAGGAGGGGGCGTGTATGGTTGTTATGAAGCAGGTGCAGGGGTGATTTGCTGTGTTGCCTGGTGTTAGTGTATAGATTGTATGTGTTTAGCGGGTGGTATATCATATGAACGATGAAGTATTTCCATGGCGTATTCAGCGCTATCAAGAATTCGTCTAGTCCTTAAAACCCACCGATGCAAATAAGTCCGGCTTTATGTCCATCTGCTCATTAGTGTATACAAAACATAATCATTCATGCAAATATTGTACAGCGCAGACCTCAATCTGAACAGCCCGCCTACTTCCGACTCCTCCCCTTCGTCGTCTTCTTCGTCTTCTTCACCGACGACTCATCCACCATGACCGGCAACTGCAGGATCCGCTCCATCAACAACGCCGCCGCAACACTGACATTCAGACTGTCCACGCGCGCGGGATCACTCTCCACCCCAAACCGCGGATCGAACCGCGCGCCGGGGATGCCCACCTTCGCGTCCGCAGCCGACAGCAGATGGCTACTCAACCCCGTCCCCTCACTGCCCATCATCAGCACACAGGGCGCCTGCGCGACCGCCGGGGCATCCGCGGTACCGCCACCAATCTGCGCGACCGCCTGGGACGCGGGGCCCGGCATGTCCGCGGCGAAGAACCGCCAGCCGTTCTCCTTGGACCGGGCGATGAACTCCTGCTCGTTGCGCACGGCCAGCAGCGGCATGTTCTCCGCAGCGCCGGCGGAGGCCTTGATGGTGACGGGCGTCAGCGGGGCCGAGTTGCGGCCAGCCAGGACCACGGCGTCAATGCCCAGGTAATACGCCGAGCGGATGATGGCGCCCATGTTGCCGGGGTCCTGGACGCCATCCAACAGAAGCACGACGGGGTAGCGGTGGGTGCTGTCTGTGGATTCGGAATTGTCGGCGAGCCAGCGGGCGTGGTTGATGGGCACGAGGGTGTCCGTGCCGTTGACGGCGGCCTCCTCGCGCGACTGCACGCCCAGCTCGACCTGGAAGTTCTCCTCCTGGACCGAAGCGACCTGATGGAAGTGCGCGACGGGCAGCTGCGGAAGGGGCGAGGCCTCCAGCACAACGCCGTTGTGCGGCCGGCCCGCGCTCATCTTGTCAAGGAGCCGGTCCCACTCGGCGAAGGCCATCTTGACCGGCACGTTGTTGAGCAGCGCCAGCTTGCGGATCGCCGACTTGGCCTCCGACAGACTCTCGCCCTCAGACTGGTAGATGTAGAGCTTGTAGAGCTGGCGCCGCGTGCAGCGCAGCGCGGCCTCGACCGCCGCCGTGCCGAACACGAACTGCGACGCCGGCGTCGTGTAGGGGATCTCCGTCGGGGGCAGCACGTGCGCCTTGACGCGTTCGGGGACCTGGTCGGTGCTCTCGTGGGTGTACTGCCCGACCTTGCGCCGCGCGTTGCCGGGTTTCTGCTTCGAGGGCCGGAGGTCCTGCGCGCTGCTGTCGCTTCGGTCTAGAGACGCAACCCGGCCTCGCCGGCCCTGCTTGTAGTCGGGGCCGCTCTTATCGCCCTTCGCGCCCTTGTCCTCCTCCCGGGGAAGCTTCTTGAAGCTGCCCGAGCGAATGAACTCGTCCTCGTCGAATTGCGGGCCCAGGAAGGGCTTCTTGACGTTCATGGTCGTCCGCGCGTCGACAGACTTCTCCCCGCGCTGGAACGAGGGAAACCGGTTTGCATCCCGGGGGGTCTCCTCGCGTCTGCTGCGCCTTCGTTCATGTCCCTCGTTCTCGTTGGATACTTTGTCTTCCATCTCCCAAGCCCGACCCTTCCTGGATGATGATGCTTCCGTCTCCCATGCCCGACCCTTCCTGGATGATGATGCTTCCATCTCCCAAGCCCGACGACCCTTCCTGGACGGCGATACCGCCCGCTCGGCGTCGTCTCTGCCGCGTCTGGGACCACCCCTCGACCCCCTATCGTGTTTATCGTGTTTCTTATTCCTCCGATCGTCACCCCGCTCCCTCTCCATCCGCGCGGACAGCGACCGCCCCGACCGTTCCTCTCGGCCCCCATCTAGCTTATCCTCCCGGAACCGGGACCGACGGATGCCGGCATGGATGGCCGAGGTCAGCGAGGCATGGCGGACGCTCGTGCTGCCGGCGGCAGGGTGCAGGCGCAGGGACAGAGGTGTGCTGTGCGAAAGTCGCAGGCTCTTCGAAAGGGTCCGGGGGAGGGACATCACAAGGACTGGCGTCTGCTTGCGACGGAAGTTTTGGCGTGGCGTGGCGTGGCGTGGCGCGGCTGTGGGGGACAGTTCGGGGCTGAGGAGGTTCCTGACTCAATGACGGAGAATGAGGAAGGAGGGCGCTGCAGCAAGCACGAGCGTGAGTCGTAACGAGAGACACGAAAAATTGGGGGGGAAATTGAGCAGAGAGAGCAAGCAGGCAAGAAAACTGCTACGCCGAAAAGTTTCACATGGGCCGATCGGTCTGCTGCTCGGGAGGATATTATCAGCCCGGGGGATCGTTGTTCCGGATAACGCTTGGATCCAATTTTCCCTTATCGATAAGCAGGTCTGATAAGCCCCGGTATTGATAGAGAACCAAGGTTGGTTTCTTCATAAAAAACATCGACAAGTCAATCATGCCGTTGTTAACCGACAGTCACAGGTCCCTGCCCGGACCGGTATTTCACATTCATTAATTCTGCGCTGAAACCACATTACACTCAAAATCACAATCACGACTGAAGGGGCTCGCCCATTCCGCCAAAGGTAACACTTTTGACCACCAGGAACTCCTCGATACCATACTTGCTACCCTCCCGGCCAAAGCCACTCTGCTTGACACCGCCGAATCTAGTAGCTTGTTAGTATTGGAAGCCATTGCGGATTGGAAAAGTACTCACGGAGAAGCCACATCACTGATCAGACCGGTGTTGACACCGACCATACCTACCTCCAACGCCTCGGCCACCCGGAAGATGCGCTTGACGTTGCCGCTGAAGAAGTACCCGGCCAGTCCGACCTCGGCCTGGTTGGCCAGGTCGACGACCTCCTTCTCCGTCTCGAAGGGGAACAGGCCCGCGACGGGACCGAACGTCTCTTCCGAGGCCAGGAGCATCTCCTTGCTCATCTCGGAGAGCACCGTGGGGTCGTAGAAGTTCGGCCCCAGGTGCGAAGCCTTCTGTCCGCCGGCCAGGATCTTGGCACCCTTGGACACGGCGTCCCGCACGTGCTCATCCACCTTCTGGACGGCGCGGTCGTGGATCACCGGGCCGTGGGTGATCCCCTCCTCGAAGCCCGCGCCCAGCTTGAAGCCCTTGACCTTCTCGGCGAACCGCTTGGCGAACTCATCGTACACCCCGCGCTGCACGTAGATGCGGTTGGCACAGACGCACGTCTGGCCCGAGCTGCGGAACTTGGAGGCGATGGCACCGGCCACGGCAGCGTCGAGGTCCTCGACATCATCGAACACGATGAACGGCGCATTGCCTCCGAGCTCCCACGACACCTTCTTGATCGTCGAGGAAGCCTGCTTCATGAGCAGCTTGCCCACATTGGTGGAGCCGGTGAAGGACACCTTGCGAACCTCCGGGTGGGTGGTGATCACCTCGCCCACCTCGGGGGTGTTCTTCGAGGCGGTGACGATGTTCACGACACCCTTGGGAATGCCCGCCCGGTGTGCCAGCTCGGCGAGGGCGTTCGCCGTGAACGGCGTCTCGCCGGGGGTCTTCGCAACCACCGTGCACCCCGCCGCCAAGGCCGGCCCGATCTTTCTGGTGATCATCGCGGCAGGGAAGTTCCAAGGGGTGATAAACCCGCAGACCCCGACGGGCTGCTTGAGCGTAATGACGCGGTTGCCCGCGATCGAGGACGGGATCGTGTCGCCGTAGATGCGGGGCGCCTCCTCACTGAACCACTCGAAGAACCCGGCCGCGTAGTTGACCTCGCCCTTGGCGTCGGCGAAGGGCTTGCCGTTCTCCCATGTGATCAAGGTCGCCAGGTCGTCCGCGTTATCCACCATCAGCTGGTACCAGCGCCGCAGCATGCGCGCGCGCTCGCGGGCGAGGGTCGTGCGGAAGGCCGGGAAGGCTTCCTTGGCCGCCAGGATGGCCTTCTCGGTATCGGCGGAGGAGAACTCGGGGCATGTTCCGATGAGCAAGCCGGAGGCGGGGTCTGCGCGTGTGAGGGAGAGCCCATTAGCCTGCCCCTATCCCCGTCACCGGGTATAACAGATGATGAGGGAGCTGCTTACCATGGACCTCGAACGTCTTCCCAGACTCAGCACCAACCCACTCCCCATTGACGTAAGCCTTCTCAATAAAGAGCGACTTGTCCTTCAACTACCAAGCCCAAAACAACAACCGATCAGCATTTCACATCAAACCTCACCCCTTTCACCAAAAGAACTACAACCAGACAACTCACCGGAGGTACCGTATGCCCCATATTGCTATACAACCGCTTCGCATAAACCGGCGGAGGAAGACGGAAGGGATAACGCGGCCGCGACGAATTCAACAACTGTTTCGAGACCGGACGGATCAACCTCTCCATTATATGCGTGCGCTTTTGATCTCACGGAACTAGAACCACAAAAACAACTCTCCCGCGAATTGGAAAAGCTGCACAGCAGAACCCGTGGTGCTAAACTTGTCGTCTTCGCTACCTCTTTCCGACCAGAAGTGCGGGGATGGAAAGCCTCGGAGTAACTGCGGTGAGGGGAGTTTGTGAACAAGAACTCTGGGAAACAAAGTCACGATGGTTTAGTAGATTGTAGATGGTAAAAAGAGAAGAAGAGAGGAGAATTTCTAGCCAGCAACTTCACACCGGGGCCTTTCGGGGAGATAGGCCAGCTATTTAATTGCCCGTGTCAGTGGGTGAAAGTTACCTCCCCTTCCAAATTCCAATACTTTACCATTCGGTTTTGAGGGGAAGCTCCCCGCGGGTGCGGTCACGTGGGGTTGACGTCATTGCGGGAGCGCTGGGATCTGCTTCGGCATTGCATCCATGATGGTTGTTGCAGCTGCAATCAATCCGTCCTGCCCTCTTAGCTATATGCAATGACATTTCACCGCACTTCTCAGAGATGCAATCCTGCAGGTATA